CACACACACACACACACACACACACACACACACACACACACACACACACACACACACACACTGTACGGATTACGCAAACATTTAACTATACAAACAAACGTAAACAAACTTTACCTAGTCTGGAATTCTGCGGATAGCTTTGCTTGCTCAGTGGGTGCTCACACAGGGTAAAGTAAGGTTGTTCACGCATAGTCAAAAGTAAACATTAACTCAAACCAAACATCCGTTTTTCTTTGTTTTATAAATGCAATTAACTAAATTGGTGTTTAAGTCACGTGTTTCAAATAAATACTTACATGTTTTGATTTCTTACCGGCAAAATGGTTCCTCCCATGACCTGTAGAACCCAAACCTTGGCATGGTTATAGGGGCTCGTTTACTAATGCCTGTTCCAGCGTTGCACATGCGTGGATCAATTTATAAGAAGATACCATTAAGAGGGGGTAGTATTTTCTTTAAAATATTTATGTACATAAAAGGAGTTATGATATTTTATTTTTGTTAATATCATGTTAATTGCTTTATTTTGTACTCACTGGATAAAGGTGTATATCAGAATTCTGATTATATTTTGTACAATTATTTTTTGCTCTACAGTGGAATATTCTAGGGAGAGGAGTTTAACCTAGAAAAAAAGCTCCTCAAGATAGTAGAAGAGATGTAAGAGGCAGTTGGTAGGAGTGTAGAGTAGGAGATGCCTACAACAATTGATTTAAAAAAATCAATTAATGTATGTATTCTTGTACTATCGTTTTATATTTTTCACTTTGTTTTTGGGGGTGTGTATGTTGGGAACATAGTTACTTACAATAAACACCACTGCACTTATTATTATTGCTGTATTCCATCTAGGCATCTAAACATTTGAAGGATGAGACAGTTATTCTATCCTTTCGTTATACTACAGTCAGTGCTGTGTTTTGAGACCAACCATGCCAAAGATGTGAATAAACTGACCTAGTATCTGAGCCTATCTAGTAGTTTTCCTGAATTAATAAAATAAACATGCTTGAGCAGGTTTGTAAAAGTTTTGTTTTATCCATATCTCTATGCAACTCTGCAAAGAATGATTAAGAGAAAGAATCCAATAATACTTTCATTATGAATTTGAAATGCCCCTGGCATTTTAATTTTTAAAAAGCACTGACAATATATTAAGAATAAAGAAAAGTATTGTAATTCCTTGTTGAAAATGATTGGTAGTCATTAAGTCAGTTCATTGTAAATACGCAATAAAATGGCACAATCATTTAAAGACTAGCTGACATTTACATTTTAATTATGACATTAAAAACTGATTGGCAGAATTTTTTTATACTTCATTGTAGTGCCTGATAGTTTGTGAGTCACTACAGTCTTTTGCAAAGGACTCTTAAGCAAAACAGTCCTACTGTACATTGCTTTAGGATTACCAGGAAAAATATTAATATTAATTAAAATAACCTAGACCTGAATTCCTTGGAAGTTTCTTTTGTTCAAATTGATGGTTTTGTACTATGTATTTGTTATTTCAGATTCTCTCTACATACTGTATGTATGGATAAATAAATTAAAACATTTATGTTGTACTGGATGTTTTATACATGTATGTATATGTTTGTAACATCTTCAACCTAGTGTATATATGAACTACAACAAAGGATAAGTGGATGCTAGGAATATACTCTCTTTATGCCATTACTTACTGTTGTTTCTTTGCATCTTGCCTGCTGACATACTGTAGCACTTCAGAGAAACACTCAATTATGCATTAATAAAGCATGTATACATGAGAATACTTTCACTGTTTTTAATAACCACACATTTATTCTTCAGGAAAGTGTAGTTTGCACAATGTTCTAAAAAATGAATATTCTATTTATATATCGTAGTGATATAAAGAATTTTGAAGGGAATTTACTGCCTCTAATTAAAAAGGCAGAAACACAGTTCTTTACCTGCGAAAATGGTCAAAGGTCCTCCAAATGCATGGGCTTACATTCTACACTATTAAACAGGAAAAACACCCCACACACATTCTATGAAAGAATCTAAAGAGCACAGCACGGGGGGTCTCTTAAATGGATGTCTTGTACATCCAAGTAAAATGACCTAGTCTAAATGGCGTAACTCCGTCATAAAAAGAGTTTCCCCTTTCTGAAAAAATACTGCTCTGCAGTTTTATTCAGTAACTCTCTGCATGCTTTATTCATATAGAATATCTTAAGAACTTAAAGTAAGGAAATGAGCATCTTCCGTCATATGCAGTAAATACAGTATGTGCAACAATGAGATCTAAATAGCAAACCTATCCTTGTGACTTAGATTTCCATATTTTACATTTTAAATGATTTATATAAATATAAACATGTGCCAAGCCATTTTAGTCTCTTGTACTTCCTAAAAAGACTGAATGAGATGTTATATATGGACATCAGTTCAGTTGTTGAGCAAGAAGAGAAAGAAAGCAAAAATATGACAGTCAAATTACTGATACAGATTGGTTTACATTTGTTTTCGTTATTGACCGTATATATCTTTCTAAATGGATATATAATTTGATCAGCTTTGTCTGCTCAAGAGGTCACAGGCTGAATTTTTGAGATGCTTTTAGTCCTCCAGGATGACAGGTGAATGCTTACAATTAGAAATTGTTTAATATTTACCATCCGGAATGCACTTTTTGGAAAACCTGATTTTATTTAATCATTTGGGGATCCTAAGAAGTTAATGTTTTAGATATTATTTTAATTGATTTATGAGGAACCTTTAAGGTCAGTGAGAAAGTAGTTTACAAAGAAAAGCCTCTGTTTAACTTTTCAGTTCAGACCTTCATTAATATTCCTTTTTTTTGGAGCCTCTGTGTGCATTATTAAAATCAAATTCCTTCAAAATCTGTATAAACAGTACCTAAGGGAAACATTGTTCTTGTGTGTCAGATTAATACTGCTGAAACATTACAATGGAAGTATAAAATGCCAGTCACGTAATGCTTCTTCAGGTGTATGCAATTATTCCCTGTAGAAAATTAATAAAAGAACATTTTTTGTGCCAGAATAAATTGTGATAGGTTCATTGGTCTTTTGGGATTTTTTTTAATACACAACTCAAACTGAAAGGCGAAAAAGAGATGTTATTTACTTTTAAATCATACATGATTCAAGTGCATCTTGCAAAGCCAGCACATTTAGAGGCAAATTGGCAAAGGCAGTAGAAATGTGCTGCCAAAAGAGTAATAACTGATTGATAGTTTACTTTTTCCTTTAAAATTACTGGAAGATATCTAAGCAATAACAATAACAAAAATATATATGTTCAAAGCTCTTCACAATAACATGTACTGTAGCTTAAAGCAAGGATTTGAGAGAGGTTTTGTTTATGGTTTTGAGGGTAAAAGTGTTTAAGTAAAAGTTTTGTGTTGTCATCCCACTGCTGAAACTATTATACCTTTTTAAAAGCAATGTGATACAAATGTATCTCATACATTGTCCATCACTGTGAGCAAATATTTATCAGAAGTTTTGGGGGTGTCTTCTTATGTTTTCAATATTCTGTTTCTTATACAATCTCTCCTTGCTACAGACAATTTGGCCTGTCCTTCCAGTTAAAACTACCATTTCACATTTTTTCATGATATAATTTCTGGAAATAAGAATATACACAGAAACAATTTCAATTCTTCTTACAAATATAGTAGATGCACAGATATTTTTCAGTAATTAAAAGTTCTATTAAGGCAAGAAACCAAATAGTCAAAATCTATTAAATATCTCATTTAATTTCTACAACAAACATGAGTCAGAGAGTATTTAGGTTTAGGTTTAGGTTTTTCTTAGATAAATTGCACTTTCTCATGGTCAGTCATACAAAATATAGTGTCGTTGAATTGCAGTGCACCAGCCAGTATCCCTAAGCTATACAGTAGATGAGAGTTATAAAACCAACTGGGATCATGTATATATAAAATGGGTTCTTTCATCAGTGCTAATCCTGCATACACAGCTATTCTTTCATATACAGTACAATAATAAAACAGTAGTTTTGAAAAGGTTGAGTCACATAGGGACTCTCAAATACTTACGCACAGCAGAGGCCCTATAGTTTGTATGAAAGATTAAACCACTTTATTCGGGTTCAAGAAAAAAGCCATGACCAGTCCCCTGTGCTACAGCTGCTTTCTGAGAGTAAATCTTCTAAAAGTGGTTTTCCTCAACTCATGCTGGCCAGTTGCCTGGTGAGGTTGTACAGAAAGGGGGTTCAGTAGCTTAGCAACATCTAATGAATGAACCTCCAGGGCAGAGAGATACAGCTGGCAAGAAAGTAAGACTGGAGGATGCAGGATACCACTGCAATGGTAATGTGTTCCAATACAGCATTTCAAATGGCAAGAATAGAAAAGCCTTGAAAATGTTAATTTAATATACTGTGTATATGGTATATACTGTATAATAAACAGACATGATGTTTGTGCCTTTGAGACAGCATTTGGAAAAATATATTAACTTTTGAGCATATATTATAAAGTTTTCATATTAAACACAGTATATTTTTAAATAATATGCTAGTTACTTTTTACCAATTCCAGATTTTGGAAAACTTAAGGATAACTGAAATCAGCAATGTCTTGCAAGACATTAGAAACGTTTGAAAAATGTAGGGATCTACTACTAATATTTATTTTGTTTTAAGCTTAAATATGACGGATCTGTGCTTTCCAGTACAAGAAGATTAGCCTTTTAGCTTTATAGATTTGTAGAGAGGAACACATGACACTAATGATGAGGAACACCCGACAGTGAGTCTGTTAGACTTAATAGATAAATGTAATAGATTGCTACTACACCACTTCATATTGGATGCTCATAAGCAGTTTATCTTCCATTGTATTCAACTGTTTGAAGATTCTGACTTTTGTGAATTAAAGATTTCTAAATGAAAAGTTTGGGTTTTTCTCATCCAAACTAAGCTGTATTAAAAGTAATAAAACAATAATGGTGTCTTTGAGTATTCTCTTGTAACTACAATACATATCATACTTTAGATAGCCTGCAAGGTAGTGGAGCAATAGGGTACAGCCAGTTTAAAATGTAAAGTAGAAATGATGGGTTAAAAATGGAAAATAGACATTTTAAAAAAGGTGTTACAGAGCACCTAATGTAGACATGGATGCATGACGTTACTGTATAATGAGAGATACATGATAATATAGGGAGATCAATTTTCCACACAATGGGATACATTGACAGGCAAAACAGAAACTTGAAACTGATATAGTTGAATTGACTAATAATTGCTTCTTATCCCAGTCTGTAAAGACACTTACTACAGAAGATTATTTTATTGACCTAGTCTTTTTAATACAGAATATAATTAATGCAGTGGTGCACTATGCTGATCCTGGGGGGCTGGTACTGTACAGTATGTATGCAGGTTTTCATAATCTTTAAAGCAGCAATACCTGAAGAGCTGTATATAAGGCTCCCCAGTGCCAACACTGGGCAGCCTTGAAAGGAATAGAGAAGTTAAAACTACCAGCATACTCTGTCTGTAATATGGTAACTTTTGACTTGCATTTTAAATCTCTAAAGTGAGTGTCAAAAATAAGTCTATGATTTTAGAAAAGCAGCCAATGAAGGAATAAGAGCTTGCAAATAGTGGACTGTAAACATGTGTACACAAATTAAACAGAAGAAGGTAGGTTATACTTCATTAAACATACTACTAAGCAAAATGAAGAACAAAAAATTAAGAAAGAAGAGAGTGTTCTACTGCCTGTGTAAAATGAAACAAGATTCAAAGACATAAAATGTCTAAATTTCTCAATTTTCTCTCAATTTTCTCAAGAGAGAAAATAATATTCCAAAAGAGTTTAAAAACAATGCAAAGCATTTTTCATTTCTAAAATTGAAAATCTGCTGTAAATATTAATAGTAACATCGGGGCTCATAGAGGATTAATAACAGAAGATGAAAATATAGTAAACATGCTAAATATAGTTATATATATAAATATATATATATCACACATGCCCCATTTTATTGACAGTGCTGTTAGAACCGGAAAATTTTAGTATAACCAAATTGTAGGCTTTATAAGGGCTAAGTCAGCTTAAAACTAATACATTAATGGACCAATACTAATACCTCTTATACAGGTAAAGTTACAAAGACCGAATTTAGAGAGAATTGTTCAGAGGCAGACAACAAAGAATTAGAAAGGCAAAATGTATGTTTAATTTATGACACTTCAAGTACGAAACAAAGTGTTTGGATTTCCACAAAACTTTATATAAGGTTCCACATCAAAGATTAATTCTCAGAAGCCATTTTAACATCTGCGGTAATGTAGATCAATAATTGGTTAAAAGAAGAAGGAAACAGTGCATAACTTTATAGGTACAGCACCTATGCTGCTAACTGACTGGGGAGATGTAAACTGTGGTGTACCACATGGATTCATTTGAGGCTCATAGCACTTTTTCCCTATGAATGATTTAGATTCTGATATTCAGTAGTTAGGAAAGTAGTCAAATTTACAGGTGATACAAAAACAGACAGTTCTGGAAATTAGAAACATCATGAAGGAAATTTCTAAAAGACCTGGACAAAACTATGGATTTTAGACACAGCACTCCAGGGTATCTAGAACTGGGTTCCCAGCAAAGTGGTTGAAACCCAGTTTAAGGCTGTCACTTGCAACATTTCTTACATTCTTATTCCATACTTACTGTAACTTCTGTGTCTAACACTTCTAGAATTGTTGCACAGTAATATATACAGAATTTCAAAATCACTGATATCCATGTACTGTATATCCTTAATATAATTTTATATAATTTTGCATGTTACAGATTACAACATCAAAGTAAGATACAATCACTTTTATTTCTTTCAGCTAATTGCTAACTCAGTGCATGTTCTCGGTTCTCCTTTACTTTAGGAAGACAGCAGTCTATGCATTATAATATTAATTTCCCTGGAGCTGAAAATGCCTGATATGTTGATTACACTGACTGAACCTTTTAATTCTAGTCCTTCAGTCTGTCCTCGATCCAGTTTTGCTTACAAAGCACTAATGTGATCATTGTGTGCACAGTATAAAAAATGTTAATTGATGTATCTAACCCCTTCAAAACAAGGAATTTAAATAGAAACTGCATATATTGTTGAATAAAATTACTTAAAATCTGCCAGTCACCTCTTAACTGATGCTTCACACGGGAGTCTTCTTCTATTGAGACTTAAGATCAAAAAGGTAAATATTCATCAGCATCTGGTGGAAGTATTTGTGGAATTAATCCACTAGTGTGACTGGTAAGAATGTTTTCCACAAACAATTAAGTCTGTTTTTTCAGTAAGGCGAATAAAGGCTTAAAATCCTGGAGAAAACTTAGTGAGCATACTCCTTAAGCCTTTTGTGACAACATTGTGACAAATATGAGTTTGCTCTGTGCAATAGTACTAAGATTACAGAATAACTTTTAGAATTATTAAGGAAGAAATACTACAAAAATCTTTCTGTACTTGAATGTTTATTTTCTAATATCATCAGAGGAATGAAAACATTTGGAGGACTGTGTGATGACATAAATAAAGATAAACGTTCAATGTAAAATTATTGTGAAAAGATGCAGCTAAAGCAAAGGATTTGAAACTATCATTGTGGTAAGAAACCATCACTTTCTTTCCAACCTCAGTACTCAATTATTTAAAATATAAAATGGCAAGTATAGCTGAAAAAAATCAATATAAAATTATTCCTCAAGCTGACCTCCACTTATTAAAGCTATCAAAGATTTTTCAGGGTTGCTTCTTGAATAAAACAAGTTAAACAATTCAAGTTAACTGATCTCAATATCATCCATATCATACTGTATATAGACCTTGTACATATTATAACATGAACAACAGATTACAATGATTTTGTATACAGTACAACCCTGATTGATTTATCTCTTTGTATGAAGTTTTATACATATATTGTTTGGTACAGTGTGTTTTCTGTGACAAATGCTATCAAGCTACCAACTCAAGTCAAATGTGCACGATTTCCTTTGGATTCTCAAAGAAGGTGAAGATTTAAGTATATCTTCTTAAGTAGACTGGATACCTGAGTGGGAAGGAAGTACAACCACCAAAACACAAAACAAAGAAAAAATAGAAATGTGTCAGAAATTAACATTGGAAAATATCTGGCTTGAAAATAAAATGATTTTTTTTTTGGTGCTGTTGATGCTATTGTGTAAAAAAAGATGAAGAATGGGCATAGCTGGTGATGTAATGCTATGTTTTTTAACCAATACTTTTCTGGAATACAACTTTGAATTCTAGAAATATGAATGAAGATTTCCAAGGCCAAAATGGATAAAACAGCAGGTATAAACACATATATACAACAATTAAATTGTAGCTTCTGTGCATTACAGATGTTAGTTTTAAACTCTTTTACAAGGATAATGGTGCAGAAGAAAGGTTCAGTGACTTACTGTAGTTTAGCTATAGCTACAGGACTTGATTTTCTGCCAAAGTACTATGAAATGAAACAAAAGAGCAATGGAGTGTAAACAACAAAAGGTTAGCCATCTTATTACAGGAATATAAGCTTGCAAAGTGAACAAAGTAGAAATATGCACTTAAAGATATCTGATGCATTCAATAACCATCCCAGCATACCATCCTGATACAGGAAATATGGTTTGGTTAGGAAATATTCATTCAACCAGGACAAACAGAAAAGAAATGTGCAAAGAATTAGATATTGTAAATGTAAACTATTGTTTATTAGAAAAGAATTAGAAACAATATAAAGTGGGCATAACTGAAACATTAGATTCCTATTTTGTAGCACTGTACAAAAACTATTTCTTTAACATTGTTCCTACTGAACTGAGAAAGACAAAAAATATATGTTCTTACAACAGGCCCCACAATTACATCTGCAATGAAACGTTTTGTATAGACAATATCCCACTATAATACTATTTCCAGTTGTTTCTTTAGATCTGGAGAAGGAGGGCAACACCAGCCAAAGCCCATTTCGATGGATTTTCTTTGGTCTTCAGATTGAAGGTCCAAACATATGTGGGTCCTCTTTGCCTCGTTTTGTACACTGGACATGGATACACATTGCGAGTCTCCTGTTTATCTACAGGTATTGCTTTGATAAATATAACTGGTATCGATGGAGTCAGCTCCTTCAGTCTGGCATCAGTAATTATTCCAGCCTAAATAAAAAAAAAACAAGCATAAGATGGCTTTTGTATATTAATTCAGAATTCTCATTGTGGAAAAAATCAAAATCAAAATGATCACCTGGTATTCAAATTACAGACATCATTAACGTGTTAGAATGGCTACCAGTGACAATGATATAGAGTAAATAATACTGTAATAATACAATAAACTCATGAATGTTTCTGAAGACTAGCATTTGGAAATTGGTCAAAAACACAATTAGATGAAGGGAAGTTTAAGATGAAGCTGAAGGAGATATTAAATAAGAGCAAAGGTACGCATCTCAGACAAATGTTAAAAAGGCAACTTCTAGCAAAAAAGCATCAAGATTTTCTAGCCAGAGATTTGCAATCCAAATTTGACTGCAAACAATTTTGCAGCCTTCACTGTTTGGACAGAGAATTCCATGCATACATATGACTGCTGAATTACTCAGGAAATCCTAAATAGTAACCTTTAAATGCCCAAAAATGTATTCAGTGACATTTCTGCAAAACCTTCCTTCATGAATAAAATGATCCTTTTCCATCCTCATGTTTTCCTATTGTGTGACCAAGAATCAGGAGGAATGCAAAAGATTCAACAGAATTGAAAGAAGCATTTAGAAAAAGATATCAGCCTTCATCAGTGATACTATTCTTACACCTGCATACTGTATGACCTGTATCTTCAATGACAACTTACAGATGCTTCTCTTTTAAACTAACTGAGAGTTGGCCATCATGTCTCGTGTATAAGTATTGTAGCTTGTAAAACAGGTTAATTGGACAAATGCTAATCAGACAAATGCAGCTTTGCATTTCAGGGCCCATGAATTGCTATGGTTCTTGTTCCTAGATTGATGTGTGCTGTGGCACTAAGTATTACATACTGTACATTACAGACTGCCTTGAAATGGACGAATGAAGATGCACAGCAATCCTCCCATGTCTGCAGATCTGCAGTATGATGATCAAAAATGTTGTAGCAAACACAATACATGACCATGCATCAGCAGATTTTATGGTATTCACAATTGCTGAATTGACAGAATTATGAAGTTGTTTGACACCCCAGCTCAGCTATGAAATGGTTATATGTTGTTCAAGCTGGCTTCAAAGGTTTTCTCTTTTGCATTTCAGGTAGCCATGAGACATGAGTTGTATGCTAGATACTGGTATGCATCCTTCCAAGATTATTTGTTGAAAATTTAAGAGAGCTGGATGACTGAATATTCTAAATGTAAATTTAGATATTGCTGATACTGTCCAGCATTACTATGGTTACTCCAATAAGCAGTGTTGATAATATTTTACTGGATCTACACATAAAAAGTCTACACTTTAATTAAGTTACATCAAATGACATATTAGAAATGTGGAACATTATTTTAAAGTACTGTATAGGAATCTCCACCAAAATAGGGGGAACAATGAAAATAAGATGTCAGGTTTTAATTTAAAAGAAATAGGCAAGCTCATGTAAAAAAGGGCCCAACTCACCACTACATGTTTCAGTCATATTTAAAGAACAGCAAGTACCACATGAATTTTTGAGGTACATGATTCTGTTCATGTTTTACTATCTTTGCTTCAAACAAACAAAAAAATTGACACTTGAGAACTCCCTACTGCTATACGTTGCATGTAAAAATCTCATTAGTTTATGCAGTGTCATGAAATGAGACTCAAACAACTCACAATGTAATCTTTACAATTTAATCTATCCAGGAAGGATCAATATTATCTCATTAAGCTTACAAAAATAATTTATGACCACTGATTACATTAAGTCTATGTTTATTAAATCCTTCTTTAAAGTACTTTTAATTCAATAGAAATTTACCAAGGAGATACAGTAACAGTTTATAAGAAACACGTATCTCTAAGATTACCTCACAAACAACCACATGTGTCTGTAGGCTCATTACACAGTAGATCACATGCAGAAGTGAAAAATTAGGGCTACATGGAGGTGCAGTGGTGAGCGCTGCTGCCTCGCAGTGGGGGGATCCTGGGTTCACATGTTGGGGTGCTATCTGCATGAATGTTGCATGTTCTTCCTGTGCGTGATTGTGTCCGAGTGCACCCTGCAAAGGACTGGCATCCCATCCAGGGTGAATCCTGCTTTGCACCCAATTCTTCCCAGAATAGGGCCTGGGCCACAATGACTCTGAATCAGATAAGCAAGTATTCAAAGTGATGTGAAGAAATTGATGTGAAGTGAAAAATATACTTGAATTATGAGAGGAATTGATGATGGACAGATTTAACAAGCCCAAAGTGTAAATTTATCCAGGACATATATACAGTGCCATGGGATGTTTAATAACCAAATAGTCAGGACTTTGGCAAGACCTTGGCATAAATCTTATCTAAAAAAAACTGCATCTCCTTCAGAACAGTGTCCCCCTGGTCAGCATATTAGGACTCTGCTTAGAACTTCTGGTCCACGGGAAAAGCTGCCACCTTATAGCAGCAGCCCAATTTTCATTAGAGGCCTCCCATCCAAGTGCTTATTAGACCAGACTTGCAAAGGTACACAGCAAGATAATGGAGTTATGAAAACTAGTTGAATTTAAGTACACTCTAGATAAAAAATAATTTATTTATACTATAGCATCAAAAGAATTAAAGGGTTTAATTAAATGAAGTATCTGTTACATGTCATTCATCAGAATCTAATGAAAAAAATAAATCTGGTTTGTACCTTATGTTTGCATTGTTAAGAAAAAGAAAACCATCAGCCAGCATCAGCATACAGTATAGAAAAGCGTGTTTGCTTAACTGAATGTTACTCTGAAAGAATATTACCACCTTAAGGTGGTAATCATCAGCTTCAATTACATAAACTGAAAAACCCAAATGACTTCCGAGCTGAAAGGCATCATCTTGCAATCAAGTAATTATGACAGTTTCAAATTATAACTCATGCTCAAGATCAGATTTAAATACATCTAACTTTGTAAACTTTACTCTAGGTAAAGCAGTTATTTACATATACTGAAAAATTTCAGCTTCAAACAGTTAACGGACTTTTATTCATATTTTTCTGTTCATCCTGTCTGGAAATCACTGCTTTTTTTTAAACCAAGACCTGGTGTTTTTTTAGAAGCACCCTTTGACCAGATTCTATTAACGGTGAATCTCTGAGTGTAGTCAGCAGTACAATGTTTCACAAACAAGAAAACACATTTATTTTTAATACCAAGTCAAGTGATTTCACTTTTTTCTCTTTAGTAAATATCACATTAAGGGTAAGGTTTAAAGCTATAGAATTTTAGCTTTTGTTTTCTAACAAATATATCACTCAAAATGTCTATACGGAAACAGTTTCTTGATCCAAACTGTTTTTCTTAACACTGTAAATTCCAGCCTCCAACACAAAAAGGTGATTCTGCTTTTACAACAGACCAAAATTTGTCTTCTATTTCTCTCTGTGCTTTTGTGTTATAGATGTTAACGGCAGGTATTTATTTACCTGAAGCAATTTTGAAAAAGTGGGTCATCTGGCACCTTCATTAGTGAATTTAGATCACTCATAGCCCTTCGGGAGCCTGTTATGTTAGTGAAAAGCTTTTCCAACTTTCCTAAATTCAACCTTCAGTTTCTTCTGATGACTAATTGCTCAATACTCTTTGAAAATTATGCAGGTGACAAGAAAAAAAAAAGCACACAAATCTGTGTCACCAGTGTGAAGTGAGACATGTTAAGGGAATTCTAAATTAGGTTTGCAGTTTTATTAAGATCTATGTACAGTATGCTTAGCTAAGAGCAATGCAGCAATCTTTTTTATTTTCCAAAATGAATTAGTCTACGCTTTCATTCTTACATGTGATTTAGACTGCTTGGTACGTAACCAAGCAGGTAGTCTTGATAGGTAATAGACCTTATGGTGGTTTCTATAATTATCTGTTCTCAATGGAGTTCAGGAAGGTACTTTCATGCCTGTGAAGGCTTTCAAGTGACTGTGGTAATGCCCTTTGTACTCATACACATGAGTAACACCAGTGCTATAGTCTAGGGCTCAGCGGTGCCCGGCATGCTTGCCAAAGCTGGCACATTAAGACAGTTTACATGATTCACCATAACCTTTTCAGAGTTTCTCAAACTGCTCATTTGTATCAGAATAAAAGGAAACTGAAAGGATTAAATACAGGAGAAGCAAAAAAGGAAAATGTCAGTTTTAAATTGTCAGTTTTCTTCTTAATCTTTGCAACAGTAAAAATAAAAGCAAATCTTAAGGGTTCATAAACCAACAACAAAATGTTAGCCAAACTGAACCTGCAGTACCAAATGAATTTAGAATGACAAAAGCTTCACAATAGTTCCTTGGGGGCTAGATCTTCAAAGACCTAGAATGGAATTGCAGATAACTATTGTGACTTTCTCTTTGTTCTAGATCTTAGCCATTAGCTGAGAAAGGTATCTCAGAAATCTAATGTTGCTTTATAATGTACGTAGTTCTTTTAGGGAACATGTCAGTCAGCCAATAGACTGATCTATTGGGTTGTTCAGTACTCTTTGAAACAAAATTATGTACAGTAGGTAATGAGAAACAAATCCCAGAAATCTGTGCACAGGAATCTGGTCTATTGACTAATTGTTGGTTATCCATTAGACCAGAAAAGTATGATAGAGAGCTTTGCTAAAAAAATATTTTGCATACACTATAGTTGAAACAGTAGTGTGGGGGAAAGTAGCCACATACCTGGTAAGTAAATAAGCAATACTTGTGTATTCTTCCAAAACTCTAATTTAACGTAATCAACAACTGCAAATTATTGAGCTCAGAAAAAAATAAATGTACAATCATCAAAGACTCCTCTGACAGAAAACAGTGATAAATAGCAATTTAATATGCAATACAATGTAATCTGTGTGCTTTTCTGAGAACATAAATTGCTCTACTAACCTTGTGAATGACAGAGCAATACATGAATGATGAAGAGGGAAATTCTTTTCTTAGGCTATAGACAGCCAAAAAGTTTTGCACATCAAATACTCTAAATACCCCTGCATTACATAAATAATAAATGTTATGTCTATTGCATTTTAAATGAAAATGGCTGGAAAAATAATTAAGCTGAATAGGTGTGATCCCTGTGCCTCCTTGCATTACTTGATTGGGAACCACAAATCATTGGAGACACCCTTTCCCAATCAATTCCATGTCCTGCATGCTTGTATTCCCGACAGAATAAAGAAATCTTAGACCTAACTGATACAGGGCAAATAGATCTTTTTCATGTGTTTTTAAAAAGACTGCTGTGATGTCTGAGGTCTGATATTTCTCCAAATTCTCAGGTTTAAATCAGCATTTGATTTACTCCCAATTATTTTATATTATTATTTTTAATAATAAATCATTTAGTGAGCAGAAGGAACTGGACTTTATGCTTCTCTTCCTCAACTTGCCAACTGACATTGCCATTGTCTTCTCCGTTTGGGATTATTGTGCACAAAGAACACAATATCTTGCCGAATATTATGATTTATTGTAAATGCATTTATTATATCCCACCGATTCAGATTTACATGTTCTAACCCATTTTCTTTTCAAAGCAATGCTGAGATACTCCAGATGGATCTGTGCTTAAATTCACCTTTACAGTTGGGTAGGCACAATTTTTTCCAGAAGATGTGAAGGCAACCCTTCATTTTATTTCTTTGTGTCCTTATAGAAAAATGAAAGGCGGAAGTATCATTTATTTATTTTCCACTTCAGGTGCTTTTACAGAATCACAAAAGGCTCTCAGTATTTTAGTGGACAAAAGTGCCTTTTAAGATTGTTTATATACAGATTGTATATGTGATTTTCCCCTACAGTTTCAAAACAATGAGTCATGCCATGACTAAATCAAAATACACAAACACAACACATTTCCACCACCAAATTTTTAATTGTAAATGACTGATTAATCTAAGTGTGATATTATGCGAGCTTGTGAGGCCTGTAGAAAACATTGGAACTGGCACTTGCAACTTACAGTACATTTATAATCACATCCTGAATATAAAATTACCAGCTCACTAAAAGGTCTGTTTACTTCCCTGTCAGACACTTGTTTGTAAATCATTTGGGGATTTTTGCACCGTCAAAACTTAAATACTTAACCTAATATTACTTCACGTAAAGTACAGTATATTTTGACTGCTGGATGTTTTTTTTTAATAGGTTTGTGATGTTTGTCTGCTGTTGTTTCTTTTTCACAAATGTGTTCAGACAACGGCATCAACAATCAGATACAGTAGCACATTGATGCTAATCTACCATATAAGAATAGCTCAGACATCAAACCTCATAAATACTTGCTTGAAATCAGGCTAGAACCTAGACCTAGAACCCAACTAGACAACTAAATGAGAACATCAATGAAAAGAAATATGCTTGCAAGTTTGATTTCACAATTGTTAGAACCATACCTGAGTGTCCCAGCGTGCCCCTTCCATGAACAGACCATGGACGTAGGCCCCCTCTCGGGGTGGGCTGCTGAAATCCTCTCGGTTTTTCTTGGTAACGTCACACTGAAGGCACATTTTGTCAAGGGGCCACTCATTCTTTCTAGCCATAGACTGCATGATGGCTGTAAGGAAGGACTGAGGATTAAAAAATCCTGCCAGCCACACGACTGACGGCAGGGCAAAGTCTGAGGTCCATGTTTCCAGCTCTTTTATCCGGTTGAGCAGGTCAACAAACCAACCAGCTAGCCCAGCCATAGATGGATAAGCACGTTTAGTCCAAGACTCAGGCACTTGGTCTAGGAAAATGGCATTCTGTAGGTTTTCCATGTCACTTGTCATTGTAAGTTCTCCCTAAAAGACAAAACAAGTTTAAAAGATTCTTCTTTTGGTAGTTATTGGTATCCACCAATATATAACACTTACTGAATGACCTATTTGCAAGATGATTCAGTGCTGCTAGGAACAGCTTTGTCATGGGGAATAGATCCTGAGAAAGCAGTGTGCAATTTTTATGTGACATTTCAAAACAAACTGTTAACAAAGTCTCCAGAAAAATGCATATATCCGCATATATACATAAAGATACAGTAGGTAAAAACAGAGACAGATTTTTCATGTCATTAAATGTTGTGTAACAAAATGAGAATCAAACAACCAGATAAAATGATTGAAATATCACCAAAATCACCATGGGAACCCTGAGTTAATTTTAAGTAAATGTCATCATAACAGTGTAAAATATTTCTTTATAAAAGCATTTTATTACATGATAATTTTAGTTTCTTATTACAGATTTTAGTATGGATCGAAATAAGCATTTAGAGACCTTTTTTATTAGCATTTCTTTGACTTAAGCGGTTCCCTTTGCTTTGATAGATTATTTGTAATTTCACAGTCTAGGAAAACAAAAACAAATGCTTTCTTTCCTTTTACTTGCAGTACATATGTTGTTCAGTTGTAACAGCTCTTGGCTCTCTTAGACTTTTTTTTCCTATAAAAAATGATTGCACTTTTTTTCAATAGCATTTTCAAGGTATTCACTCTACCCTGAATTTAATAAAAATAAGTGTAGCAACCATTGCTCATTCTGATGTTTTTTTTTTTTATGTAGCCCCCTTTCTTGTATATGCCCTTGGCTAATGCACACTCATTCATCACAGCGACCTCATTAACAGCTTACAGATGCAAACAGTAGCACAAGTGTGCTGGGAAAATGACACACACACATTCCTGGGTCTATACTTGTGAGAATTACAAAGAGTGTGCAGTTCTTTGGGATTAGAAATCCAAGATAAAAGTTACCAGGTAGAAAAACAGCAAAATCTGTACATGAATGGTTAAAGTTCAGAGGTTTACCAAGAAGAAGATGCCAATATTAATCAAATTCAGGAATGTGTACTACAGGAGACTCAAATTCAGTTCCTTGAGGACCTAGTGTCTTCTTTCTGTTTTTTCCCCAATCTGAATTAACTTCATTTTCTTACTCAGGAATATACAAGCTTTTTCTTCATGTTCTTTACAATCAATTACTCACAACTTTTAATTAATTAAAGTTAAAGTTATCTATAAATCTTATAAATCACCCCCTAGCCCAGGTTATTACAATTACACAATAAATTAAATGGTTATATAAATTTACTAGATTTAAATAATTATAAACGCTACATAACTAAAAGCTCAGATGATAAAAAAGCTGAAGAAACTAGGACCTCCATGAAATGAGTGTGAAACGCCTGTTATATTAAAAACTGACAACATAAAATAGAAATGTTTACAGTTTTAACTATAAATATTCCATCCTAAAAAGCACATCATGCATTTGATAATGCTGCTTCTATTAGTTTCTTAATTATGCTACTGTAAATCTTGCAAAACCTTGTTTTCTTCTGAATTGGAAGTTGAGAGTAATTTTTGCATATCTATAAGTACAAGCTGTATTTTCTGGGGTCTAATTTAGAAGCCACAGACCAAAGGAATGATCTGCAGTTTGTAATTTTGTTTGCCCAATTCTTTTCTGCAGTTGAAGGTACTGAAAGAAATACAACAAAACAGTTCTAGAAAGCACAATTACACAAGATTGCTTTATGCTAAAGCCAACACTTCCATCTTATATTTTAATAACATTTTAACAGGTTTTCTGCCATACCAGCTGCACATACTGTAGAAATTGCTTTTCACAGGCTTATTGGAGGTATTCAGCTTAGTCACACTGACATTTTTTGTGATGATGCATGTTTTTAATCAACACTGCATGCTTAAAATTTTTCAAAGTCTTTCCAATGTTTCACTAAAGCAATGTTGCTCAAAGTGACCTTTTTGATCCACTTCATTGCAGTACTATGCTATTCCAAACTACTAAATTGCTACATTGTTCCACAAATTATTAATTACATAATTGTGGAGATACTTGCAGCAATATTCTGCATTAGTACAGATTGAAAGGACCTAAGGTAGGTTAAGCCTGTACTAGAATTCACTGAAATTCATTTCATATTGCATTGTGGTGTATATATAAAGTGAACATCTAATTGCTAGATATCTTCATTTTTCCATTTCCCTTGGCAAAACATTAAACTTACCTTGAAATCCACATCTGAAACATATCAATACAGATACATTTAAATCTCTAGTGTTCTGTGTTAACATAGAATGACTAGTCACAGTATGATATATGTGGTGGCACTGATTCATTTGTTCAGTGACAGACCCAATCTCCACTGCCCCACCCAAAAAACTGTGTATGCCAAATATGGCAAATATAAACATTTTTTATACTGTAACCAAACATTTTTCACATGAAGGGGGTTATTCATAAAACCTACCATCTGTTTTGCCTTGGCAGTAACTCTTATTGTCTCTTTGTGCTTTTTTCCCCAGTTCATAAATAGGATTTACTGACATGGTAGTTGTCTATGGTAGTTGATTATCATGATGGAAAACAATACTTTCAAAACACCCCTTTTCCCTCATTTGCATATACTGAAAGTGATTTTTAAAAATGAGAATAGTAAATAGCTTTTACCAGCCTGGAAAATCCTGCATACTCATACAGGTATGGCAGTATCACTACAGTTTAGACAATGGGAAGAGTTTAATTTTGTTTTAGTACATTTTCTTATGATTAATATTGGCTGTTTGACATGATGATTTTATCAGTGTTAAGGTATGTATGTGTTGTTGTGTCAGCTAAACAGTGCAGCAATGTCTGGATTTTTTTGTGGTAACAGAAATCAGCTTGACTGAGAAAATTAAAGCTGTCAGGAGACAGAAGATTTATATAACCTCTCATTATCATTTTTTAACCCATACATTTAAAGTATAAAATGTTAATTTCTGTTTCCAATCATGACACTTGACAAATGCGTCATGTAAAAAAAAAAGAAAATAACTTCAAGTATAGAGAAATAGGGAAACAAACAACTAAACCTTGCAGAACTGTGCATGCCCTGTGCTGCATTTGAGTTGATTCACAAATAACCATAAAATCAAAGAAAGTAAGTTTCCCATTCACAGTCATGTTATAAGTAACCAATGCTGAACACAAACAAGTACTGGTCAGGCTTCAAATTGGAATGTCCCAGCAAACTACTACAAACTACTTCTGATAAATGTATTTCTGTAATGTCATAATGCCAATAAAATCGAGGCACTGATCATGTCATTGATACGGCAGATTCAGATCATACTCATGTAACAATGCTGGCACAGCATCACACAATTCCATAATTGGATTCCTTCAGCAAAAGCTAGAACTATGAATAGCAAATGAAGAAGCCATTGGCAGACGATCACCATCAAGTTATATGGACATACTGTAGTATTTTCACCCTAATGACCTTAAATTAGAGCTGGGCGATAATTTGATAACGATAATTATCGCAATATAATTTTCCTCGATATAATTTTAACAAAAGTTCGATAAATGTTTTAAATACATGTATGCTTGGCGCATGATATGCGCATGCGCACAAAATACTGCGCGAGTGCGCGTGCGTGTTGCAGACCGGGCAGCTAACGGATTTGTTTAATGTTTCTGCTGTTTGGCAAGTGATTGTTGTGTTCTTAAAATAAAAAGTTGTTTAATTTACCAGTTAGTTAACTGTCTGGTTTCTTCAACTTTCACTCAAGAGAAAAAATCTGCCTTTAAACTTGAAAGAAATAATGATTTGACATTTATCATGATAATTATCGATATCGACTGATATGGAAATTTTTATCGTGATAATGTTTTTGGTCATATGGCCCAGACCTACCTTAAATATGTCAAAATTTTCAGAAATGACACTGAGAAGTATTACTCCAGTGGTGCAGAATACATTTCTATCAGGCTTCGTAATTGGTCACGTAACACCTCCTTCATAGATTAATCCATATTTACTTATAGCAAAGTGATGAAGGGGAGTATACAGTACATAACAATGATATAATAAAATCTGTGTGTTGAAGGATACATTTGGTGGTGGAAGTCAGAGCATCAAACTGAAAGAACACAACTTTTGATCACTGGTGGCAATCTAACAGTATACAGGAACAGTGACAACCCAGTCTTTGTTTTCTTCTTGCAAGTTCAAGTCTGCCCCCACATTACACATTGTCTGACAGTTTTTGCAGCAGCAACAGATTCCACTCCTTCCATGGCCAAAACATTTGTCAGATTTCACTCCTATCGAGCACTTCTAGGATGAGATGTACTGTAGTGTCATTTCTGGAATCACATTCCAGTGGACACACTATGTGTTTTGCATTTACCGTTGTCACTCCTTGTGTAATAATATGTAGAGTAAAACCTAAAACCGAAAGAAGTGAATGTGTAAGCAAGCTATAAAAAATGTTTTAGGAGAGCTTAATCTATGGTAAAATTAGTTATTTTCTTGTACTTTATTTTACATAGTCTAATTTTAATAGCAGTAGAATATTTGATATTAACAGTGATACAAAAGATTAGATATGCAAAAAATGAAATGCCATATTTAAGCATTTTAATAGGTTAATACGCCACTACGTGTTTAACTTGCTAACAGCTTTAGGCAGGTTTGCATGTTTTTACAAATTAGCTTGCATTGAACATTTTTCAGCTCTTCCCCACAAGATGTACTAATGGATTATCTATTAGGACTCAAGGATTTTTCTCTCCTTATTTTGCTGAGTGACCATAAAGTTTAATTTGCTTTTTGTCCCAAAAGCCAAGCTGCCTGACATACAAGGGACACATTAAATAAATCAATATCGTTTATTTTTAGAAGACATCACAGATACCAAGTTCAATCCATCCCAGCATGATTTGGTGTTAATGACTTTTTTTTTAATTAAACTTATTGAAATTTTCAATAAGACTTTAGCAATAAAATGAGCTTTCCTGCCCTAGAAAAAGGCCTACATTTCCCCTATTTTCCCCAGTGAATAACATAATCATAATCTATGAATTTATTTAAAAATACCCAATTATTCTGATACACAGTGATAAATAGTTTAAGATGCCACTGTGGGTGAAATGACATTGAAACACTAATTGCAAACACAGTAGTTTTAAAACCAGTGTCCCTGTCACTATACTGGGACATTAGGACCCACATAGACCGCATGATGAGTGCCCCCTGCTGGCCCCACTAACACCTCTTCCAACAGCAACCTTAGTTTTTCCCAGGAGGTATCCCATCCAGGTACTGACCAGGCTCACACTGAGTTGCAGGGTGACAGGGCTGCTGTAGTAGTACTGTATCTTATATTACTTTATGTAAATGTATGTATTGTTTAGAATGCATACATTTACATAATGTTGGCACTGGCATTTAAGAATAAAAGAACTAGAAGAAAGGGTTGCTGTGTAGAGGAAAGAGAAAGTCTAGCCTCCATTTAAGCTAAAGCAAGGTTCCCGTTCTATTGCACATACACTGTCACTTCACAGCTTCAAACTGCTGTTTCTGGCATATGGTACTGTACCTCCGAGAGTATGAGATATGAGGCACAAATGAGCATCAAACACACTTCATCAAAAGACCTGTCCCTTGACCTGGGAGATTTACATAGATTTAAAAACAATAGTAGTTCATTTTACATTGTTTCTCACTTTACTTTAGAATAGATGTTATTGTGCTGACCTCTCAAATCATCTACTCTCTCTGCTCTGTTGCATCACTGAGCTTTAAAGAGCCTTCAATACCTTTTTACGTAGCAAAAATGATCAAGGAAACAGACTCACTGCCTCGGCCTTGTATACTGCTCATGAAAGTAATATGTCTTTGATTGGATGCATTGTTTCATTTGATGAGCTGCTTTTTGTCTTCCGAAAGACATTTGCACTAAAACACTTCTGACAGCTGCTATACAGTGCAGTTTCAGGTACAAAAGCCACACACTGTTAAATGTATAATAAAGCTGAATCATATTCAAAAGCATGACAACTTGGAAAAAAATGAATATATATATATACACTGTAGCTGCCACTGCAAAATCAAAAGGGTGCCTGATTCAGAATTCTTATAATTAAAATAATTATTTGTTGTAACAGCTTGTAACATAAAGCCCTTCACTAGAAAATATATCTAGGAGACAGTAGAAACAATTGTTAAGAGGTTAAAGTATTCAACCATTTCTCTACACAAACAATGTTACCTTGTCACTACATTTTCCAAAAAGTCCAATCAGTCTTTAAGAGACTTCATCCTTGACAAAACCACAGAAAATACACATTTTCCTCCATTCCAAAACTTGCCTCCAACACTCAATAAATTAAATATCAGAATATTTGGGGGAAAAATGGCATAGTATGTGTATAATGAAATGGACCTTGTCTGTAATATTATGATGCATTACAATGATGTTAAAATACATAATCATTAGAAATGTTTAATCAAATCACTTAATATAATAATAAAATGAAAATAAAAAACCTGAGCCCTCAAACATCAGCACAACACCAGTGGAGCTGTGACACTTTAGACCATGACAAAATCTTTCCTTACCTTCAACCCCAGGTTTAGTTCTTTGAGGGAGCGCTTGATCTCTTGGGTAAGGATATTCATGCGTTCACACTCCTGGAAGGCCACAACTATGTAGGGTGTCCTATCTTCTGCCTTTGCCATCAGCTCTTGAATGTTAAACACATCAGGCAATTTCTCCAGGATTTCATCCAAAATGGTCTTCACCTGGTAGGAAAGGATACAAGAGTAACTGGGATCAAAGATAAAGCATTGTAAGTTTAGATCCTGACAGTTTTCTGAAAAATGAACCCTAGTTCTGCCTACTGCAATTTCCTTTGCTGACGGTGATTCAGTGTTCATTCACTTGGTCGACAATTGTGCATGGAAACAGTATTAATGCTGCTGCCATGCAAAGCCTGTTTCAACTACAAACACCTCTGACTATGAATGCTAAATGCAACCTGCTGAGTGAGGTCTGAACAGGGGCCATGACTGGAAATAATTTAGTCTTCCTGTTGGTTAATAAAAACATAGCAAAGTTAGAAATAGAGAACAAAATGTTTATTATCAAAGCCCTCTGGTCTTAAATGGAATGTGCTGTATCTCCTCCTGCAATTTTGTGAGACAACATGATAGTTAAGAGTGGGGTGGAGTAGAGAGATATAAAGGTGCCATGTAATGATAGATCTTTTTTATTAAGATACAAAGCAAAGCTGTCATCTGCAGAGTCTCAGCTTTAACAGCTAGACAGTGGCTTATGATGAAGAAAAAGTTTGAATTTCTTGTGACAGTGATGGCTCTGAAGAGGAATGACTCTTTATAGATACTGACAGAGACATGAATGAATGAAATAAGACTATAATGCTCAACAAAGGCCTTCTAGAGACACTTTCATCAGGTACCACAGCAAATGAACTATCAAGTGAGAGGACAAGAGCATTTATAGCAACACGCACTATCATTGACTCGGAGGGAGCAATTTTTAGATGCATATATAGTACTTTATTTGACACTATATGCACCCTGATTTATCAGATTTATTTATTTACTTTTGGCTAACAAACCTTATTCTGTCCAGTTTTATTAATTCATAGTAGCCCTTAATGTCCAAGACAAATACATCAGTTTCAAATAGCTGAATACTAAACAATATGCTTTAAAAGTCAAATCTTTGTTTAATCTACTTTTGAAAGTATTTTTTAAATGTTCTTTTTAAAAGCAGTGCAGCTTGTAGCACCTTATACTGTAATATTCCCTGGTGATTCATCAGCAGAAAAGCATTTTGACAGAGAAACATATTTTCTTTTAGGATTTATACCATTTTTTAAAAATGGGATGCTTCATGGCAATAACGTGTGCAATGAAATATTTAACTAATACTTTAAGATAGATAGAATTTCTACAGTATAGTGTTTTGCAAAAAATACTACTTTCCAGTTTAAATACATAAAATATATTACTTACATTTTATGCTAGAAAATGTAAGTTAACAAGAGGCACTATTCTTCACCTGCTTCTGTCTTGTCCCATAATACAGACATTAATATAATACCATTGAGATATCAAATTGCTGCAAAGCAAAACATGCATTCTTGCAAAAATGTCTAACAGAAAAGAATTCTATTTTTACACAATGCAGAAATTCTTCCCTCGTGTTTAAATACGGAATTGCTATGAACACTGGAATATTCACATTGGGACTAAAGACCCACTGCTAAAAAGGCTTGACTGGCATATCAATGTCTATGACTTAGAAAACGCATAAAGAAATTAATATTTTCTGTAACTGTCTGTTGTCTGCGTAAACAAAAAAAAAGAAACCAAACATCAGTCTGCTTCTCTTCATTCGCTGAGCTATTCGACTCAAGAACAGAAAAAATAAAGAGGAGCCCTCAACCCTGCAGATTGATTTTCTCCATGGCAATATGGCTTTTTAAAAAAACTTCCATTATTGCTTGGAATGATGCAAACCCTCTTTATTTCCCCTATCCTTTACAACTGCAACATATATACTAACCCTATGTCTGTCTAAAAGATCCACAGTGAAAAGTAACTATGCAGAATGTTAAAAACAATATTAGCTGTAATTTATAATAAAAGAAAAGCAGGGAGGATCATCAGTATATTTGATATTGAGAAGTGACATCAAAAAAGAGAAACAATGTTATTAAATGGCAGCTCAGTCTTTTCATTATAAATGTCTATGCAATTGTTTCTCATCTCATCTATTTACATTATGTATTTACTATTATAAATCTTATACCATCAGACCAAAAACCAGAAATGGTTTCATTGCACTACTGTGATGCTACCACTCAGTGGAAATGGCCCTGCAAAGAAACACTCTTGAATCATTGCAATGTGAAGTCACCTGACTTGAGTATTCACAGTCCATCCATCTATCATCACTAGACTCCAGCAGTGCTACCAAAGGACAAGATGTGACTGTCATTGATCCAGACCACCTGAGGGATCACTTCTGCACAGCAAGAACTATGGCTGCTAACACGGTTTGACGATTACAGTAATCTGATGAATCAGAGTAGGTGGCAGCAGAGGTTGTTTCAGTAACGGTAGTACAGTGGGGTGGGACGCTATTTTTACTAGTAACGTATTGTTCTCTGTGGTGATCTCACAGGATTACACTGACAAATTTTGAAACTTTATCTTAGCAACACCAACATGAAGATAATCCTTGTACAGTATCTATCAGCATAATAATGTTCAACCCAAAAGAAAAGGACTGCTCAAGACTCACTGCTTTCTTTCTTAGTCAAACACAGCCCACTGTGTCACCACATCTTAATATAATTCAGCACATACAAGATAAAACGAGAAAACGCATACATCATTGTCAACTAATGCCAAGTATCGCCAGTGATCTAGGAGTTACTTTAATGCAATGTCTCTGACCATCTATATCCTGCTGTTTGATGCTTTCCATTTGGGTTAAAGGTTTACCAAGGGGTATCAAACTTGAATGCACAGTGTGACCCACATCACACATGACCTTCAGACCTTCTTGTCAATGTCATTTTTATGAATGATGAAATTATTTCACAGCCGAAATGAGAATAGGCACCACTTCATCTGTTTGTTTCATAAATATGGAGTGGCAATTCTGAAGTGTATTAATATATTTATTAATTGTGATTTCTTTAACAATGATAATCTTATTTAATTGGTTAATTTACATTAATTTGAAGTTGTCTGAATTTTCATTTATTAAAAGAGGTTTTCAGTTAGCTCATAAATTTAATCTCCTTATAATTAACTAACAATTCATGCTGAAAAACAGTTTTAAATTTTCTTCTTGGTTTCCAGTTTATACACATAATAAAGGAGGGAATAAAACTAAAGAATAATGATGGGAAACCAAATTATTGGAGCTGATAAATAGTGTTTGTGATTTTGCAGATCAGATGACAGATCTATGATTGCAGAAGTGCTGGAAATGATGTGAGCAAATTTGATTACCTTCTCTTCTCTGGTTACTCCCCCTCCCTCACCGCTGCTGCTGTCATGAGGCTGCATCTCCAGCACAGTTCGGAAGAGCTTCTCAGAGGTCTGAGTGAGGAATCCAATCTCAGCATTGGGATGCAGTCCATACAAGTATGGGGATTCAGCGGGAAGAACGTCATCAATGTACTATGGGGAAGACAAGAGACATTTGTTTGCTAATCCAAAGTTCAAGTAAAAATACAAACGCAGACAGTTCATCATGGAGTGAGTTAGGTCATCTGTGGTAAGTTTCATTAAGTAAGGCCCCATTTTGATTACCAAGAAGGAAGGGGAAAGATAACACAGAAAGGCATATTACTAGAGATGAAGGGAATGGCTTGTATAGTTAGTAAGATTTTAACTCAAAATCCTCTCCAATGCAAACTAATTGTGCTCATATAAGATTCCACTCTTTGCACAGACCAGAAGGTGACATTTTCTGTGCAATCATGAGCCATACATGGTGTATAATCTTTAAGAGGCTACAGTTTTTGAGTTTGGGTATATAGCAAACAATGATTTTACTTTATTGAATTGTTCAATTAAATAATATATGCACATTTAGTAATAATACCAGTGATACTACACTATTAAGAATCTCCAGAATTGTTTGCTCTCAGGATTATAGTGAGATGGGGTTTTTAAGTGCATGATACTAACACTTTTTGCATCATCCTAACAATCACTTCAGGAGGAAATGTTAAAAAGCTTGAAAACCTTTGCCAGCCACTATCGCTTATGGTAGGGCTTAAACTCTGCGCAAAGTCTGATTCAAAAACCTCACTTCAGCACTAATGTCATGTCCTAACTCTGAGTTTGATAATTGGGCATGGCTGCCCTAGTGCTAATGCTTTTCCCTGTGTTCAAATTCAGGGCCCTTGAGTGATGTTTCCCCTTAATTTTGACTTGAGTACAAAGCAGTTGAACATTCTGAGATCAGCAGCAAAGTATCTTAATAATTAATAATAGAATTACTTTGAACGGATAAGCAAACTGGAAAGGTGATGCCAGTGAAGCACGTTTCAGATTAATATTCATAAAACCAAAAAAAGACTGGCTACTTGTGTGTTGTTTAGTGTTTTAGATATCTAGGAACAGCAACTGATTGAACATTTAAACTTTGTAGAAAATACCAATTGTATTTTTAAGAAGGCTTGTCAGTGTATATTTTTGATCAGTGTATAAACCCTCTCTAAAAATGTAATCACTGGCAGGAACATGACAAATCCCTAAAATGTATTCATTGCTCTTGACAAATAACCAACAGTAACAAGGTAGTAATGCCAAAACTGAGTGCTATTCTTGTGAATTATTCAATTAGTCTGTGGATTAAGAGGACAAATGTGTGTTATATACTGTACATTAGTCAAGACCTGCATTTTATGATAACACAAAACTGGAAAACATATACAGTAAGAATTTAAATTTAAAGCTTTTTCTCACTGCTATAATGTAATTGTCCCACTTTTGTTACATACAATTGTCCTTACCCTAAATGTGAAATTAATGGTAACAGAAGAGGTGGATTGGGGCTGTGTTTGGATTATTAAAGTAGAGCAGACATTGAGCTTCTTCTGCTTTCCATTACACCTTTTAAATAAGCTTGCTTCAGACCTGTGCTAAGCTGCTCTAGTACTTTCAAGCACTGCTATAAAAAAGTAATATTAATCAGTATTTATCAACAATATTAGCTTTATTTAACTTAGTCCGTATAATTCAAATTAATATAATTGTATTATATTTAATATAACATTATTTATTATATTGAATTTCTTTTTTTTTTACTAAAAAATGTAAGATACACCAATTCATTTACAGTATCATCAGAAATCTGCTTTAATGGTAATGGTAACAAAAAACAAGAGACTGCCTCAAAGCTAAGGGCTCAAGCAGGACCACTCACTGGACAGTACACTATTACACAGGCTACACCCACAGTGAGTGTCCAGAGCCATCCCTTAGAGCTGTGAGACAACAATACTAAACATAACTTCACCACGTTTTTTGTGCACAACCTGCAGCAACACTGTTGCATCTTGTGCACTAATTATGGTATCACAATATTAATCATTAAGTCCTATACTGACACATCTTGGTTTTAGGTAATGGTTCAGCCAGACAGTACAGCAAAACCAATGTAATGTGTGGATTAATGGCTTCCCTAAATTATCATCTCTTTTATTTTCATTTTTGCATGAAGACTGAAAAACAACTATCGTGATTACTATTCCTTACATACTGTAAGACCCTAGCTGATTATGCTTCTTCAGATATGGACAGGGAGTAAACAAAAAAAATACTTTTGTGCACAGGTAGGGGAAAAAAGAACTAAAATACATGCTGGGTTTAGAGCACAGCAATTTTGAAGGCAATTTTCAGATCTAGTCTGAATCAACAGTGCAGATTTGACAGTGTAGACAGTAGAAAGATCGATTTTTATTTTCAGACAAGCTATATAACTGCAGGTGCTCTTAACTGCCTCACATTGGCCAGAAAAATAAATGGCTTGCACAACAGTGGAAGTTATGTCTTTAAGGGCAAAAACTGAATGAGCATTGCCTGGATGAATCATTACAAAAAGTCCCTTGTTTGCTAAATACACAGTAAAATGTGGACAGTTTCCTATGTCTGACAGCTATATACTATAAATAATCACTTCTCCAAATTTGTGCTTTAAAACGAAACAAGCTTTTTCAGATGTTGCAGGATTTAGTGTCAGCTACTGCACAATCTGATGTTTATTGTTTTGTTGCAAAGCTATTGGCATTGAATTGTTTTTAAAACTGGAAATGCTTGGCAATAACCTGGTGGTATCCATTGTAGTCCATGTTGCCAGGTAATGGGAAACCAGGAGCTAAGAAGAGCTCTCCCTCCATCATCTCTGGCTTAATAAACTCCTCCAGGTAAGTTCTGCAGAGCCGCCGGTCCCAGTCATCTGTGATGTGACCCCCATACATAATTTCTCCAAAGAGATATCGCAGATCATCATAAGGGACCTGAAACCAAGAATTTACAGACAATCTTGATGATTATTACTTGAGGTAGCCAGGAGCCAACAATGATCATTATGATCAACCTGATCATACAGTACATGCTTGTTAATTAACCATCACAGAAATCCACTCTGACCTTTTATTAATTGACCATGTACTGTACATCATTATCTGAACGGCAACATTTTTATAGTTCGAAACTTAAAATTAAAAATCATAAGTGAAGTACTATTACATTTGTTGGGATTTAAATAGATTAAATAAATTCTTTAAAGATATTTATCTTCACTTAATTCAAACCTCAGATGTTCTAGATATAATTGTTCTGTTTACGGTATTCCTCTCGTGAAAAATAAATTGGGGGGAAAAAACAAAAGGAAATTACAACTGAGTGACAGATGATGGGTATGAATTAAGCTTGGAAAAAAAAAACAGAAAGGAACTGCATATCTGATAATCAGGACAAGATAATGAGTCTTTTGCAATCATTACTAATTTGTACTTTCTAGATAGCCTACAGATAAATAAACATCAGAGCATGGATTAACAGAATTGAACATCTGTGTTAGAAATAAATGTTTTTTAAGGTAAATAAAAAAGCCTTACATGTCCTGGGCAGATTGTGTCAAGGATACATACAGTATGTGGAATATATTTACATAATTTTGATTTTTGATCATATTAAGAATTATAAACTTCTCTTAAAATTAATCACGAAGTAGGAGCATGATTTTTTAGCATCATAATTTCTGATCGATTTACAGAACAGAATAGCCTGAATTTATTGTTGGAATGATAATAACCCCACATCAAACACCTGCTGCTCCTGCATTCTGTTTAACAAATCCCTAAATTAGGCTATCTATTATATTTAAACTTAATTAGGGGTCGATTAAGAAATAGTAGTTTGATATGAGTGGGTTAATCATAGAAAAACATTTCAACTAAAGCTTTGCAGTTTTGAAATTCCATGTTCTGAAATATTATACTCTGTCAACTTGAAGCACCTTTGACATTCTTGTACAGTAAATTTACCTTTGTTCCCTTTTAACTGGCAACAGAAAAGGATATTTTGCATTTCACTTATTAAATGCCCCAAGGTTTTTTAGGCCTTTTCACAGATTCCCCTTTCCCATTTTCCACTCTATCTCGGGTGTCCCATATTAAACATTTACCACAATCGATGTATTTCTGTGATATACAGTATATCTTATGGCATATTATTGCTCTAAGCTTATTTTGATATATATCCTACTTAAAGACTGTCATAGAAGTTAAATTAAATTCACAACTGTGTCTTTAACATCTCTTGCTCTCTGGCTTCAGATAAAGGAATATTTCGGCTATGTTTTAATGTAAGCCTTACTCATTATTTACAGGCATACTTGTAAACATTTCACACAGCCATAGTACAACATTTTCCCCCTTTTCCAGTAATTAAGATACATTAGTGTTCTATTATTCTCTGCATGGTGATTTGTAAACCAAGACAACAAAAATTCCAAACCTGCCATCAGATTTGAACACATAACTGAGTTGCAAAATTAACTGAGTATATATTTTGTTTGCTAACGGATATTGTTATTAATGACCAGTTTTCAAAGAACTGATGACTGCAAACCAAACAGATTGACTGTCACTCAATCAAAAATTAGGTTCAGGATACAGTAAGTGCTGGCAGGAATATGATTCCTGTTTTTTTAGGGGGTGGAAACAATACATTTATCAATCATATAAATTAATTGTTACAAAGAGGAGTTAAATTTTTTCTATATCTGTTACCCTTCACAAGAACAATATAAAAAAATGCTCAATATTTAAATTCTATTGCTCTCATATTTATGGATGAAAGTTAAATCTATAAACACTAACTAATAATTAGTTAGACTTGTAACCTGTGTAAAATTCACTCTGGTTCACTAAGCAAGTCATAGTTATGTTTTAAATATACAATTATATTTTGATTCGAATCCTCCTGAATTTTAAGGTTAAACTGAATTTTATGACATATTGCAATTACAGAGATCAGGTTAAATGACAAACTTAATAATAATAATAATAATAATAATAATTGCTTATACTTATATAGCGCTTTTCTGGACAGTCCACTCAAAGCGCTTTACAGGTAATGGGGACACCCCTCCACCACCACCAGAACGCTCACCACATCAGCTATTAGTGGGGAGGAGGGCAGAGTAATGTAGCCAATTCATAGAGGGGGATTATTAGGAGGCCATGATTGGTAAGGGCCAATGGGAAATTTGGCCAGGACGCCGGGGTTACACCCCTACTCTTTTCGAGAAATGCCCTGGGATTTTTAATGACCACAGAGAGTCAGGACCTCGGTTTTACGTCTCATCCGAAGGACGGGATTAATTAATTCCTCTCTTCCTTAACTGGATCTAAAATAAATTAATCTAGTTCCAAAACCCACTACCGCTCACCTTTGAATTAGCCTCTAGATAGTTGTAAAGTACATTCACAGATATGGTAAGGTCTCCCGTGTTGAACGGATAGGTTCTGTTCCAGCCCTGAGGTCCAAATTTCCGTCTTTCTGCTACCACAGCATGGAAGTAGCAGAGTGCAAAAAGAATGCTTTTAAACTCATTCTCTCGAGCACACATTTCCAAGGTATCCTGAAATAGAAAAAAATAGAAGAATATGCTAAATAAAATTAAAGAAAAAAAAAGTACCTAATTTTAAATTCCCCATAGCTGTTTTTATAGATATTCCCAGTCATAAAACATTTAAAGAAGCTCATTCATTATCATTTAGGCTTGTTCCCATGACATTTTGACGGTCATTTGTTTTCATTTTCTGCACTACATGTATCTCCAGACAGGCAGACGACTGGATGACGCTGAACAAAAGGACTGGATTTTCTTTAATTGACACTGCCTGTCAGGTCTTCAATGGCATATTGTTTTAGATGAGTTAAATGAAAAACACTGGCAGTATCACTTCCAAGAGGGAAAACAGAAACAGTCATGGCTATAACTCTGTGTAAAACTGTTTACTCTGTTGTGAATTAAACGTATAAAATCCTTTTAGTATTGGAAGGCATGATTTTAAAAAAAATCCTTTGTTATTCACTCCACAAACAACTTTGGAAATGTGGAAGAGACACATTAGATGTTTCGACTTGACAATTACATTAACAAGGACATTGTGTTAATATTCTACATAGAGATACAGGTAGTATTATTTTGCCATCAATGACACATCTGGAATCCAAAGACAACATTATATTACACTCAAACCAAAAACAATCCAATCAGAAAACATACTGTAGCTTTCTCCTGCTACACTTCTGTCTGATCATGCTAATTCTCTCTTCTAAAAAAGGTCTAAAAAGTGAGAGTTGAAAGATAAGACCTCCAACCTATAAGGCAACAAGACAGTTGCAAGCTGTGCACTAGAGAAGAGGAAATGAAAGAGCATAATAGAAAGTGGACATGGAAGCAGGTGCCACTGAATCAGTGTCCTGGTGGACAGAAGCTCCAAGGCAATAATCATCAAACTGTAGCAGTAATTGCAAACTGAAACTTTGGGATGACTTTCACAAACACTTTCCCAGTCAGATCTTTCGCACTACAAAAATAAACCATGACAGACTGAATCAAATGTGTGTCAAGTCCAACCACTCAATAGCAATGGTATATAGAGGGACAAAGGTTATCTATCCCTGGGTTAGGAGCTGAAATACTGGAATCAGTAATTGCCCAATAACCTGGTTTCTCACTGAAATGGCTTTTAAGAGAATGCATAAAGAAGAATTAAAGAAATGGTGGATAAGAAAGAAAACACAATGTTTCAGCTGAAGACTCCACAGTCGAAACGTTGTGTTTCTTTTCTTCTCTTTTTAGCATGCAATAAACCTGTACTTGTTCCTTTGCAAATATTATGTGTGTTGTCATGTGACAGCTGGAAAGGACAAAGATAAAATGATACATTATTATAGTTTCTGTCCTTGAAACGTTAAGACAATGACTTTACTTTTGAGGACAAATTGTGGATTATTTTAGGGGAGTGGGAGGGGTAGGTTAGTTATCAAGCCATTCATTATCTATCAAGGTAAAGCATGACAAGAATATTTTCTTTCTGTCCTTCTCAATAAGGAGATATGTCTAAATGCTGCACCATGATGTGTACCTCTATTTATAAAGATAAGAATCTGCAGTTTAGGTATAGAGTGGGTTGTAAGTAAATGTCAAGGTAATGGTTTTCCCAGTTTGTCTGATAAGATACAAAGCTCGGAATTCTGATAACAAGGATGATAGCTCCTAAACAGGATTCAATGAAATACACAGTCAAAAACCCCTTTGTTACATAGAAGGATTTTAGGAACAGGGGGGTTTCACTTTAGATTAATTTGAAAAAGAAAGAACTCTACTGTGAGATTATTAAGAAGTAAATGAAAGTCAAACAGAATGAAGAACAACTTTTTAACAAAGTGCACAAAAATGACTTGGTGCTGTCTCTTGAAAAATACATATCAATTTTTTTAAATGATTGTATCTGTAGAGCAATCAGCTCAATATTGACAAAGAATTTCAATATTAACTAAGGTATAAAGGGAAAAAGTCAGAGTAAAATATTAAGAACCAATTCTGTAAAGTTGGTTTCAAGCGAAATACAAATTAAAATACAAAAAGGATGGATAAATTGATGTATTCTTCATTACATTAGTTTGTATTTTTGATAAATCCCAAAGTACTCAAATTTACCTTATATAATGAATTTATAAATATATAAAGACATAATTATCAGATTTTATTTTTTCGCACATACAGTACATTGAACACAAACCATCAGGGATATCAGCAGTTGAAACTAAAATGTTAGACATTGCTAATGATCATTCTATTACTCATTTTGTCAGGAGACAGTACAATATATTTATCTAGTCTCTTCAAACAGTCAAGATTAAAGAAAACAAAGTGAAAGAACTATTGGGGAACTATGATTATAATATGGCATACCTTGAAATATATTCAAGTGTCTAATAGTACTTTTTCAAGAAACTGTACAAAGCACACATTTACTCTTTCAAGAGAGAAGACTACAGTATATTGGAAAATGAAAGTGCTAAGGAGAAGCAGAATATGAGGGAATAGATATAGAATCAGTAGAAAATGGATGACAACAGATTTAAAATTATAATAATAAAGATATCTCCACATGACAAGTGTCAGACTTCATTCTTCAATCTAAAGACAAAATCATGTTCTGGAATACTGTACCAAATCAAAGCAAGTAATTAGTTGAACCTAATCAAATACTTGGACATGTACTGTATGGCAATGTTAACTATCCTCATATAGTATATTATTATTGGTATAGCAACTGCTGTTTACAATAGAGAAACCTGTAGTCAGTGTATAACATCTCCACCAGTCAAAGCCATTTAATTTGCATTTTTTGTTTTGCATTAGGCTAGGGTTGCATTTCTAATGTGTTTCAGCATAATTATGCACAACTCAAAAGCCTATCAAGGAATTACATAACATTAATGTTTTCACATTAAGTCCAAACATATTATTTAATTTACTAAAAATAAAGTACACAGGGGAAAGGCTTGTTTATGTTTTTGTATACTGTACATAGAAGTTACTCCAGGCTTTATTACAAATGTTATATAATATTAAAATTTCTAATAACAATATTTTGATTAAACATTGGTTTAACAGTTTTGATCTTTTTAAGCATAAAATTAACACATTTTCTCACCTCATTTACTTCCCAAGACAATGCTCTGACTGTCAAAGAAAATATGGCATTCTAAACTAGAGAAGACAAGCAGAAACATCTGTCTCCTAAGTGATTTTGTGAAGTAGTATGAACGTTTCAGTATCATTACAATTATAAGAGATAAGATCATTTTATTGGCCATATACAATTTCTTGTATTAGTAATTTGTCTTTTCGCAAACTCCAACTTGCTCTCCATGAGACACACAGACAGGGAGAGAAGCTTGGGGTCAGAGCGCAGGGTCAGCCATTTATACAGAGCCCCTGAAGCAGTTGGGGTTAAGGGCCTTGCTCAGGGGCCCAAAGGAGTAGGATTCCTCTGCCGGCCGCGGGATACAAACTGGCAACCTTCCAGCCACAGGCGCAGATCCTTAGCCAGTTCTTCAACATGCATTAGGTTAGACAGATCAATATGTAACATTCTTAAAGACATAGGGATTTATATGTATCAATTATTATATGTATACATTATATGTATATGTATATATGCATCAATTATTTCAATCCAATTATGCGCAATCCACAGAATATTGACTAAATATCACACACTTTGCACTTATTCAGAAAATATTCATAAATATTTGTAAATTAAGGTCAGTTGGGTTATTTTAATTAATTACAATTAATTAACTACATTAAGAATAAAATATTGTATTCTCCAAAATAACAGAAGAGTAAGGTTTTTTAATTGAAAGGCAAGCTAGAAATCAAGGATTTATGGAATTATACAGTATACCATGTTCCTTAGAAGCAATGTAAAATACTCATAAATGGATTTGGTTTCATGAGTTTCAAATTACATTTTAAACTCAACTTCCATATTATGACAAAAAAGTCAACATAGCTTTTAGCATTCTAAAACTGTTCAGCACAGAAGAAACTGAGAGGGACTGATATCAGGCCTTAGGTCCAATATGGTGTGTTCATGTGCAGCAGTGCACATTATTGTGCATATAAATCATGGTAAATAAAGAAAACATTGTGTAATTTTCTTTTAAAAATACCTTTTTACACTTAATTTTATTTGTTTCCTGGGCTACAGCAGCTGGTGAAAGACTTATGTAACCTTATGTTAATGAAGCAGTTACACTTTAAGCACAACAGTGTGAAGAAAGTGAAGGTCAGCGTTGAGGGTGAGAAAACATGCTCTCACTGTGTAATCCCTAAAGTAAAGGAGCTATGCAAGCTGAAAAAATGGCAAATGGAGACTATAAATCCGTAAAATCCTGGCTGACAAATTGCCTGCATGGTTAAACTTATGAAACACATTACCACCTATCAGTGGACACCACATCCTATTTTTTGCTACATTCCTCTTTTGTGCTGTTCAAGTGCACCATATGCTGTGCAGTGAGCTGGTACAGATTTGAAGCCCTCTTCCTCCAAATGAGGTGACTGTAATACTGTACACAGTTACAGCACAGTACTATTTAACCATACAGATATGACCAAAGAGGGTACATAAAAAAGGTATTATTACAGTACTATAAATGAGCTCCAAGTAAAATTCAGCAGGGCAGTGATGCAACAGCTCACATGTGAATATGTGAATATGAAAAGAACCAGACTAGCAGCATGTGGGCCACCATCTCAACCTTCCCTTGTATGTCGCATTGTAATCAGTACGGTAGTGTGATACAGTCGGGTCTCGACATCTCCGAATTTTAACATTCCGAAATGACTTAACTTTGAAATCAGTGTCACGACAAGGATCATGAGATGAATCTAGCTAGTAAACACTTCTGCCTGCCCAAGTACCCATTACCCAGCATCCACATCTCGTCTCTGCACTGAACGCTCGCAGATGTAGGAACCATATAGTCCTTTACATTAATTGACCCACCTGCTTATAGAATACATGCCTCTGCACTTTAAGTTACTGTATTGTGTAAGAAAATCTTGGGGGTTTACCTGGTTAAAATTGTCCAGAGCTTTGTGCAAGTTGGCGTGCATGCCTGTTGGTGGTTCATTGGTGATTTTGATGGAGTTCTCTAAGATGCCTTGGGGAATGATGTGTCCATCGGCTGAAGCAGCAGGCTCGGCACTGATGAATACACGGAACTCCTGGTGGCTGCCCTCGCTGTGCTGCTCCAATTTTTTCTCCAGGGTACCCAACCACTTGGCCACCAGATGGATATTCTAGTAGCAAAAAATGGAACAGTGCATGCTCAATAGACCAGAAGATGGGATATGAGTTAGGATATAAGCATTTAAGAGCATGAGTGGATTAGTTTACAAAAAGGAGGGAGCAAAAAAAGAAAAGAGAATGAACAAAAATAAAGCCGAAGGATGAAAATAAAAACAAAATACTCTTTTTATCTTGATGGATTTGTTATGTTTAATTTAGCAGTACAATGTTAATTGTGGTACACTAAATGCTGTAAATACTTTCCTTTGGGCTACTGTAAAATTGGCAGCTTTTACAGCTGGTTTAATTCTTAATGGGAAAAATCTGTACCTCAATCAATACTGTTAATATGGATGCACCACTAATTAATACAGCAACAACAAATCATGATATGCACCAAAATATTCTTTAAGTTTTTACTAGACCTGGAGATCTTTTTAAGGACTTGAGATTTGCCCTTTTAACAATTTAGTTAGTCAAGCATGGCCAACTGTAGTCCTTGAGGACTTCCGAAATGTTACTATTTTACAAGTTAGTGACTTGTTCATTTAACAAATCATCTGCTTCAGTGATTAAAACAAACTTGTTACAAGTATTTATTTATAATTAGGAAGTGATGAATTAAGGGTGATCCATTAAACCTGCTGGATTGTGCCACTGGACAAGTGTTGTCCGCCATAGCTCTATGTGGCCTTAAAAGCACAGTGAAATGTTTCTTACTATGAAATGTCTCCTTGCCTAAAGATGAAACATGCACAACTTGCGTCCTGGAGGGCTAGGTTTTGGACTATACTTCCACCTGATCCCTTATTTACCAATAAATAAAACAGTAAATAAAATGTAAATAAAAATTAAATGTAAATAAAACATAAAACAACAAACCTGTTTAGAATGCTAGAGAAAAATGTCTCAAGAACTAAGCAAATCAACACAGCCAATGACATACTTTTCTACAAGAGGTTATACAAGTATTTCACACGTACAAACAAAGTCTGGTTAAATATCCATATATCTATTTTCTAACCGCCTTATCCAATACAGGGTCACAGAAAAGCCAGAGACTATCGCCACAAGCAATAGGCATAAGGCAGGATACCCTATGGACAGGATGCCAGTCCATTGCAGGGTACACACAGACACACACACTCATACAAGGGCCAGTTTTCCCAAAGTCCAATTAATTTACCAGTATGTTTTTGGACTGTGGGAGGAAACCCGCATGCACACAAGGGAGCACATGCAGTACAAACTGAATGAAGGTTATGAAATAACCTAAAATCCATTCTGCTATCTTTACAACACAAGCAGTTAAAAAAATTGTTCTACATGTACTAAAAGATACTGTTACACTAGCTTCATTAAATTCTTTAATAAAATCACAAGATTTTATTAACACCAGCAAAAGTTTTGAAAACCATGTAGATATTACCCAAAAACTCTTATTAGCAAAGATATTAAAAATGAAATCCCCTCAAAATGTCTTAAAAACAAATACTGTATGTATAGAAATTAAATTCAAAATGGGATTGATTAAAATTGGACACTGGAGAAAATTCCTTCCACTTTCATATGGTAATGCAGCTAGCCAAAGCTTGATATTCCCAATAGCTGCCCATTTAGAAATCTAATTAAAGGACTGAGTTACAGAGCACATTAATTCACATGCTCTGAGCTTTTCATCTTCTGAAATTTTTATTCAAACCTGTCACAAGTTAGAAGTTTTCTTACTAATAATAAGTCTTTAAACGTCATAAAATCAAAATATCATTTAACAAATCAGGGCACACATCTGGCCAATATCTGCAGTTATTCCTTAATACTGTGCTAAACTGTTCACATTCCCCTTATGACATAAAGCATGTACTGTACAGCAATACTTATATTAGTGAAAACTAAATTGAATATCAGTCTTTGGAAAATTTGTGTAAAGTGAAAATTTGTGTAAGTGTAAAGAGTGCAAGAAAGATATGCTGATTTCGGATCACATGAACCACAAATTGAAGATTTAAAAGTTGATAAATGTTTCTAAATACTTGATTTAATCTGAACCAAAACTACCTAACCTTTAACTGGACACTTTCAACAGGAATGGTGAATTCAGTCAATGAAGTGACTGACCTTTTTTAAGGCTTTTATTTTGCTTTGTTTAGTGAATGAACTCATGCCTTCTGAATTACATTAAAATGGAAGGAATTCTGCTTAAATGTCACTTCATTCCTGAAATCTCCTCTGTTAATAATAATGTCATGCTGTGTTCTGTCTGAATCCCATTCAGCTGTACTTTTATGTCAATACTGCAAGACAGTTTGTGGTGCAGCCTGTCTAGTAGCTGGGCAACACATAGCATTATACTCTCAGCAGGAGGCTTAACTTTGCTGCAAGGTATTTGAATATGCTCATCAAGATATGAAGATAATATTCTAATATTGTACACAATGAAACAAAAACACTTAAGAAACCTGTGAATTTGATTTTTTCCAGCTCCTAAGAGGAAAACATTTAACTCTTTACTTACACTCACACCAGGACCAATTTTCCAAGAAGCCAGTAAATTTAACAGTATGTCTTTGGACTGTGGGAGGAAACCAGGGCACCTGAAGAAAACCCACATGCATTTGAGGTGAACATGAAAACTCCACACAGATAACAGCCCAGGAATTGAGCAATCCTAACTATTGAACTACAATACCATGCCACCAAAATACCGGCATAAAATTGTATGTATATATACTGTATAATAATAATCATATAATTAAACAAAATGGGGTCATTGGAAGGGAGTGAATACTTGTGAAAGTCACTGAATGAACTATACAGTATAAGTCAAGTAATATGCTCCAGAATCAGGAAAGAGGAGAATAGCCTCAACAAGTGTAAGGCATCCTCTGAATCAGCACAGGCTTAGTTCAACAAAGCAAATAATGGTTACCAATTTGGATTAGAGCATCATATTTGATTTTTCAATTCTTTATAACTTCTGTATAAAAAATGCACAAATAAAGTGTCAATAACCCTTGGGAAGTGACCTCTACAAATAATTAACTGGATTTTTATTATCAAGTTACATTATGTTCATAAAGTCTGGTACTGATGAATAATGAAATGTTAATGACTTGTCTGATATTAATTTGCAAGGTGTCATCCCTAAAATTTTAACTAAAAACTGTTGTTTTGTGACACATTTTAAAGGCATCTGCAAGCAATGGATCAGATTTTTTTTTTCATTTTCATTAACAGTGAAATCCCTTTACAATTCTAAAAATAATGCTTAATGTTTGTGCATCTCATTATATACTGTAGATATGTAGATATACATATAAGCTATGCTAGCTTAGCTTTAAGTGAATCATTCACTTATACTGAGTTGAAGTTTAGGGTACGACATAATTTTGTAGGGAAAAATATGACATACTGTAGTCCTTTTCTACATATTCTGTATTTGCTTGAGATAATGTTCATACAGACCTTAAAGCAGCTGCAATCAAACCTTAAGACATTTAGGATACAAATAAAAATGGAAGACAGATTCTGCGAACGGCACAAGACACAGAAAATCCTGACTAAGGTAAGCAAAACATTTAGCTTCAGGGTAAACACCTTTTCAATTGGATTTAAAGCATTCATGCATGACAAGATAAAATTGATTCATATGGATATGAAAATAAGCTGCACAGATGACTGAACATTCTTTTTGCTCACAGAATCTTCCTTACCCTCACTAAGTGAATAAATTAGACAGCAAGGTATACTAGCTTTTTGAGCACTTAGGGATTTCTGTACTGATGTTTGTTGTAACAAATATACATTTAAAGTCTATCAAAATGTATTTACAAAGGTATTTTGTCTATAAAAAGAATAATAATTGCAATGTTTGTTATACTACCTGAAAAGTAAAGTAAGGAAATGTCTTCAAAATTCTCAACTTGCTACAGATTAACATACAAAACCAGAGTCCATTAGGTGACCTTTTTTTTAAATCCTCTAACCTAATGTTATTATTTACATTTTTCATCTAAGTTGAGAAATGGTTGTGATTCTGTGCTTCAGGGCCTGAAAGTATAGTTCCTGTTCTGTACACGCGTCTCAAGGGAATACAAGTTCAGAAAATGTAACACAAATGTATACATCATTTCTGGGTGTGAAAAATATGCAATTTCAACAGCAGACTGAAGCACAGGAAGCAACTGTAACTTAGGAGTGGCCAAACCAAGGCCAGTAAGGACCTAAGAGAGTAAGAGAGAAAGTAAAGTACAGTAGTTAGCTGTTATAACTGTCATCTAGACATATTTTGCCATTTTATGTGAAACCTGGAAAATCATTCCAATTGCACTGTCAGCTGTCAGATAAAACCTAAAAAAACAAACCTTTAGAAATATAAATCATTACCTCTAGTAGTTGTTTTTGCTTGATTTGCTACTCAGTATTCTTGTTTTCAACAGTATTTGTGATTCACACTTCACTATGGTTAAAACCTAGGAACCTACGTGTCATTTTTATATTCCTATGAGGACTGCATTGTAACCTGATATTAAAACCTACATCACAAAATCACAATCGCAAAAAGATAATGATATCATTATATTATATAGGTGATTTACAAATTTGAAAACATTTTTTTACTAACTGTTTTGTGAAGTCTTACAAGTTATAGGACCTTTCATATACAAGAGAAAACTCTGGAATGGATTGGGTTTCTATGTAAAACACCTGCAACCTCCTGTTAACGGTGTAAGTACATCTTACTTGCCTCTATTACAGTTAAATATTCTTCCCACCAGATTCCACATACCCAGCTCTGAAAATGCTCTAAAAACGTGCATGTTGCATAATCTACTAAATCCAAGACTACAAGATACTTACTTTTTGACACTCCACTCAAATTCATCTTAATAATAGTTGACAGTAATAGATTTCAGAATTGTGTTACCAAAGGACTGAAACATTTCTTTTAAAGGTTTCTCTGCAGTGTGGCCCAAGTGTAAGGGAAAACAGATGTCAGTGTTTCAATGGGACTAAAGAAGGGGATTGTTAACTCTAATTGTCCATTTTGTGTTACTTATTCATTGCACTCAGTGTAACAACGTAATTAAGTAGTACCGTTTCCTGATCTCAACTGTAGCCTTCATTAATCATTTAAACATGTACTGTCTGTAAACTGTATAACAGTCTCTAAAAAAAGGAATAATTTTTTCATCCTTCTTAATTTATATGAAGATGAAGAATCAAGCTTCCTTGCTAAAGCAATAATCTCCCAAAATAAGCACCAAAATACCCCAAAACATAATCATGGGCAACAGAACAAAATGTTACAGAACCGGAAAAGATGTCTTGTATGTGCTTTATTAGTTGCATGCAGTGCCTTAGACAGATGGAATCAGCATGTTTTTGATTTATAGTTTGCTCCAGATTTTGTCAGAGCTGAGGAACCCTTTCTTTCACGGTGGTCACATTTCCCACATGGGGGCAATTTACTTGTAATTTTCAATCAAATCTTGACCAGTTTGTAAATTAAACATCTATTGATTCAGTTAAATGTTTAGCTATGGCACAGCTCACTTGTTGTGAAGGAAGTGCAGGATAGTGCCGAGACACATAAGTATGTCTTTGTCTAAGGGGTCAACTCTTAAGGGTAATGTTAATTTGAAGGTTAATGGTACTTTATCCTGTAAACCTATTCGAAAAAGGTCTAGAGAGGGCAAAACAACTGTACACAGTGGGTTACTTGACCAGCAGACACCACAAGCAGAGTGTACAGTACATAAGAGAATGCACACTATGCTAGCTATGGGGAGACTCATGGCTTCAAAAGCCTTGCTGAATAGCTTTTCTTATAGCTTAGTTCATTCTGAGAAGACACTGACATTGAGAGCTATTTAAAAGTGTGAAAATGTACAATTTTTTTTCCTGAATGCAGAAAAATATTTTAATATAAAATCCACACAAAAAGACACCATTTCATTTACTTTAGTATAAATTCAAGAAGCCTATGGTTTAGAATATGTTCCTTTTCTCTCAATCCACACAAATAATCAAAAGAGCAACATGAAATATTCAAAATATATAATCGATGTTTACACAAAACTACTAAAATATGCCATTCAATGCAAACAAAATATTTGGATTGGAGGTCAAGGATATATTACCGTTATTATCTTATACCTTTTCAAACTGTTTATGAAGTGTACTTAAGGAATATTTGAGAATTTTTGATTAGATTTTGATTTTTGTTATTTTGATTAGGAGAGCTTCCTATGCCTCTTCTGTCATAACTAACCTTCAGTGATGATGAACTCTCCCTGGCCTGTGGATATCCAGAGCAGTTCTTCCTAAAAATTCATAACTTCAGACTACTAGATCAAGACAAGTTCTTGATTGGGCACAAATATCTAAAGCTGCCTACATGTAATTCTCTGTATTGATAAACCTGACAGATCAGAGCTGGCAAGGCTTGTTTTTAAATGTATTGATCATCTTTATTATGCACAGGTAATTAAACAACTGCTTGTATTTGCAGCCTAAATCCTGCAGTGAAGATTAGGTTCTGCTAATTGCATGATTTACAATACCCATGGTCTCTTGTGTTTTGCACTGCCATCATTATCCATCAATTAGAATCACAGAGAATCCACACAGCACAAGGACAGAAGCAAAAAGTAACCATTCAACACAAGTGCGCCTGCTTGAAACTGCTTGAAACTTGAAACAGCAAATGACCCTTACCTTTCTATCCTCAGAAATTGTATACAAAAAAACTGGCAACATCATCAATTAGTTTTGCAATTTATCCATCAATACATCCCTACCTGGAAGTTAGGTACTGCAGTTCAACGGTGGTAAATAAAAGAGTAGAATACATTGTGTAAGTAAGATTGCAGTTCACCCCCATTGTAGGAATTAACCTGCTTTTGCAAATTAATACACTCTTGTAAGTACAGTGCTCCTTCATAATACTCTTTTAAATACATTTTACTTACAATTCATTACAGGGCATGCACTGTACCTGCAAAATAACCCAGTGTCCTTCATTGGCTGCAAGGTCCAGGGCTTGCTCAGCAACAACTTCCTGCCCCTGTCCCAGGGAAACATTGTGGAAGTTTCTGTTGTCAAAGGTATAACCCAGTTTTCTTCCTAAAATGAGAGTCAGCTATTAATAATTGCATGAAACAAATATGCTCAGACAGACAGCCCAGAACAGATTAACTCTATCAGCAAAAGTCAAGGGAGATTTGATGGAATTCAGATTAATTTAAGCCTCTCTGTTCTCACACTTTTGCTAAAAAAGTATAAAACATTACAAAAATGGACAATATATTTTAGACAAATCTTTTTTTTTACCATTTCGCATAAGTTTCTTAATTACAATTTAGAATTATAGGATTATTTTGCTCAGATTTAGCACTGTTGTAAACATTACATATCTTTCGAGTACAAGATTGTGTGCCCTTGTCTGAAATTGTTTTAAGTATCCATCCAACCCTTTTTATAACCGCTTACTCCTGGTAAGGGTTGTGGTAAGGCAGAGAAAGGCAGATCAGACTTTTCCGCACCAACAGTCTCCAGCTCCTCCTAGGGAACTTCCTGGCACTTACAGCATAGGTCATCTGAGAAACATAATCCCCCCATCTGTCCAAGGGTCTCTTCCAGATGCCCAAACCACCTCAACTGCTTCCTCTCTATTCAGAGGAACAGCAGCTCTAGATCCTCCTGGATTGTCTAGCTCCTCACCATATCTCAGAATGTAAACCTTGCTGTCCTATAGTGAAACCTAATTTCCACAACTTGTACCCACTATCTCATTCTTTCAGTCACTACCCAGAGCCTGTAGAGTTGATTGATGGGAAAACAGAAAGCTTTGTTCGAAAACTCATCTCCTGCTTCAGCACCACAGTTCAGTACAGCGTCTGCATTACTGCAGCAGCTGCACACATCCACCGGTCATTCTCACCTGTTTTAAGTATGAATTTTGAAATTGTTCACTTAGAGAAGCACAGAAGGTTGTTACCAGAGAAGTTTATTTCTCTGGCACCATATGTGTTAATTTTTGATATCATTAAAACATGATGTAATGAAAATTATTCAGAATGCAATGAATTTAGCCCACACCAATGTTTAACTAGGAATTACTTTTAATGGTTATTGTTCAATGTAGATGGTTATTGACTAATATGTCTAATACCTGTATACTGTAGGCATATTTATGTGTCAGATCTCTGATTTTATATTATTATTTACTGCTGGGCAACTAGAAAGAAGTTAACTTACTCTTAGTTGAATCAATTCAGAAAGTGAATGGCAGTTGTGTAATTTAAAAGTGTAACTCTCTTTAATTTGAAATCTATCAGTCAGGAAAATGACTTAAACTATCCCAGAAGCATCCTTATTCAGCACAGCTTGGTAGTCAATAACCTTGAAAATAAATGGCTTTGTTGGAAACCTAAAGAACTGCAGATAAATGGGTATATGAGAAATGAAATGAATTTAGGTCATACTGTAGTTGTATACCAAGTAAAAATGCACTTTGTTTGCACACTTGCTAAGATGAATCAAATTGAAGTCAAAATAACTTAAATGTATTAGCAGTCCTTGCTGTGTTTGTTCTAGTGTCACAGATAATCAATTTTTACACTCCAATGGAACAGCTTTTACTTCAAAATGGACACAGCATGAACACCTGAAACTACATGCAAGGAGTATAACCTTCTGGTCCACATTGAGAGGGGAGCAGAAGTTTGGAATTGGAGTTGTTAATGTTTGGCAACAGGCTTTCAAAAAGACAATGTCAATGTATAGTATTGATGATATAAGAAACAAACTATATGAGTCATAATTGCAGGAAAACACAATGGTCAAGGAAAGACTTTTTTGTAAACTTCACCTTACTATTTTGAGTTTCCCTCTTTATTTTGTCCCAGTTTAAAAACAATAAAAAACATGATGCGCACATCATCATGTGGGGGGTGTAGTGCTATGTGCATGGCAAGAGACTTTCAGAAAAGTCTGAAAATAGAGGACCTAATTTGTAGATAACTGCTAAATCAGATGGTGTTCAGCAGAACAGTTTTTTTTTATTTTATCTAAAAACAAAATTACTATGGGATGACCCACAAACGAAACACCGATGTCCACAGGATTTTTAAAATTACCGTGTTTCTCAACATCCTTAAGTGGGTCAACACCTGGAGACAGAATGAAAAACATAGGAGTTGCCGCTCCAGATTCTTCAAATGAAATGGCGAAGTCCAGTGATCGGCCCACCACGTACTTGCTACCCAGTTTCTCCTCAACAAAATCCCTATGGAGAAAAAAGGAAATAGGAGATGTTTCTTTTAAGCACTGATTTGTAAAGCTATATCTTAATACACAGATTCACAATACTATATATTGGATGCTTAAAGAATGTCTGCCTTTTAATATACTGTACATATACAGTATAATATCAGTATCTTCCACATCTGTGGCTTTGAACTAAGAAGACATTCTTTAAAAACTATTCACAAAGCTCCTAATTATGGCTTGGCAAGCCTAATTAGACAACCTTGCTGTAACTCTAGCACTATGATGTTTTCCTTTTTTAAAAATCAGGCATTTGACTGAGGGATTGTGGAATTCACCATGACATTTATCATGGATATTATTAGCATAATTTTGAAATATACTTTTAGTTTCTGTAAATGTGAGATGTAGTATCAAATGTATGCATATAAATAATTTGGAACCTTGGTACATACTGCTTTGAACTTTTCATGTGCCTATTTTTTAGTTTCGTCACCACATTTGTCACTTAGCTTTTGTTGGTCTAATTATCATTCAGCCAAAAAAATGTATTTATGAGCTTACATCTACAGCTGCAAAGTGATAACTTCAAACAGTTATTCAGAAGGATATCTGGTTATACGCTAAATTACTACTTCTACATTAAAATAGATAATTATTGATATAATAAGAACAACTGAGTTATTTGTAAGCATGTTACAAATTGACCACATGCAATTTTTCATGGAAATGTCAATGCTGTCACATGCTTGTGTTTACATTACCTGGGATAAATACATGAAATATACCTGTTACTACATCAGTTCAGAACAAATACACACATTAGTATGAGTTGTATAATTAAGTTTAATTTGAAAATCTTAAATGATATTACAGATAATGTAATATACATACTTAATATAATATAAACAATATCATCAGAAACAATAATAATCTCTGTACTCTCTTGGGTACACAATTTGTGTACCTTGTTTTTAACCCTCCTGGTTTTTTTATTCAGGATATTTTCACAAGTAAATATAAGAAGAAATCAGATTTTAGAGCCATCTGTGTACTTATAAAAGAGGAAAATACATTTATAAAAAGCTTTAAACAAGCTAAGCCTTTTAAAAAATATATATATCTATTTTTGTAAACTATTTCAGACACCCTTATTATTAGGCATTAAATCAATAAGAAAACGTGTTAAGTTAATAAGTAATTAGAATTTATTAACCCTTGACAAACTGTCATTTTAAAAGGCACCTGAAAAAGGCTCCACAGCTAAAACATTGTTTCTTTTCTTCTCTTTTCAGCATGGAATCAACCTTTATTTGTTCCCTTTAAAAGGCAAGTTCCATACATTTGTGCTTTGCAATAGATCAGTAAAAAAATAAAAGTATAAACAATAGGGAGGGGATCTTTCATAAAAGAGCTAGCATATTCCTTAAGGTGATCTACAGTACCTGCTCATCAACAAAGGTCTTTTCAGAAAACGGAAATCTCTGTTTTGAGTCAGTCTTGTGTACTACTGATGGCTACAGAGGGATGAAAAGCATTTTTGTAGAGCTACAATCAACTGCTCAGCTTGTGCTTCCTGAAGCGTGAGAATCCTGCAGTTTCTAAAAGACCTGGAATTTCAGACTGAAACCTGATGTATTTCAGTACAGTTTATATGGAAGGCTCCTTACCTTACGGCATATGTCATCCGGTCAGGGCGCATGGCCCTCATCATGCAAAGCCGCTGAAGAGCAGTTTTGTTTTTCCACTCCTGTGGGAACTTCTCTTTCTCTGGGCACTCAGATTCCACAAACTTCTTCCAGCGTTTAGCAGAGCCTTCAATATCACGGTCCAGGTTTCGGAATTCCTCCATAGCAGACAGAGCCTAGTGAAGATGGAAATATTAGACTGTGCTGTAAATACTGATTCAACAACTAATGCAGTCCAGAGATGGGTGACCAACTGTTCAGTAGGTTTAGATTCAGTTTAAAGTTCATGTTTTCTCCTTCATAAATAAGAAAAGCATTCAAAACATTCTAAAGAGACAACTGGGAATGACTCTAGAATGTATTATTTTTCTGGACACCTATGAGCATGAGCATGCATAGACACTCAATCATTTACATATACTGTAACTGCAGCTACACGAGAGCACTTCACTTTTTTAAATATTTTGTTAGGTAATAACTATTGCACATTTTGTATATAAAATACCCTCTGGAAGTCTGTACCGATGAAAATGCAGACAAGCAAATGAATGAAAAATATTAAAAATACTTAATGAAAACTGTCTTTTTGAGGTCCAGATACAATCATAACAATACAACATACTGTATTTACCAAGTGAATATTCAGAAGTACATTAGATGTATTGGATGGAAGCTTTGTGCTTGCTATAGTATTTTTTGTATTTCAAAGAAAATCCATCATTTGTCAAACAGACCAATTAGCATCTAAGTCATTTTTTTCATTTGATCTTGTGCATCAGCAAGAAACAGAGAAAAAGGAGAAGAAAAAATGCCAGGTATACAGTATGTGTTTTTTTTCCCCAAAAAACTTATTCCATATGAATATTTTATTCATGTTTATACTATATCAAAGTCATGATGTAACTTTGAAATTCAGTTACCCACTGGTTTTATTTCATTGTTATTTTAGAGTCACATTTTAAATAGTTATTATAGTGTAAAAATGTAAACAACAGAAGGAATCAGAGAGAGACAGGTAAAGGGACAATATTAAACATACATTAATACATTAACATACAATATGAATACATTAGTAGCCTTACTTGCTTTCTTTAGAGAGTGGAATGAACATTTTCCTTTATAACCAAAAATACTAAATCTGCTTATGCCACAAGAAAGAAATGTGTGTTGTTTTGCTTGGTTTAAGGCATTCTTATCCTCAGATCTTGGAATACCATTACAGCACTACTGTATATACAGTCTTTTTGTTTTGTGAAAAAGCAGAAACGAAAGCCTGAAGCTATTGAATGTTAGTGAAATGGTCCCCTAGCACCACAGTGATTTACTTCAAGCTGATTCTTAAAGTATTTGTAATGAGAACAAACATTTAAGACCATCCTGTGTGCTGCTAAGCCTTGCCTAGATTATCTCAGAGAAAACAGACAAACCCCAATAATCAATTCGGGAATTGGGGTTTATCCTTCCCCAGGACATTTCTTATGATCAGTAGGTTATCAACTAATCCGGGTAGTTCTACCATACAGCCAGTATCCTTTCAATATTTTCTTATTAATGTCTTTGTGTTTTCACAGTTTAAAGTAAACTTCAGCTGAAGAATACATCTTGACAAAAGTTCTGCTTTAGTCTGAACAAAATCCTGCTACAATGTGATCAATTTGTGCCGGTGCTCAGCTCCAGTATCTCTCAATTTCAGATTTCTGAGGACTGTAAGCACAGCTGCTGCACCTCTTTGTGACATGAACATTTTACATTGCATGTTCTCAATTTAAAAATGCAGAAGTTTGGTTCGATCCTAAAAATGTGATGAAATATTGTTTGCATATAGCATATTTGGTGAGACTCACCTAGTTGAGGAAATGGCAGCCAAGCCATGTGGATAGGTTGCCCCACACCCCCTTACTATTGTGAGTATTTAGAGCAAATTTGCTGGAAGGGTGTAGATGGGGAGGTAGAAGGAATGTGAGAGAGATATGTGGAAGTAAAGTGTGGGTGCAAGACTTAGAAACATAGGCAAATGGAAGTGTGATTAGGATTAGATTAAATAAAATTAGATATTTTTGTCGTAGTGATTACTCATGTACTATTATAAGATAGTGGGAGATCATGCAGTTAATGAAATCTACAGTATACTATGGATAGACTATATGTCCATAAGAGTGGAAATGTCAAAAACAGAGCAGGCTTAATAGCATGTGATAATGGTATTTGAAAATATATTATATAAAAATATATTACAATAATGTTAAGTATATTATATTATATTATATTATATTATATTATATTATATTGATGTTAAGCATTATGTGAATGTCACAGTTAAGTGCTGTTGTTCCTCTGTTACCCCTTATACAGTATATCCATTCCTTCTAGTTCACACTGAGATCAAACACCTTGTAATTTACAAATTAAACACTGCTAGGAGGTCTGTAAACTGTTTTAGCAGTGTCTGAATTACACTCAAGAGCCTCCTAAGGGCTTATCCTATCATGACAAAATTACATCCAAACAATGCTTGTTTCATCCTGTTTTAAGACTGTATAACAATGGCTTTCTTAAAAGAGGAGAATTTGATAATTATGCTTTGGGTGTCCTATAAGCCCCATTGAACAACTGTGGGATGAGCTGGGCTCTAAAAACAATGAATAATCTCAATGAGAGGAAAGGGAGAAAATTCTAAAGATGGTATCTACAATCTAGTTGTGAGTTATATACTGTAAATAGGTTGTATTTCTTACTGTGGTGGTTACATAAACTACAACCCTGTGACTTTCACAGTAGACTACATGCCCATCAATCCTGTCGGCAAATAATGTTAAGCGTAATAAATCTGAATTTGTCATATTGGTTCAATATAATTTCAGAGCCTTGTTACAAAAGAACTGGCATTTCCTAAATAATCACGTTGTGAATCTGTTGCAGTTGTGATGTGTTTCTTTCAATGATCTGTATATATTAGATTTTACATGCTGCCCTTGAAAAGTCTTCTTAACATGTTTTCTGCCAAAAACATCTTGCAGCATAAACATCACAATGTAATTATCATCAGTCATGCTAATTATAACAGCAAACATATAGAGCATAAGTAATTAAGTTGTTTCTGCAGAGATTATTATAAACAACTTCATGAGAAAACATAGTGTGAAATGCCTTTGAGATATATTGTAACACACTGTCAACACATAGGCATGATAATGTGGTGATGAGAATTTAATGTCAACCAACATTAAAACTACCTGTATAAGATGATATAGAAAATAATACTAAAATAGACAAACAGACAACCCACCAGATATTAATGCTGGTTAGCTGCTGATGATTGAGTTTTTGCTTGAAATTTATTTTAAGAGTCTAGAAATAGAGATGCAGTATTAAAAAAATCAACAAAACATGTGCTTGACCTGGAAGTACAAAAGATCTTCAGCATCCTGCTACATACTCATAGCTTTGAAAAGAAGAAGGAGTTTTTTTTCATCATGGTAGGTTTGTATGATCATACAGCACTCTGAAATTGTATGAATTTTGGGTGTTAATTATGAATGGAATGGTCATTTATAGTACAAGATTAGATCATTTTGCTCACATACATGAAGATTTGAAGCAAACATACAGTATGTAGTTCAGGTGGGTAGCTGCGTCAGCATGCGTTGGCTGCAAAGGAACAAGTAATAGGTTTATTCCATGCTGAAAAAAAGAAGAAAGAGAACACAACGTTGTGTTCTCTTTCTTCTTTTTTTCAGCATGGAATAAACCTATTACTTGTTCCTTTGAAACATACAGTATGCTTTTTACTCCTTTATAGCTTTCTAGCAATTATAAAGACGGACAGCTGCAAGACTGTGCTTACAAAATCATTCAATCAAGTACAACATCCATTGTTAAAACAGTTTACCACAAAAGCCTCCAAATCTATAAAAAATGTATTAAAAAAAAATCTCTGTTTGACCTTATCATTCCTATTGGAAATGTAAACAAAATTTCCGCCCCCCCCCCATATTTAATGCTGCATTATGCATGAATTTAATATTTAGCATTACCTACTGTATAAATACATTAAGCACTCTTCAGAAAAATATAAAAAAAACACCTTCTTTTTGGACTGTAAATAAAAAGTAATTCAATAAAAATTCAAACATGTATGGAAAATAGCTCACAGTTATTTTGATGTAAGTCTCCTTCATACAAAAAACTCTTAGTTGTTAGATTTTGACCAGACAAAATGAAGTCTAGTCTATTCTGTTAGCATGCTCAGGAGAATACATTCCATTTAGGTAAATAAAGCGACTGCGGTATTCTCGACACTTCTGCCCTGATGTTGTCAGTGCTGTATAAATTGCCTGTAAAAGTTACTTGTACAATAAAAATTGGACAATTAAAATGAAAGAAAAGGCATCTGTGCTTCAGGTTTTAATGGCAAGGGACTGATTAAACTTTTATGGGACATTAAAACATAAACAATAGTGAGATTTCTGCAGAGTGGACCAAGGTGTAAACTGAAACAGATTTTAACAAAGCCAATTAGAGAGGGAAGAATTGCAATTTTCTAAGACCTGTTTAAGCATTCCATCATGGTACGTTACAATCTTTCACCACAGGTGAAAGTCAACAGGAGGAAGGATAAACAAAGGCTGAAAATATTTACTTTATGGAATCGTACTTTCTTGTTTATGTAGCAGTATTGGTACAGCACCTGAATTAAATAAAATTTAACCTGAGTTCCCTGACTGTTTCAGTGCTCTAGCTTTTGTATATCAAATGTAACCCAATATCTCTAGTTTATTTTTCCCGAGAAGTTGTTACATTTCAATTGACAGCTGTTGATTAAGCTATGGCAGTGAAAGACACATAAAGGACTAAATTAATAAAAAAGTTAACTGTTGTTCAAAGCCAATATTCCTGTAGAGGAAAATAAATTTAATACAAAAGAAGTTTAAATGCTTCTTTTTGATGTTGTTACATTAGGGGTTTTATGAATACTACTCAAAATTGTGTTATGCAAATCTGAGCTGTTGCAATTCTAGAATATATCAAGTTCAACAGAAAAAAACACTTTAACTCCCTAATAATTATGGATTACTCAAATTAGTTCCTTAAATACGTCAAATTGAACGTTACATGAGGATTTGAGGAATCAAAGACTGGATTTAGATACTCTTGCAAAAACCCATTACGGAAAGAATCCATGATCTAATGTAAAATAGAAAACAATGAAAACGCAAGCAATTTCCTTAAGCAAAAACTGTACTTAAAATTGAAATGTAATGCATATCTACATAGTAATGCTTCTGTTTCAGTCTCAGAGGAGAAAAGAATAAGATTTAATATTGCTTGGATAGTTTAATTCTCTTAGCGTACTTACCCAGTAATCTAAAAGTCAAAACCAAATTGCACATTGTTCCATATACTCTATTAAAAATAACCACTAAGTATAATAACAATAACGTTTTCCATATTAACACATTTCAAAAGAACACTTGCAATTCTCCCCAGAAAAAAACAACTCTTAGGGACTTCATCAAAGGAAATTATGAAATATCAAAGAGTAAAAGTTCAAGTTTATGTGTGTTGTACAACTTGATTTGGCCAGGACAGGTCTACAGAATAAAAAAAACTGAAGTAAACAAAGCAGCAGGAAAAAATATAGATATGTATTATCAATTAGTAAATCTCAATTACCTTTAAACTTAAAAATACATATCACAATACTATTACTGACACATGATTTTACTGATCAGATTACATTTTCCATCCAAACATACTCCATCTAAGAATGATATGCACTACCAGGTAACACATATTCTCTGTAGTCTAGTAAACCAAAAGAATTAGAAGAATAATAAATGACCATTCATATGCAATTGTTTCATGAGGTCCAAGACCAATTGAACTTCATATTGTAACTTATATTGTAACATATTGTAATCAGATCAATTGGACAGATTTGTTTTTTGTTAGATGTTTTTATAACAATAGTGCTCATTTTAACTTGAGCAAAATATTGTAATTCCTTTAGAATATACTGTATTCCTGTCTTCAGCAAAGTGTAATACCCTTACCTTAACGCCCCCCCAGGAATGATTGGAGAGGAAATCAACTGGAGAAGATACACCTGGCTGAGCAGGGTATCGAAGGAGAAAGTCTAGCTCAGTTGGGTTGATTTCTTTATTCATAACCAAAATCTACATTTAAAAAAGAAAAACATTGCAATTAATATCATTATTAAGCAAAAACAGTTACTGTAACTTTACTGGTGTTGCATTAATAATGTATTTCATATTTTCTCTAGCCATGGTAAACATCCTTTACTGTAGATGTGAGCATTAATAGTTCTGTAGACTTATACTCTTGACCATACTTAGTACTGTTAACAAAAGAATAACTGGCATACTAACATTGTAAAAGAATGTATTTTTTTTCTAATTGCTCAATGTCATTATTAGACTAAACAATATACCAATATTCCATTAAAGAAAACACCATTAATCCTCCTTACCAATACCAAAACCCAAACTCCATGAAAGCTTCCATGCTCACAAAGAAACTGACATCAGAATATGCTATCTTCAATTATTTTAGCATCTTTAAAAATATATTCTACTGTAGTTTCACATGGTCCCATGTTAACATGAATTTGTGACCTTTTATAAAATGACTTTCACTAAAGAAAGACACTTTATTTAATTTAGAATGCACAAAGTGAATTACTTTTTGAAGGAGTTACCTGGAATGCTAGCTGTGCAATGTAGGTGAGCTTATCACATTCGAACAGTCCCCTTGTGGTGTATTGAAAGACAGAGAAAGTAATGCTATCGATCAGGTTGGACACTCGCTGCTTCAGGGTCTCATCTGGAGGGGCTTTTAAGACTGCATTTTGGAAAACCACACTGAAAGCCTGCATACAGAAAGAATATCAGATGTAATGTAAATTGTCATTGTACAGTAGATCAGTTATCTCTTTTCAACTATATATCTTGGGGAGAGGACTTATGAATCCATTATGAACCAATTTTTGTATCGTAACTATACACAAAAACATTAGACACTACATTTTGTATACTGAACACATTATGCCATCTTGTTCAGTGTATATGCATGAATATGAGACTTACATTTTTGGATTATATATAACTTTAACATGCCTATTTTATATTAAGGGCATTTGCATACCTTAATAGCAACAGAAAACAAGAAAAGGTATAATTTTTAAACTATGCAGACTATGAATTGAACCGAATACACTCACACTTAACTAAAAACAGCTGAAGATGATGGTGAAATAGGTCAATGCATGCTTACAAAGCATCAGCAGATGATGGTGTGATATTATACAAACTTTAGATCATAAATAAGGTTGCCAACTAGAGGAGGCCATGTTGGCAGCTATGTTTGTAGTTAGTAACTAAGTGATCTGCGGATCCCATCCACACTCATTTCTAAACAGATGCCAAAATACTGACTTCTGCAACACTGCTAATAAAGAAGTGTTTCCTGGTCTCATCTCTTTAGTTTGCAGTTGTGTTTCACTGAGTAATTCCACAAGCTTTAGCTTTAGTAATGCCCTTGAAAATTTAAAAAACTCAAATCAGGTTGCTTCAAAATGTTCTCACTTCAAGCCACATATTAGGCTAACTTAACAGATTTTAAAAAATCTCATCAACTACTGGATCACTAAGTATGAGAGTAGAACAGCTCATTATTTAGATGTATAACTGTACACTAGCTGGCAGCAAATTGTGCAAATTAGAGTTAAAGATATGTTACACAGCATGGAGAATGAATTGGAAAATTAACACCTTAGGCAATGTGAAGTCAATAAAGAGGATAAAAACCATGTAGGTCAAATGGACATTTGATTTCCTGCATCCAAAATAAATATGCAAACACACTGTTCAGATCTTACTGTTACAGTCACAGAACATAAAGTTGATAGAAAAATAGAACTTTGGTTCTTTCTACTGGATTTAATATATATACAGTATAGTGATATTTGTGTTTATTTATAAGGACACTAGATTTATCAACTGCTTCACTATCACCGTATATTTTCGATAGAATGCATTTTTGTCATACGATAGTACATATCATTGATACAGTACAATAGATAGTTATTGTGTAAAATTACAGACTCAACCAGCGTTAACCTTCTGTAGTCACTGAACAGTTAAATGGCGGTACATAAAATAACTGAGACCCATTTACTTAAGTCTGCAGGATACCTTGCGTCACAAGGTCTGAAACAGTAGGTAATTAAATAAATGTTTTAGGATGTTTTAAGCACATAAGGGAACACAAGCAGCACAGAAAAAAATAATGAACAGAACAGAAATGATCTCTTTAAAAACAAATAAATAACTTATTAAAACAGTTTATCTGCCAACAAGAATTCCATTAAGGGATTCTTTGGAGTAAACTGGTAGGCCATTAAGAGAGTACCTTCAAAGAGAACTGATACATGGGATGGATTTTATTGAGGTCATTCATTATGAAGTACAATAAAGAAGCCCGAGCTGCAGCAGGTCTGTAGTGTTCTCTTGCCTCATTGATCTTCACTTCTGTCACCTTGGCCTCCTTTACCTGGAACACAAGAAGCCAAAGAAAGCATCTTTTAACAAGCACCAGGGGTTGTTTCTGCAGTGTGTGCATAGATGCTGGTATTCAGGAAACAGAAAACTGAACAGTCACTTTCATCTTTCTTTTTCTTATATTAATCACCATTGAGACTTATTAATGATCAAGTATCAACAGCACCATCACTACAACTGAAATCTGCTGAAAAGCCAAAAATGTACATTTATCAAGCATATCGCAGAACCTGATACAAATGCCTCCAAGGTGAGGAAGGAGGGCTGTTTAAGCAAGTTAAATAATTGCAGTTTATGGAGCTTTATAAAAATGTCACCACATCAGGCAGAACAACTTAAAACGTGTTGACAGCATATATCGGGGGTGAGATGTTATGGGTGGCTGATTAAATAGCAAAAAACCTCACAGGCTTTCTGTGAAATAAGAAAATTATTTCTTAGGGTTTTAAACTTGAAATGGGAGTTAATGCATCATTTTTATGCACACCTAATTGGTAGAGCAACGGGGGAATCTGGGGAGGGGGGTCAAAATTACAACATCCTCCTGCTTCTATTTTAATTAGTTGACTCAGAGTTACAATTCTTGCCTTGTATCTTTTTAATCCCTAATTTAACCAAATAAATAAATTGATCAGTAAATTCCAATTTACAATGATGACCTGTAAGAGTACCCATTGAAACAGCAGGCTATGTAAGGGAAGTAATGACATTTCAAGGGTACAACAACACAAACCAAACTCCAGACCCCTAATTACTAATTTACACTATTGCCCCCGTCTGGACAGGTAATATATAATCATCCTGTAATTTAAAGTGTAACAGGAAAAAAAAACAATCATGATTTATGTCTAAACAATATAAAGTACCCAGCAATTAATTCATACTTCTCAAGATATATTTTGCCCTTAGTGAGATCATGCCAGTATATGAAATACATGAAACAGATTCTGTTTTATCACTGTAACACATACTGTACCTGTAACTATTTATGACTCTCCATGCACATTTAACACCTTCCCATTCCAGCCATTACCTTGAAATATTTTTGATGTGTTGTATCTTCTCCTGCCACCACACATTTTCTGTGGGACTTGCAGATGCTTTGTATTCAAATGGACTCAGTAAATGATCAATTGGAAAGCAAAGACTGAAGTAAATTCAATCTGTTTCAGTTGTGTGACACATAAAGACAAAAAATAATCTACTGGAAACAATACATCTGGAAGAGATTCTTACAAAAAGAACCTTAAGGCCACATAACATTTTAGTTAATTAATTCAAGTGAAAATGCTCATGGGTTTGCCATATAAGGAACATTTGCCTGAATGTATGCTTCATGACAAGACACAAAGGATATTCTGAGATCGCAATTTTCATGCAAAAACAGGCAATGACAAATCAAACACTTTTTCAAGGATAAAGGAGCCAAAGCTTTTTTTTTTCCCAAGTTAACTTTCCAACTGTAAAACACCTTCACCTTTCACAGAGATTAAATCTAGGCCACTTGACTGTTACATCCCTGAGGGAAATTGTCCAGGAGTCCTTGCCAGGAGACACAAAACACTAATGTTCTCATTCAAGCTCCTTGTAGCTGCCAAGGGCCTGTAGCAGTGGTGCAGTTTTAAAAAAATAAGCTCACTTATCTAATTCATTAATCACACACTGTAATACAGAAAGAAATGAGAACTGAAAACTACAGTCAGTCATTCAGTCCATGGAGCCTGAGGTAATCTTTGGGTTTTCAGTGTCCAGATACCTGGAGAGCCTGGAAAGGGGTAGCATATATTTTACCTTCTCCTCAATCTCAGCAGCAGTTCTTTTTGTGGTTTCAAGGTTTTCCACCAGTTCAGTGTCCCCTAGGAAGTTCCCGGAGGCAGCTGAAAGCCGAGACAAGAGGTTGTCTTCCAGAGTTTTCAGCGTGATCTTGAAACCATTCTGTTGCTTTGTGAGACTGGACTAGAAAGCAGAAACAGTTTTTTTATATACCTCAGAGTCATCTCAGATGTTTTTGAAAATAGCACAGGACTGAATATGTCCTTGACAGTTTATAAAATTAATTGAACAGACTGGACAAAAAAGTCAATGTATTTAATTTTTGATAATGAAAAATTAATAGATACCGTTACTCCTCCTCCTCCCTCTACTACTGCTTATAAAGTGAGGTAACCCACTTTCATTACATGCTTAACATTAAATTAAACCCATGTAATCCAGATGATTATTATATCACACTGTAGGAAATAAGCAGGGGACAGCATTTTATTTAAAGTCAACGCACAAAATATTTTGAAATATTTTAAAAGGTATTTTGACTTATGTACATCTGCTAGACAGTTTAATATACATTTCTACAGTATTATTGATGTTTATGTTTTACAGAATTTTCTGTTCCTCATTTCTTGAACAGACTCATGGTGTAACCAGATGCCTGGCTTCAATAAAAAGTTTCAACATATGCAGGCCATAATAATGAGGCATTTTCTTTATTAACACAAAACTAACTACACAAGTTGGAATGGAATTTAATCCTATGTATGTTGAAAAGTACACTGAAGTTACTGATTGGCAGGTATATAGCTGGGGCCAGAGAATAAAAAAAAACACAACTTGATTCATCTTGAGTGAATATACCTGCCAATTAATTGCGTTTCTGTCAGTATGAAATAAACTATGAGACAGTGCAGTACATGACTGAACAATTCTTGGCTAAGAAACTATGTCCTCTTATAAAGAAAGAAATTACTTTATCTTTAAAGAAAACAAACATTACTGACAGGTCTAAAAAATGGGTAGGCAGCTATTTCTCAATATGTGTGTTCATTACATTCTCCTGGAAAGTGTTTCATTTTTCTTTCACAAATTAAAGGGTGAACAATGTACTGTAATTGCAAAAGTTTTTTTTTTTATATGATTGATTCTAAGAATTTTTCCCCATGCCTCTGGGTAATGTATAGTAAGATTTTTTTAAGCATAACATATCCAGTATACTGTATGTCCAGTATATGGAATAACTTATATAGCCGATAGAAAAAAAAGAAGAATTGACAGTAAGCAACATTTTTGTTTTTCACCATGAAGCAGTATCAATATGCATTGTCTGCAAACAATGTTTATGAGCTAGATTTATTGTGGTTGTTTTAATCAGCAGCTAAAAAATACCTTATGATATGTTTATTAAATAAATGCAGAGGGATTTATTATACCAATGACTGAATTTGACCTTGAAATTGTAAACAGTCTCAAAGAGGATGAAGAGAAGCATATCAGCCCCGAATCCAAAATTATAATGAGTCATTTATTAATGATTCAAAATCCACTGGCATATTGTACATCTAATTACTTAGCCCAGAAAACAAACAATTAACCATCCAGTATAAACAGTAATTGGGATTAAAATTAGATCATATGCCTATCATTGCAGAGAAATAATTAGTAAACTAGTGTCCAGTAAGTGCATCCAATTTTGGAAACAACAATGTACTTTCAGAGCTGACTAAAATGTTGATTAGCTAGGAATTATGCAGTAACAAGATCTATCTTTGTCTTTAGATAAATCATAAAATGGAAAAGCACCTGAATATTTTCAGAGCAGAATGTCTCAGTGCTTCTTACTAAACAACCATCCCTTTTTTTCTTCTCAGATTTTGTACACTGATCTGAACACACAGTAAATATTGTAAAACAATTAGACATGGAGTGAAAGAGATCTGCTTTATATGCAGTCAGCCTCACGGAACCTGAGGTCCAAAAACATTGAACTAGTATGAAGTTACAAATAAAGGGAACTACAGACATGTAGTTGACATTTATTAAAATTAACTTTCTAATTTAGTCAATTTTCACCATATGCCCGGAATTTAGGAAAAATGTCAAATAGGAACTGACAATAGAAGTCACTGTTTTAAAACACATACTGTCTTGACTTTATCAAAGCTAATTTGAAAGATTGAAATTATTTATATAAGATGTGCTAAGATGAATTTTAAAAGAAAAGTAAAAAATTAAATGAATTCACATTTGTATCTGGCTGACCTGCATAACTTAAAGCTTCAGATTAAGTATTGGTTTCCAGCTCACAATCTTTGAAACAATACTGCTCTCAAATTTTTCCCTGGTAAAAATGTTTTCCTGCAGCCATTTGTGTTCCTGCAATCCTTAAATAAGCAGACCCCCTTTCAGTATCACTATAAAATGCATGCTTGATTAGATCATTGGTAAACACTAATCAGGGTCACCATAAAGCGAAACATTTAAGAAAAGCACACTAATTTTTAATAGCAGTGGTTTTCAATGTGCTCCAATTTTTCAGTGGCTTTGAAAAAAGTTTAAAAGCTGCAAAAAAATATAATGTGTACCAGGTGTTTGGCAGAATAATGTTTACAATACGCCAAAATAAAAAAATAATAATTTCACAACATTTAAGAGAATTAGAGCATAAAACAAAAAATAGATAAGATTCAAGTGTAGTTCAGGTTGGTAGCTGCGTCAGTATGTGTAGGCTGCAAAGGAACAATTAATAGGTTTACTCCATGCTGAAATGAGAAGAAAGAAAACACAATATTTCGGCTGTGGAGCCTTCTTCGAGTGTGAGAAAGACAGGGGGGACAGCAAAGATTAAATAGCATAGGAGAACAAAAGCTGGGAGAGTGGAGGAGATGGGAGCAGGGGAGAGGCAGAGAGGCTACTCAGGTGGTGTTAAGTGCACAGAGGGGAATAGAGGTGTGAAGTCGAAACCTGCATATGAATAGAGAAGATTGCACGAAAACAAGTCTGTCATTGAGAGAAGGGGAAGGTGTGAACCACGTTTCAGGATAAATTTTAAAGAAATCTTTAATCATCACTGCCCTAACGTGCTAATCTCGATCCACCCACCCACACCCTTGTAGATTCCAAGATTCAAGTGTAGTCTGACTATGGGTGTCATGTTGCCACAACAGTCTAAAACTGATTAATGTTACTACTGTGATAAAACAGAGCCAGATGTGATATACTGAATAATTTCCATTTACACTAATTTATCACAGAAGGCATTAATGTTGTCCACATTCGTGTTAGTGTATGAGTGCAAATACTGTGTTTGAATTTCACAGATAATTAAGCCTTTGGCTTCCATCTGGGCTTCATCGGCAATTTTACTGATGCATATTACAATTATATTCCCTATGCATTCTTCTGCCTAAAATGTGACTGAAACTGAAGCTGTCCTTTCGAAGTGAGCGAAGAGCTACATTTAAGTTGCCTCAAAAGCTAAAGAAAGCAATTAAATATTAATTACTTAATAGAGGGAATATATATTATCACACTGCTAGAATCTAATGCAACAATTACTGCAGCAAAATGCTGCCCTGTAAAAAATGTTGTAATAAGCCAGATTTCCAGATAATTTCCAGACCAATGCTGTAGTACACTAATCAGGGACACTGTACTACAGGAGGCAAGAGGTGCCATCCTTTAGATGAGATTTTTAAATTGACTTCTTGGTCATTAAAGGTCCCAGAGCACAGTTTCAAAGGGTATTAACTATGGGATTCTGTCTAAATTCCACTCTGGGCTGAAACAATCTGGCATCCCAAAAGCCCCCCCCCCCCTTAATTCAATTAGTAAAATATTTCATTTCTTACTTCTCCCCAAGATCTTGTGTAGTGGGGCTGCTGGTGGATAACGACTGCTAAGTGTCCCCCAGATGGGGCGATACGTAAAGCACTTTGAGAACCTTTGGGATTAAAAGTGTTATATAAATGAAAGGAATAATTCTATTCTTATTATCACCTTTAGAGGAAACTTTTGTACTTTCCTGGGAGGTTTAAATGTAAGCAGGGAAATTTCTATGCACCAAAGCAGATAGAGTGACTACAATTCTGATCCAGTCCCTAAGAGTTATGTATGCTTGCCTTCAGTTCTTCCAGGTCTGGTCTCTCCATGCTGACTACAGCAGCCAGTAGTTGATCCTCCAGCCCATCCCTGGTGACAGTGAAGTTAATGAGGGTGCACTGGGCCTGCATCTCAGGCTGGTAGTGGGGATTTGCCAGTTTGGTATGAAGAATTAGACGAAAGTTTGGGTTATACTCACACTCTTTATCACCAATTTTAATGTACCTGAAAAAAAAACAGAAAAATTACATACAAGAACAATGTACCTCAAACATTCCAAGAAAAATGATCAAAGTGAATCATATGAAATTCTTCAAGCCCATTGCACATCAGAGTTGCCAATTAGATGACTGGGTCTCACAAATAAAATAAGTAATAAGACATTGGGTAACATCTGGTTACTCAGAATTGTGGTGAAAATCAGCAGAAGATACAGAGATTTAAAAAAAAACATAATGTTATAGAGATATGCCAACGAAACATCAAGGTATAAATGATATTTTCTAAAATGCTCACCTTCCTTTCTTTATTGTCTCTCGACCGAGCAAAGGCCCCAAGACTGGATCAACTGTTTCTTCCAAATTTTCTATCAAAACTACCTCACCAGCAGATAAGGCTCTTTCCATGGAATCTAAGTAACTGAGTGAAAAAAGTGAAATGTGAAAGAACAGGAATATTTTAATTGTAATTTTAATACTGTATCAGTAGCTGTATGAAGACAATAATAATTCTATCCTGATATAGTCTTCTTAATAACACAAAACAACAACAACAAAATAACACAAAAAACAAGCTCTTTGTCGCAGGGAAAATGTAAGCAACATTAAAAAAGAAAAAAAAAAGAAACCTAGAAAGTATTTCTTGTATTTCTTGTGTCAGATATGTCAAATATGGTATGAAAGGCTTCCTACAATTTGTACCTTTTTATATTTTTCATACGTACAGTATACAGCTATTTTTTCTGTTTACCACTCCATGATACTGAATTGTATAATTCCATTATATAATATTTGATCAATAGTGGTCACACCTATAATTAAAAAACACAAAAGAGCATGAAAAGAGTCTATGCTTTACCCTCTCTGGCCAATCCTAATCACTCTGAGGTCTTCTCCATACTTATTCTTGATCCACTTGATACCCTGCAGTTGTGGATCCACCATCAGGGGCCAGCGTTCGCAACTAGTAAGAATGGTCGCATTCTCAGTAGACATCCTATCAGCAGGGAGGCCTTCATTCTGCCAGGCTGCTATGTCTGCATCATCCGTCAGCATTGTCAGGGGATCTAGTTCTGGAGTCACTGGAATGGGGATCTATGAATGCAACATTTTTCTGTTAACAGAATTGAGTGCAATTTCCCAATAAAATGTTTATTTGTATTTTTATTATGCATGGTGCAACATCACTGATCACTACATGCATGTCCTATTTTTGAATACTTAAAAAATACTCTTCAATTGAGTGGAATTGGAATTGTTTCCACACTTCTACATTTCTTGATTTAACATACAGTATACATTCATAAGATGTATTACAAAATACAATACTTGTGTTCCCTCCCTACATGTTTATATTTCAAAGCTTTGCAGTATGTATATTTACACATCTAATATAAATCTCAGGTATTCATCCAAAGCAGCTTACAATTGCACCCATTTATATAGTCGGGTATTTTCTGGAACAATTTAGATGAAGTACTGTGCTCAAAGATAAAACAGCAGTGTCTCACCTGCAATTTGTTACCAGTTCCCCAGCAGTTATGAGTCCAGAATTCTATTCATTTATCAGGCAACTGTACAGTATCACATACTGAAGAATACAATGTGTTCAAGTTTAAATCACTTAAGCAAATTATATTCTCCTTTATTTGAAGAAAAGACTCCAAAATGTGGGAAGTCTTTCAACAGAGGCCAAAGACAGGAAAGATGGAAGAGGTGGAGGTACAGGAAAAACAAAAAGAATTCAGACATAGGAATGTAACCTAGATTAATTAAGGGAATCAGAATTTATACCAATATATATATATACAAAGTGATAAGAGTATGCTACATAACACTACATTTAGAAAATACTATTTTTATATAAGAAAACCAGGAATATACCAAGTGAGTAAAATGAAAGGGGTGATCATGATATTAAGGAACAAATAAAGGTTTATTCCATGCTGAAAAGAGAAGAAAAGAAACACAATGTTCCGCTGTGGAGCCTTCTTAAGGTGTGAAGAAGATAAGTTAAGTCATTTTAAAATAATTTACAAAAAGAAGCTATAGGTAAGATCATGGATTGCACGCAAATGATTGCATTTGATATCAAATGCCTGTTCCGCGTTTATTCCTATGGCTTAAGAAAGAAACAAAACTTGGGCCTCAGTGTTCCGCCCCAAATAAATGATGCATTCTGAAGCAACACTGCAATCTAGTTAAATAGAATCACAGGTGATTTTACAAGAGAATCTTTTTGTTTTGTTTATGTCTGTGTGGATAATCATTGTTTTTTTTAATTAAGCACATTCTCAAATTAAACAGCTTCCCGTGAGCTCTCCTAATTAATGCTACTCACAAGTCAACAGACTGTGCAAAGGTGAAAACACCAATGGTCTTGTGGATAGTCATTCCACTATATTTACTGTGTTTACATCTTCTCATTACCACATTCACTGCTTTAGAATACTCAAATGTCTGATTTCAAAAAGAACCAAAAAAACAGAACTATTAAACATTTTCAGTATCTAAACAAGTTAGGAAGTTATCAAGAAAAGAAAGCGAAACCTCCATGGTCTAGCAAATCTGCAGACTAATGGGATTTAAAATTAATTTATCCAGTGGTTGGAATTTATTCTTTGCCTTTCTGATTAGACATTCTAAGGCAGGATAAGGAGTTTAAATATTTATTTTTTTCCTGGTGAAGTTCGATTTTCTAAGTGCATGGACATTTTAATATTTAATACAGTAATTCTATTTCCCAACAACACTGTGTTCTTCAGATGACTGAAATAATAAAAAAGTAATAAACTCTCAGGTCCTAAACACTGGAAATGAAAAGTAAATTAAAACTTAGCCAACTGTAAAGCTTTAACCGTTGAAGTAATGAACCAGTGCATTATGTATTTACTTTGACATTTACACAAATGCTTTTTTGAACTTTTTCCACAATTTGTAGAATGTTCATGTTTTCTTAATTTCAGCAATGTCAGAAACACAGTAGTAATTTTTCAACTTATGAAATGCATTTGCATTACAAGGCTTAGGAACAGAAATACTCCTCCCTACCAATATATTAAAAAAATAATAGTACAGTATGTTGAACCAGGTCCAATGGCAATTATAACTGTAAAACCTCACAACTTTAATTCCATTACAAGCTCACATCTGTAAATGTGTTGCACTTTCTGTATATGGCCTTATCAAAAAAGGTGAAATCCACTATTTTCACATTTGATTCAGCAGATTTTTACAATCTAATTTCTGTAATTTGTGGCAAAGTCTCTGAAAAGGTTTGGCTTTTTTTCAAAGCATTCCTTTTAGACTTCTCTACTACATTCTTATTTTACTGATATGGTGTGTTGTCATTTTGGTAGATGCACAAACCACCCTCATCATAAATTTCAATGTTGACAGTACACAATATGTATTGACAGGCAGCTCTTCAGAAACATTGTGGATTGTAGTCCACACCATTAGAAACATGACAACACCATCATACTGTAAACTGCACACTAAACAGAAAGGCAAATATACTGTGGAACAAAGCATGCTGTCAAAATATAAACATCTTCCCTTTGGAAGCAAACAGTGCATAGCAGGATTTATCACTGCAGAGGATGTGTGCCAAATATTTCATTTTCAATGCTATAACCATATTTTCCCAATTACATATTAATTATTGTCTTGTAGGCAGTTGTCCTGCCATTATATTCATGTGTGTTTAACTTCTTACATTGTACACACTTGTGGAAACCCCCGTATAGTCACAGAGCATCAGTGTGATGACACTTAGGACAGATATCACATTTGTTTTGATCATATTTCAAAATTCACCATGTTTGGTTAATCAAAATTTGTGGCCTTCATTGTTTGGGGTTTGGTGATTCAAAAGGTAAGAAAAAAGCATTTTAGAAGGCTTCATTTAAGCCCTACATCTGCCATTGACTCAGTAAACATTGATCTAAGGAAGTTTCTTATTTATGCCAAAAATGTCCGTCAACAGGTGAGAACTTATTAGAATTCTGCAGTAGTACTTTATGGTGCTTACTTCAAGATCTCTGTACTTGATCTCTTACTTCATTGATCTCTGTACAATGATTTGATTAAAATCAATTATTTGTATTACAGTATGATTATTTTAAATCAGTCTGATGAATCATTAAGGACTTTACTATAGATATAAATGAGTAGTCAAAAGCCATTTTGTCATTCAGTTGCAATTTTATGGGGCTTTCCAAGTACTGTATGTAATTTCATCCACTCTTTAAAACTGAAAAATTTTAAAGTGGTCTAAGAAAGCAAAATATCAAACTCAATGAATTGTTATAAAGGATATTCAGAATGCAAATCTCAATCTCAAATCTGGACTTCTGACTCTACTTAGACCATTTAACAAGTTGCTGTAGTATGGCTGATATCCACTGACAGTAGCAAAGCTTGATCTTTAATCCATTTGAATTCTAAAGGGGACATTTGCCCTTTCTTTCTTTGACCCCAAAACTCATATTTGTAAAATGATCTGATTAATAATTGCATGCCTTTTGAAAGATTAATTTTATTATATTTCCAGAATTCTTTTGATGATTAATTAATCAGCGTTTTTAACAATTGCGAATTCTCAGTACACCAACCAAACTGACCTTTAGTTGATGAAGGTATGGCCTCCACGTCTTATCCATTAATTCAACTCTGTACTTCTTGGTAAAGTATCCCAGATAGGATACAAAAGCTGTTATCAGCAGGACATCTCCACATAGTGTGCTCTCCTGTTTCTGGAAATTACTGACCGCTTCAGCCCAACGCACATTTTCTGATGCAAGCCCTCCAACCTATAAAACAGGAAACAGCTAGGCCATTACTACACTTTTTCCTTATTTACTCAATAAATAATTAAATCTAGATTTTTCATGTTTTAAATGAATGTCCATAGAATATCAAAGAAATATATTTCTAAAAAGCTATTTGTATGTACAGTCCAGATAATTTAAATATTACTACCAACAACAAGTATAATCATAGATCTCATGCTTATTTTAGATAATACTGAATCTAATGTGTTATCTAATGTGAATTAATGTGTTACAAATGAGATTTTAGGACTGAGAAAATTTAATTAAAAATCGCTAAGACCCAATCCTAAAGTATGCTGGCAAGAAATTATTATTTAATAAAATACTAAAATTGATTTTATTGATTTTATTCCTTAAAATTATTTTTTATCACTTTATTTGAATTATTTATGTGCTCATTTAACCTTTCTGTAGCCTGCCATTAAAGTGGCTCCAATAAAATACTGGATCAAACACATAATTTGATTGGATTCTAAAATTTTAAATTTTCCCTTCAGAAAGTCTCTCCTCATGCATGAAAAAGTAAATGATCTTTCACGGTGTAAAAAAAATACCAATCACAAAGAGAACAATAATTTGTTCACAAGATTTTAAATTCAGTGGCAATTTAAATGCTTATGTGTGACGTGCATTTCTGAAACACATTTTTGTTGTTCAACTCATGCCAGACTCACTCACCAGTCGATTGGCAAGAGAGATGGTACGTGCTGTGGAATCTGCCTCTTGCTGGCACTTCAGCTTGTCAGCAGTAGCCTTCTCAAACTTCGCTGTCAGCTTCGCCAAGTTCTCATTAAGGTGCTATTAGAAAGAGATCTTTTTTTTCAGCTGACAGAGGATCTGAAGAAAGCTCAGGAGCTTGTATTACTTAAATACTCATTACATGACAAAGATCAAATGGAGATATTTTTCAAAAGAATTATTTATCAAGTTTAGAAAATGTAGAAAATGCTTTGATGTATTCCTTCTTATGTTTAAAGGAACCTCACAGAAAACACAATATATTTTGCTGTGCTTTAGTTTGGATTCACCAAAACTGGAAATTTACTCACATTAGATCCCCTCTCCCACTACTCTAAAGCTTCTTCATTAAGTTAATAGTGACTTAAAAAATCACATTAAAATGTTTAAAAAAATACATAAAAGGCCCTTTTTGAATGTTTTTTCTCAAGACAATTATTCCATTTTTACCCCTGGTATCCCCATTATTTTTTGCATTTTACTTACAGCGATTTTAGCTTTGATGGCAGCCAGCTTTTCCTGAGCTGCAGCCAGTTCAGCGTTGGCTTTACTCAGCGCCTGGCGCTTTGGTTCCACCTCACAGTACACCTCATAAAACTTTACAATATTTATCACCCAGGAGCAGAGTCCAGCGGCAGCATTTGACTTGGAGGTCACAAATTCAGGACTGAACTCCGGGTCCTGGAGGTAGGGCTGAATGGCCTTCAGACAGTTCTCATGGATATTCTCCTTGTTAAAGTTGATTAAAGCATCTAGGAAACTGTCCACTTTAGCCATCATGACCTTAGCTGCCTTCCAGCTCCGGTCCTTAGGAACTTTACCCCCTGGTGCCATGAGCACCATGACAGCAGCGGTGACATTAGTGACTGCTGCAACAGGTGAGCCGAACGACTTCAACTCTGTCAGGTTATTCTGTGGGAATGAAAAGTAAGAGTATTAATTAAGTACTAATGTCTCCCTTTTCAAAGAGGAGGCTTAAAATATGTGTCAACCTAGGAAGCACTTCTGAAGTCAGTAGAAGCTTTTTAAAAAAATACTAATATTTAAAAAAATATTAATTATGTCCAAAAGAAGAAGTAGTTTGTATGGGAGACTTCAACGTTCCTCAAATATACTGGGAAAGACCAATAGGAATGTCACCAAAAGGAACTGAAATAATACAAGTGATTTATTACTGCTTTCTTAACCAGTTTGTTGGAGAACCTGCAAGAGGAAATAAGTGTATAGATCTTGTCTTTTCAAACAACCAAGGTAAGCAAAGGTGAACCTAAGAACAATTAAGGAACAGAAATCATATTATGTAATGCTTTGAAGTATACGTTACGTCCAAAGCAAAAGTTGATAAATTCTTGAAAGCAAACATGAAATAGAATGATAGAATGGTAGATATGGTGTTGATTGAATGGCAAAAGTTAAACAGTTTCTGCTTGAAGTAAATGACAAATTCATCCCAAAAGCGAGCAAATTAAAAGCTAAAAATGGAATCTCAAATTGTTCAACAAAGCAATTAGGAAAACTTAGGAAAAAGTTCAGGGGGAAAGACATTTTTTAATTAGTTAAAAATTAAAGAGGAGTATAAATAATTACAAGCATAGGTAAAAAAGGATATTAGAAAGGCCAAAAGAGAAATGGGGATATGCAGGCTAAAACTAAATAATTTATTTAAGAATATTTTTTTTATATTATAGCCATTTCACTTCATTATTTTGCCCTGAATACAGATGTCCAGTAAGAAAAAAGGTAGGTCACAGCTGGAATTCAGTTAGTTTCCTCCCAGGCATTTGAGGCTTGTCTTATGACCCAGATGGCTATGTTACCCTAACAGCTCACACAAAACGATCTATGCCACATTCCCCACCTCAACATTTCTTTTCTAAATTCTCAGTGATTCACAGGCATTAGTCTCAGTAATCCGAGTCATGACACCTCCATTCAACCTAATCCACTGTCTCTCAGACATTTCCCAACTTGCCAAACCTACACAGCATTCAGGCAGGCAAACAAATCCAGTAAGCCAGACGTTCGGTCTTGTGACCCAGCTAGGCTACAACATTTTACAAACTCTATGGGGTTATGTCATCATAACAGGGTCACATTGAATGCGTCTTGTTAAATCTCCAACTTTCTAATTAAATGTATTTTACAATACTTTCTGTCATTGTACTACATTATTTAACAAACAAAACCTCATGAAATAGCATTTTTAAAGACCGTTGACAGAAAGTTTAAAAGGGTATACAAATTAGCAGCACACCGGGCCTTTTTATCCATTAGTGAAACACTGTGCTCATACACTGGCTCACACTGTCACTTTCTTTAATTCAGTGTTAAGAATTATTTTCAAGAGCTGATTAAGTTGGAACAGTTATCTAACCACCAAGGTAAAAAGAAAGAAAACTAAGACAGCCAACAGCACATTTAAGAAGCAAAACATCAGATGATATATTCCCATATGAATATAAATATGAATGCATATGTTAAATAAGAGCAATATTAGTCATATTTATAAACAAAACATAATTTTTATATACTCACATATTCTATATATCCATATAATTAACATGGATATTTAAGAAACAAGTGAATATCACCACAAAAAGCTTTCATATTTCTGTGGATGTGTTAATTTTCTGGAAATGAATTTTCTTTAACCAACCAGTTAGAGTTAAAATAGGAATGCATCATAAGAACATTTGCTTAATAGAAGTGCTGTGGCATTCTATATTAATAAACGTGAGTGGTTGTGTAAAATATTATCATAAAAACTAAAGAAATATAATTCAATATATAATTCAAAATATAATTCAAGTGCTACAATTATAGAGCCCCACATATCACTATTTGATAATGAGACAGAAGAGTTTGTATGAATATTATTAAAAGGCTAGGAATAAATTATTTTCGCATCTCAGTGTCAATCTTACTAGAGATCTCAAAGCCGACATTTAAATGTTTTCCTTGAATCTGTATACTATATGCATATTATACCATTAGTATCTATTTGCTCAGTAGAAATTTTTATTCAAGCCAAATTAAAATGATACAGAATCATGTCATACAAGCATTGTTTCATGGATAACTATTGTACTGCATACATTTCACAAATGCTCCACAGGACAGAGTTAATCAGCTTCTGTTCACAAAAGAACAATATCAGATAAAACACAATGGATATTTAAAGAACAACAAAAGGTTGTATGAAACAACAGGGAAAGCATATTATACAATCTTCGACTATGAATGGAAGAGTACCGTGGGTAGTAATAGCAATGGATTAGAGGCATCATAACAGCAATGCTAAGATATGTAATTAATTTTAATAAAATTAATGTTTTACTGTAAATCCATAGTGAAGCATAACATATTGTAAAGGGACCCTTGTTTAAAAGTTTGGTAGTAAAGGGAAGCAGAAGTTCTTGAGAGTCACCAAAAATTTCTCTCTAGTAATATATATATATCATTAGACATTTGGACACAACAATCCACTAAACAATCCTTAATATTTGAAAAATTGGCTATGCAGTAACACACAGAGGAGATTTGATTTTGAACAGCAAATCATCTATATCTAACGTGTATGTGCACTCTTTCAGGGAGTGGATGTGATCAAACAGGCAGACCCACACAAAGCTCTTACCTTGTTCAGAGTGTTCAGGGCTTCCTGAGCAGCAATGAGAGCTGGTTCAGCTTTGGCCAAGTCTTCCTCACAATCCTTCTGCTTCCTACTGACTTCCACTGCTATGAGCCCTACTTTCTGCTCCTCCTCATCAGCAATGGCCTTCTCCTTGCTCACTTTTTCAGTCTCCACCCCGACCACCTGGATCAGCTTGTCAGCATCTTCATTCTTCTGTTTCAGCTCCACTTCCTGTGCAGCCAGCTTAGCTTTCAGGTCATCCACCTGTTAGGACAAGATGGCCAAAATGTGGGATGTCTGCTGACACTCACACAGATGACTCCAAGGTTTAAGATACATGCGTATTGTCAGTAAGTGTAAAACCTAAAGTAAAGGCTTTTCTCCAGCAATAGCCACGGAAATGACATTCATACAGTATGTACTGTAACATCTTTGTAATTTAGCTGAAGCTAACATATAAATGGCACTGAAATATTTTAGATACTTGTACTGTATATCCAATACTAATTGTTACAGTTTTGTAATTCAGTTCTCATAGTTTGCTCTCCTTGATTTGGTCAACTAAAACCACATTCAAACATTATCAACTATTAAAAGTTTTAGTCAGGAGCCATCTATGCAAGTTTATTATTGAATCATATTAAACGAGTGGTATATTACCTTTACTCTAATATTTGCTCTTATATTGTTCTGTATATTAATTTAAAAAGAGTACAATGTGTTAACATTGTATAAATTGTGTATAGGATTATACATATTTAAGATTTAATCATTATCCTATTATTCCTTCTTCATAATCTGTTTCTGAATCACAGCAATAATGTCTGATTTTTAAATAAATTTTTCTATGACTTGGTTTCTATTTTTTTTCTAAATGTCACATTGGATTTTTAATAAAAATGCTCAAAAATGTCACTGCTAAATGTGACTAATGACTGCACGTACAGTAGCAGTAGTCATCTTCGCTAATAGAAAACATTTTCTTCTATTTAAGTTGTGCTGAACAATGCTTCATATTACTGCTCCTACTGGACTGAAGTTCCCTAAAGAGTAATTATCTGTCCATTAATGTTATCCTTTCTCAGCATACAAATAAATAATTGGCGCACTTTTGCTATTAAAAATGTTTAACCATATCTCTATCAAGCCTTTTTACTTACTGCACCTTTCTAAAATTTGAGGAAATTATAATTGAAATAAAATTTAAATTTAAAATCAAAGGACCTTAATAATCAAACCTGTAATAATGTACTATAGCTTATGAACAAACTGCTGTTTTTGAAAATAAAAATACTTTAAAATTAAAATTAAAACAAGCAACTATCATTTCTGGTCATCTTTATATATAAAGAATATACTGTACCATTTTTCCAGTTTTGTTCTATAGATAAATATTAAATATGTAGTGCATAATGTATGTTTCAATTCATACAGTATTAAAAAGCAAAAGGTACAAAACGTCTTAGAATAAAAGTGCTTAAAATACTGCCTCTTTCATATTTCATATCTGAACCAAACAGCTGTTCAGATTGTGTCATTTAAAAATAATTTGAGACACTCCACTTTCACCATTCTCTCAAGAAGCTAGAACACTTAGTCCTAGTAATATTAGCACTCACTAGCAGTTTTAAAAATTATTTACAGTGGTTCCTAACTCAACTGTTAGTGAATCACAGTCTTTACCATTTTTTATTATTGGTCCCATAAGTAATTCCTAGCCTAATCAGGTTTAAGGAAAAAGAATTATAGAAGTATCGGTTGTGTTGCAATAGTAAGTAAGCCATTACCGATGCTCTTGAATGTGCAGCATATTAACAAGTTGAAGAAACTGAAGTTATAACAAAGCTGTTAAACATCAAAATACAGAAACAGGCTTACACCTTCACACAAAAAATTAAGTTGATAACTCATCCATCCTTTTTCTCACTGCTTCTTCCATTTTAGGGTCATAAACTGTATGTTTATTAGAATATTCTTTGGCTATATGCAGATATGTACAAAACAAAATATGCCATGTCATGCATTTGGTGTACAGGCACAGCCACTGTTACTGAACTTGACACTAATTTATATGAATTTGGTAAATAATTATTTTAGATGGCCATGTCCTTGACTTATTCTTGATATTGTCAAACATGCAGCCTATGGAATTTATTTATAAAATATTGCCAATTAAACACATAAAAAATGCATAAGGCCTATAAGGAATGCAAACACCTTTTTGATGTTTTTAAACTGATAATTTGATTGTAACAAGATATGTTAGAATAGGATTAATCTAGTTGGCTATTAATGATGTAGAGTTTAGTAACCAGTACCTAAGCAATCCAATCTGCGATAGTGCTCACATAAGCTTTAACAATAATGTTTCACTCTCCTCATTTTTGACAGCTGAAAGTGAAAGATGGACTTCAAGCTGTGAAGACAACCACCACTGAAACTACACATTTAAGTATTTAGCAAACAATCTGCTAAAATACAAAACTCCAAATGGACAATGACACCCTACCGTGTGCAGTGTGAACTGAACAGATATTTGAAGAACAGGTTTGGGGTTTCATGTATAGGCTGTAGCAATGTGACTGTATACAGTATGTCACTTCTTTTTAATTACAAGAAAGGATGCACCTTCCAGCATAAAACAGTAGCCTGGAGTCATTCTGTTTGAATGACATGAAAAACAGAGTAAATAGGTAAAGCAGAAAGAAAACGTGTATTGCAGGCAAAGATGTGGTGATAAGAAAGTACTGAGCACTTTAATAGTCATATGGGCTTGTTACGTCCCAGTGTGTGTTCTGTGTGTGTTTTTTCTGTTATGTCCACACTCTTGACCCTTGATTGTTCTCCCTTCCCCATTGGCCCACCATTACACCACACTTTCAGTATGACGTCATCATCAATTAGCTCTCAGCCAATCAGAACACATCTTATTCAGTATATAACCTGGAGGTTTTCAGCAAGGAGAGGCCTTTCGTTTGACTTCGGTCCCGTTCGGTTTTGGTTATCGCTTCGCTTCGCTCCTGGTTATTGCTTCGGCTTCGTTTGTTGGTTTGTTTTGCTTTGTGTGTGTGTATTTTCGTATAGCTTCGGCTTTGTTGTTTTGTTGGATTTACGTTAGTTTCTTTGTACTTTCGTTTGTTTGTGTGTTCATCCTTGTTTTGTCATTACCTTGCCCCAGTGTTACATGTTCAACTTTTGTGTTCTTTTTGTACCCTGCTCCTATTTATTACTCTGGTTTTCCCTTATTTGTCTTCCTGGTTCACTTGTGTTTTTGTGTGAACTTTTGTATATAAGGTTAGTTTAGGTTGTTGGGTACACTTACACACTTAGTTGATTTTTTATTAGTACACTAGTTTAGTACGGGTGAGTGCCGTTTCTCTTGTATGGTTTTGGGTAGTCTGCAGGTTAGCTAGGGTGTTGAAGACGCCGAAGACCGTGTGTTTCGGGTTTTCTTTTGTAGTCAGATTAGCTTTCCCTCACTGTCCTAGCCAGCTCCATTTTTGTTTGTTATTTTCTTTCCTTTGGCACCACTCTAGTTCCTTACCCTTATCACGTTTCCTAGTCCCTCACCAAAACTCTCCCTGCTTCCAAAAGAATTATCCTAAATGTTACACCCCTTTTCCCCTAGACACTTGGGGTCGTAACAGGGCTATATAACACTTGGAAGAGACTTGCAAATAACACTATAATTGCATTTACAAAACACATATACACAGTTTTTATTACTTAAAGCCAACTTAAATCATTCAACTTTCTACTTGGATCTATTGAAAAACAAATAAAAGCCTTAGAGTGCAGAATGAGTCTGTATTACTGATGGAAAATTAATGAATGAGCACATTTTGGATAGTTCAGCTTTAGGGACACACTCACAAGTGCCTAAATTGACTGTAAAGACTTAAACCCCTGTAGGAGGCTCCATTAACCAAACCATCTTAGGGCTTAGATAGCAACCCACTCCAAGTGCATTAGCATAGTTAGTAAAGATACATGTTGGAAAAAAAATCAATACTGGATGGAACAAGAAGTATTCCCGGGAAATAACGGTAAAAACACCTAAGATATTAAACATGATGACTCATCAATTAGTGAGCTGCATTTCATCTGAAAGCATCTAAGATTAAAGATATACCTTACAGACATTAGCCTCTGAAAAGCTTTTAACCCAAACTCAAAATGTATTCCACCTTATCAAAAAAACACTTTTAGTAATCGAGTATTTTTTGTTCTATAGCATAGGAATAACTCCAATTAAAGAGCACATATCGAAGACAAATATGGAGTAAAAAATGCTAAACTCATAATTTTTGCTTTTCCCCTCAGCTGTACACATTAATGAGCTATAAAATAATTAAAGTCAGCAAATGCTTTAGTATTTGCTGTTTGGGGCTCGGTCTTTTGGGGGATTGAGAAAATTTCAGTGGGAGCCTAATCTATTCCTGCAGATGTGATTTTTGAGCTGAAGCATGCCTTCGTAATCATGCGCATATTAATAAATAGATACAGTGGGGATACTTTTTTTTTAACTTATTAGCAAGATTTATGTGGTAATAATAAACATGCAGCATGTGACACTAACACACCAAAGGTGCTGACATTAGTAAACCAGATCTTTTGTGGCCTCATTGTAAATGATGCAAAGTACTGCTTTACAATGTGCTATACTCAGGTCAACTTATGTGCAGAATATTGTATTATATATATATGTGATTTATTTTATTTCTTATTTTTCCTGTAAATATTTTCTCAACATTGTTCCCTGCGGTACTGTTTCATAATATGTTCAAAGTTAGGATTCTAAGCATATTTTCCTTCCATTTATTCACTGCAACAGTGAGCAGTTTTTGTCTGACCTAGAAACTTTTTAAGGCCTGTTAAAAACTAGAATGTTCTGGCTTTCACCAGATGAACAGCCTGTGCTTTTCAAATAGGGAATGAGAGCATGTCACCTGTGCAGATGTGCTGTTCAGTTTCTGAAGTCCATTTTCCAAGCGTTCCATCTTGGCTGCCAGTTCCTTGCTCTTCTTTGCCAGAAGGTTCTGGTACAGCTTTATCTGCTCCAGGAAGGACTTAGGAGTGGTGTAGTTAAACCGACGGTCACTAGCCAGGTAACTTTTGGAGTTCTCATTCACACTGGTGTGAACATAAGCCATAAATTTGCTAACTGATTCCTTTACTGCTGGCTGAAAGATAGTAAATTTGCCAAGAGAAGAAAAGTAAAATAAAATATCTTGTTTATAGGTTGTAGCAATGATCAATTTCAATGTATATTTGGTTAATTTGATAAAAAAGGGAAAAGGCATTGTGCATGTTGGTTATAAATAATATAGATATAGATAATAATAATAGAGTTTGAGCTTTCTGTTTACTAATACATAAACTGATACCCAATGAGCATCAGAGACTGTGACGAGTAAAAGTCTCTTTAAACAGATGAGACGTGACTAGCTGGTTATAAAGATTTTATATTTTATAAAGATTGTTTTATATTATGTCTTTGTATGTATAATTGAATATCAAATGAGCATCACAACAGTAAAATCAATTTAAACAGTACAGCCTTGACTGACTGTTTTGGTTTGGACAGTTACATTTCTTAAACAGGACATTTTACAAAATGATTAATAGTCTTTCCTCATCTGGCCATTGAATGAAAAAAAGGAAATGATAAAAAATACTGGCCAGTGCATTTGATCCTGGCATCCACTCAAGCTGTCTTCTTTTATCTATACAGTTAGCAGGGAGTACAGGTTTTAAGCTACTAGATTTTGACTCAGGTGAGAAGTGCCAGCACTTCTCTGATTTGACATATTTGACTCGGTGCCCACCTCAATGTTTTCTGTCTCCTGGAGAAAGCGCAAGCTGACAGATTCCAATGCTTCTTGCGGCCACTCATGGAACCAGTTAATAGCCGTGCAATTCACTACAGCAGGGAACTTTCTGCTGCGTACCCTCAGCTTGTTTCCCACAGGTGAGAAACACAGGGCAACCTAAAAAAGAACAGCAAAGTAAAATCATAGTTATTAATGCATCATCTCAGCTAATTATAGATTTGGAATCTTTTATGAAATCAAAATACATTTGATTTGAACAGCAAGGTGGCTTTGCTTTTCAGACCTTCAGTTAAAGCATTCCAATTTAGGATAAAATAACAAGCCTCCACAGCAGTCCAGTAAATAACAATAATCTCAAGGCATTATGCTTCTGTCCCATCAAAAAGAGGACATCTTTTAAATTTTCTTCTCTGGTTTTCCCGACGAAAAAAGAAATCATCTAAAATTCTGATATTATACGAAACTGCTGATTTTTAATTTCCAAACAATGTTCGGTTCGTATTTTGAAATCTGATTTTGAATCGGATACATTCCCATATCAGCAATCATTATCATGTCTTGCCTTTCTTGTTTTTATGGCCCATCTACTGCATCCTAATCACAGCCCCAGTCACTGTCCTTGACATAGGCTAGCTCTTTCCAGACAAAATGGTTTTCAAACAACTAAAAGCTATAAAAGCAATTCGCTGTTTAAATGTGTGGTTTTAGAGGCACAGCAACCACGAAAAATAATGTAGCTTTAGAGTTTCAGGTCCAGCTTCTTTGGAAAACAAAGAGAGAAATAGTCTTCTTAAATGGCAACAAACACAAAAGCTGTATCCTTCCCTGTAAATATTACCAAGCGAAATAATGGATATGAAAAAAAATACAGACAGGCTTGTGTTTTTTTTTCTTAACTATTAAATAAGCCCTAGAAAATATGAATAAAACAGACAGAATGGATTAATTAACTCCAGGAAGAACAGCAAGCCTCTGAAAGACAAAAGCTGTAGTGGAAATGCTACTTGACATGTCTTTCTGCAACGAGTGGCAAATAGATAATGTGATGTACTGCATTAAAAAAGAGAGAATATGATGACACTTGTGTCAAATGAACTGTAGGGCAAAAGATTCATTTTTAAATTCTTTATTATTCTTCTGCCTACTAAATATTGCCAATTAGAATTGTACAGCCAACAGATCATTAATCAAAGGCTCTAAATCTCCTGAGCTTTGTTTTAGATTGACTGCTTTTTCAATTAGAAAACAGAATATCTTGCAGTACACTAATGTCCCAATTACAACAGAATACAAAAAAGAACAAATAAACTAAATTGATTTTGATCGACATAGAATTAAGGAAAATGTCCATTCTGGTTTCAGTATACAATTCAATGTCTTGCTCAACTGAATAATGTACCTGGAGCTTAAGAAAATAAAAACAACACTGGCATACTTCTGTTAATACTTTGTCTAATCTATCTTTCACTGGACATCAAAATCTGTACATGTAACACTTGTTAAGTGGTCTTCCTTTAAATCAAAACAAGGGTGCACTTTTCATTGCTACTATTAGTAGATTGAAGCTACAATGACATGCTATGAAAAATGTCTTAATTTCATATGGATTGGGCAATTTAACTCTAGCTGACTGTATCTTTTTAGTGGAGTAATTTAATAGAAAGAAATGAGGATGTGCTGGTCCAAGCATACATAAGCAACTAGAAACTGAATTCAACTTAGTTAACGAATTTTGTTCATACAGTAGAAACACAAAAGAATAAAGAGGATGATAACCAAGCACACCTTGAGCTGTCTCCGAACACGATCAATGAAGAACTTCCAGCAGTTTTCTCTTGTGTCCAACAATCCCAGGCCCTTGACCTCATTCCTTACACCAGAGATAATGTTTTCAACCTCATCGTCAGGAAACAAATCTGGGATTTCTCCTGTGGTTATATACAGTACATATGGTTGACAGTAATTTAGGACAAAATGTCTAAATAGCAAAGTCCAAACATATTATAGGAAATTCACTTGTACAATGCAAGTAAAAATTACAGTACTGTAAATTAAAGAACTGTAATATGTGTAAAGGTATATTACTAATCACAGTCATGCAGTGTAAGGTTATTGAAATACTGTGTTGTCCATTTTGACTTTAATTGACTTTGCCAGGGTTTGAAACTATATATTGCAGAGAAGTTACCAAGAAAAGAAATATGTTGAGGACAAATCAGGTCTACTACAATAACATATCATAAGAAACGTACTTTGGCAGCTGTAGTGCTAGGTATTTGTCAATATCTTCACAGATATGGCATGGTATGCATTAAATCTCATGGTTTTTAAATATTTCTAAATTTCCAGTAGGCTCATAGATTTTATGCCCATGCACTGTAATCTCCATCTTGACTCAGTCTAGAATATTAATGTGTGTAATAATCTTAATATACTGGGCATCAAAAGAAACATATCACACTATTCTACCATGAATGTTTTTTTAAATACATAAATTCTGCATATTGATTAATTGTTGTTGACATAATTTGGATTCATTGATCATTCATGGTTAACTGTGACACATTTGAGTGCATAAGAAATAAATCACTGTATTACTGACAGAGATGATTGGGCACAAATCGTGAGGCAATTTAACCTATTGAATGTTATGGAACCGGTATGCCCCATTGATCAAGAGACCAATGCAATTGTGGCACTGGTATGTTGAGCAAGGTCACAGATGGAGTTGCCAGCAGGGGAGCCAAGTTCTCTTGAGCAAAGAATCAAGGTTTGGTGCAGATCTTCCTGAATCAATTGACGAGTTTAAATGTAATAGTCTGGACAGGAGTGACTAGAACTCCAGTAGTGATACAGTGCTACACTGCTCACATTATGGGACCTGACTTACTGATTTTCTTGCAGGCTTATCTTGACATGACAAAATTCCAGCCGAACAATACAAGTGCTCATATAGCTCATGTAATAGCAGCTTTCTTACAAGAAGAGAATGTGACAGCTACTGTATATCGTGAATTCCCTAATTAGCCAACTTACTGTAAGATGTTATTAAAATCTGTGGGATGATTTATGTAACGTGTGGCATGAAGGGCTAAGACACCAGTGAACAGGCACATGTTTGTCCGTGATCTATGAGAGGAATGAGATAGAATCTCACAGTGCACACAATGCAAGAGCATGACAGTATATTAAATGTATGGATATGTGTGAAAAAATCATACAGTAACTACACGTGGGTGAATGAAAATGTAGTTGGATTTTCTACATATGGTACTGAAACCATCTGCCCACATGCCATATTGCTAGAATCTCAGTTCTCTATGTTAAACAATGCCAAAAGGATTTATTTAACTTTTTTCCCCAAATAGCACCACAGTGATACACTTTAATGTAAATGACTCTCATGCTGAAATTTCAGTTAGTTTTCTTTGTGCTTCTACCTGCTTCAATAAAGAGATTAGAGTCCTGGAAATGCAAAATTTTAGAATCGCACTTTAAAATGAACCAATTTTTTTTTCCTAATCAATACTGTCCATCTATTTTCTAACCTCTTTCTCCAATACAAAGACACGGGGGAGCCAGAGCCTCCCCAGCAAATAATGACCGCAAGGCAGGGTACACCCTGGACAGGACTTCAGTTCATCCCAAGATAGACACACAGACACAGACAGGCTCACACTCGCAACAGGGACAGCTTTCCCAGAAGCCAATTAACCTACCAATATGTCTTTGGACTGTGGGAAGAAACCAGAGCACAAGGAGGAAAGCCACTCAAACACGGGGAGAACATTCAAAATTCATGCAGACAGCACCCCAGTTCCGGAATTGAACACAGAGTCAGTGTTAACCACTGCATCCCTCTAATCAAACCGATCCAGATTATGCTATACACTTGGTGTTGTAAAGAGAGTTTTTAATCAGTTAAAATCAATCTAGTTTAATTTTATATTTCATTGTATCATTAACATTGTATAACCAAAATACATGTATGCAGTATTCATAATTGTTTTCTATTATCATGCTACATTCTTCCTTTGGATGAATTTAAAAATACAAGAAGTTAAAAGAAGCAAACATAGTGGATCAATGTGCTCTTGGATAATGGTGAACTTTATCTTAATTACAATTTTATTATTTTATTTGGGAGAAATATTAAATTCTGTAGGTTATAAATGGAGTGAAGACATTGTTTTTATTAATATAAAATGTATTATAAAAAGTGCAGCGTAAAAAAAACCCAAATCTGACATTTCTTTTCCCAAACAATTGTAATTAACAGGGCACAACTATGATTGCTCCTCTAATAACTTCCAGCTCTTGTTTAATAAAATGTAACTCAAAATATTAACTTGATTTTATATCAAATGAAAATTGCCAGTTATTTTTTATTTTAAGTTTAGAATTATGAAGTGTATTATTAAACATGAACTGCAAGCTTTCAGTAGACTTTCAAAATATTTATTTGGTATGTTGTAAGACCAGTTTATAGCTGTTCATTATTCTATTCGTATGCATATTCTACAGAGATAAAGAAAGCTGCTTAGTCTGGTCAGCTTTTTATTAGAAAACCCTTACAGATAAGGTTATTCCTTAGCATATCAGGGAGGTGGCATTTCAATGGGGGGAAAACATTAAAATACTGTACACATAATGCTATATTCACTATGAAAATGTAGTAATTTTCCTTAATCATGCAAAAACCTCTAAGGCCTTTTGCATACAGAAATGGTTCTGACAGAGACATTTCAACAATTCTGTTTCACATCCCACTGAGTCTGCTTCCTGTGGGACTGCTTAAAATGTCTTGAAATCTATGGGCAGTGAGGAGGAAATAAACCCATTACTCTCTGAGTGTAACACAAAACCTGTATACGCCTCCTCATTTGTTAAAGGCAGTTTAGAAAAAAAAACATTTAACACATACAGTAAGTAAGTCATTTAATCAATTTAAGATCAGTGAATTTTCAACAATGACAAAAATTCTTCATCAATTAATCTATTCTGCCCATGCACCATGGCGAAACCCCCGCATTAAAAACCAACTACATAGAGATACACAGAGAGAATATCTTAAAAGAATACGAGAACGAATTGCGGGTAGTGAGTAAATGCAAAATTGTCTAGAAGCTGCATGTTAAATATGGTGTCTCTGACAGTTGCGCTTCTGATTTTATCCTGCTGTGATGGGTTTTCCTATGTATTGTTTGCTTTTTAAGGATTTCTTTGAGGTAATAATTCCTTACACTTATATAGTGCTTTTCTGGACACTCCACTCAAAGCACTTTACAGGTAATGGAGACTCCCCTCCACCACCACCAATGTGCAGCATCCACCTGGATGATGCGATGGCAGCCATAATGCACCAGTACACTCACTACACACCAGCTATCAGTGAGGAGGAGTACAGAGTGATGAAGCCAATTCATGGGGATTATAAGGAGGCCATGGCTGGTAAAAGCAAGGGAGAAATCTGGGCAGGACACCGAAGTAACACCTCTACTCTTTTCAAGAAACACCTCAGGAATTTTAATGACCACAGAGAGTCAGGACCTCAGATTTAAGTCTCATCTGAAAGAAGGTGTCTTTTTACAGTTTAGTGTCCCCATCACTATGCTGGTGTATGAGGACCCACACAGACTGCGGGTTGAGCACCCCCTACTGGCCTCTCTAATAACTCTTCCAGTAGCAACCGTAGCTTTCCCAGGTCTCCTATTCAAGTAGTGACCAGGTTCATACTTGCTTAGCTTCAGCGAGTTGCCAGTTGTGAGCTGCAGGGTGATATGGCTGCTGTCGAGGTGTTTTGCATAATGTAATGCATCAATTGTATATTATGACATATCTGTGTAGACTTTCAACAGCTACAGTATATTATACAACAAGATATTGATGAAATCAGAAAAGGGCATTACATCAAAATCAGAACTGAAACATGGTGCGTAGTGTTACAGAATAAGTGCATGTGATTTCTGGACTAGGTTGGTAAGGTTGGCCATGAATCAAGAAGCACCTACAATCTACTCAAATGAAAAGTATTAGGTATTGACATGAAGGATGACCGCGTCTTACTGTACTGTACATAACTCTTCTTATGTTCAAACATGTTAAAAATAAATAGGAAACAATTTTTTTTCATATTAATGTTTTAAATAAAACCAACATTTTTCACATATTAATTAATAATAAAATACTGTTATACATAACATATACCGTAGTTCAACACAGGACTACTAAAGTAGTAATTTATTAGCGACATCGATTGATTTGTTGTTTCAAATAGAATTACGGACTCAAAATAAGGTCTTACCTGATGCTAAGAGGTCATTAACCAATACCAAGAACTTTTCATCTGCAACTTGGGCATCAGTCATTAAGAATACAGTGCCAACATTCTTGAGTCCAGCTTTTATGTACTGCGCAGCTAAATCATTCTAAGTCAAAGAAAACAAACATTTAAATCCATTATTACATCACAGCAATCTCACTGGCTAAACAGAATGCAAGGTTCTCTTAGCTTTTATAGAACGCAAGCTTTCATAGACATTAAATAGATCTGGTCATTTGTACATTAAAAAAGCTGCTCTCACTTTTCAAGGATTACCCTATGTTTGCATTTATGTCTACATTTCTGTGCTGATGCACAATTTTAGTTGCAGTCCTTTCAAGCTAATCGCTTCATTAATATCAAGGATTTCACAGTATCCAAAGAAAAAAAAAACTTGGATAAAAAAAAAACTCATTTGCCAAAAGTACTTGAATGTATGGCAATCACATTCTTTCCATGTTCAAGTGCCTCACAGATATTAAAAGATTTAATGAGACTGAAGGGGGAAATACGGTGAAAATATTTAATCAGGCCTTACCATTCATTAAACATGGACTTACCTTAAGATCAGGAATGCCGTACCCTTTCTTTAAAGTAATTTGAAAGACCTCCAAGGAGCTTATAAAGGCTGCCAGTCTTGTCAGGCTTTGTTTACCGCTGCCGCCCACACCAACGAGGAGAGCGTTCCCTCTGGGAGACTCCAGGATCCGGTTGATGCGGCAGCTACATTGGCAGCACGATAAGATTAAACAAGGAGGAAAACGTTTACTATCAAGTAGTGAAGCTATTACTTATGAGATTCATTAGAAGTTTTTTACTAACTAACCAACTAAACTGCAGAGACTGGCACAGATATTGGAATGAATGATATGTCAAGAACAGATTCTAAAAACAATTACACTTTGAACACTGAAACGCTCTAATGAACATCAAGGGTGCCACTTTTGATTTTTAAAACTAACCACGCCGGCAACTCAAATTTTAAAAAGTCAGAAACGTCTCTCTAATAAAATTATGGTTTCACTAGTTCTCCGGATGATTGCAAAATGGCATCACATACACTTTCACTCCTCTGTACCTACTTTGCATCAAGCTTCTTCTATCAGCCCACCTCTCACCTATGACTAACTGTCTTAAAAATTATCACTACCCTCACCTTATTACTGAGATGCTGTGAAATTTTCAGCAAAAAATCAGTCAAAGTATTCAACAGCTGTTGATAAAAACTAGCATTATAGTGACAAATGGCCACAAAGCATACAGTCATGATCTGAGCCTGTAATCTCTTGGTCTGTAGGACACAATCAACAGATCTGGGATGAGAATCTCAATAACATGTGTCTAATAATATCAATGACTGATACGGTAAAAAATACACCTCATATTTTCTTTTCTTCTAACCTGGTCAATTTGCTGTTCCAAGCTTCCCTAGAGTGCCACTGCTTAAGAAAACCACAGAAAGCAAAATGTGCTAACTCACTGGTTTTAACTAATGATGCAATTAATAATAAATCTAGAAAACATGCTTTGTTCGCCTTACATGTGTGACATGGCATCTTCAAAAAGGACAAGGTTCATGGCTGCATTGACTTCATTATAGTTGTCCAGCGCTTCCAGAAGTGTTTTGTTTAAGGTTTCCCATGACTGTATTGGCATGTATTTAGGCTCCCCAATTCCAGTGGCAAAATGACAGTACATATTCATTTTCTTTGTTTCCTCCAGGGTTTCTTCAATATCCTAATGTAAAACGAATAAGACATCTGCACTTTGCTAAATGCTTCTTGAAAATTATAATTATAAATACTTTTACTTAAATGGTGTACGTGACTTCCCATTGATTTCCTAAGAATTGTTTTGTATACAAAAGAAAATTTGTTAAATTAATCAAATGTACTCTATTCAATTACTCATGTTACAGCATGGCACTATGTGCTATGAATGCATGAGAGGTATGGATATGTTTCAGGAATAGGCATTACTGCTTTGGGAAGGCACACAGTAGTTGGCTCCATAATTGCAATAGGTCACAAATCAGGGGAGGCCTGTTAGGATGTTAGATAAGTATTTCAATTGTCTTCCTGAAATAAAATTATGGCAGGGTAATGCGTTGTAGACTCCCACATCTCTTAAAAAAGTCTCCTTGTCTCAGTTCTGAAATGTACTGTAATTCCCCATTCCCGAATTTTTTGCCCTGATTCATGTTTCACCATTGGTTCTAAGTAAGCTTGATGTGTTGATCGTGTCAATTGGGGATTATCAATTATCATAGATCAAAATGATACATAAAGGATACAGTACAGCAAACAACTCTTTTTCAAAGACAGCATCTTGAAGTTCAATGCTTTCTATCTTAAACACTTATAATTTATGTTTTGGCTACCTGCATGTAATACTGTACACTTGTCTATACTATATGTAATCTTCCAGGTGTTTGCCATATCTTAAGTGTTTCTTTTTATATTTGCCACACAGTGTCTACTGTGTTCATTTTGGGATCATCTCTAAACATTACTAATGTATTAACAATACTAGAATTTAGATAATATGAATTAAATGTTGTTTTATTTTTACTCCTGTGTAAACATTCCATGCTAAATTTAGGTGGTGATGGAGGAGAGTCCCCATTACCTCTAAAGTGCTTTGAGTGGAATGTCCAGAAAAGTGCTATATAAGTGTCAGGATTATTATTTTGATTTTTAAACCTGAGAAGCCAGGGTGTGCTGGGAATTGAAACATAAAAAAATGTTTTCCAATTTGCAGGACTCATGGACTACAGCCTGTCAGGACATGCAAGCATTTCTAATTAGCATTTGCACCATTTGCAACATTGGTCAGTGGTCTTCCAAAGCATTTTTGACCTAATGACCTAAAATGCTTTGAGTCCTCAAACTCTGAAAAGTCTCACCTCATAGAACTTTTTCACCATATCAGTTTGTATCTTATCAAAGATCTCAAAATCCTTTTCTTCAACCATCTTATCTCTGTAGACCCTGTTTGACTCATGCAGGTACAATTTCATCAAGTCTTGAGGAGTTTTTAAGCACTCGTTTGTAGAGAATAGAATGCCCTGAAAAAAGATTAAGTTTGAGATTAGATATATGACTTCTAAGACCTTCTTCTTTCACTTCAGAATATATTAGACTTTAGTATTATCATAAAGTTGACAGCGATAGATATACTTCAATATATTTGTTGGGCAAAATAAGGTCCAAACATTGTACAAACTGTAATAAGCTCTTAAGAAAATAAATATTGTTTGTTTTAAATACATTTTCTTATTTTAATCTTCAATTATAAATGTAATTAAAATTTTTCACTGCTTGATTGGGGTCATTGTGATAGATACAGTAGATACAGTTGTTGGCAATAAGCTATATCAAGGCAGAAAGATCCTTACCATGACAATGAGAGGTTTACAAGAAGGCCAGTCAACTACTATAAATTTAAACTCTTATTTGTTGAAGCTTCGCTCATCACACTGTGCATTTCTATAACTGCTTACCTGGCATTATTATCTAATAATTATTCACTTGTGTACTTTTTCTATTAATTGCTGAACCAATCCCACTATAAATTAAGAGTCATATACTTATTAAAAAGAACAAGTAATAGGTTTATTCCATGCTGAAAAGAGAAGAGAAGAGAAAAGAAAGAAAACAGAAAACGTTTTGGTTGTGGAGCCAAAGAAGGAGGCACCACAGCCAAAAACTTATGTTTTCTTTCTTCTCTTTTCAGCATGGAATATACCTGTTACTTGTTCCTTTGCAGCCTACACATGCTGACGCAGCTACCCACCTGAACCACTTATTAAAATCCATCTTTGCTTAATGTTATGTATAAGGGAGTATCAAAAATCTTTCAAACAAACACTTGCAATCTGGCTACCACACACTTTATTTTGGAAAGCCATTAAACTTTCACAGTAAGGGTCTAGTGCTTGGGTACTGTAGGTCCAGATCCAATATTTTTTCTTACATTTAAAAGCACTATTAAATGCACAAATTGTTTTATATATAATGTATAAGAGCCTGAGAGTTCAATGGAACTTAAATATTTATATTAATTCATTTTTAAAAAAGTAGATGAAGTAAAATATCAATTTATCACACCAAAATGTAAGCTATTATCTCTCTTCCATGGCTGACAAGGAAATCTGGCCTTAACTGGATCTCATTTCCAAGACTAATAAAAAAACTCCACAGGTAAAAGAAAGAAATAGACGAATTCCTCATGAAAACTCATCTGTGGGATCTCAAAGACAGTGAAAGGACTGGATTTAAGGGAAAATGAGCACATAAATAATACCAGGAGAGGAAATGTTCGGGCAGCAAGATGGAAGATCAGGGCATATCGGCATCTCATCAACGTGTGCAATTTAGTCCTTAAAATATGCAGCACAAAATACAGAAAGCGTACAGCCACCGCAAGAGCAGCACCACGGTATCAACTTTCAGATTCTAAATCTGCCTAGAAGTCTGTTTTTGCCAGGCTATCAGAACAAATGCATCAGGATGCTAAAGTATCACTAAGATGTCAACTTTGAGTGTCTGGATATGGCATCCCAAGTCGAGAAGGACATAGCCCCTACTGCGCATCACTATTTCGGAATGATATTACAGGGCTACATATAGGCTCTCTGCTGGAAAAGTGTGACAGATTGACTCAAGAGACAATCATGATTGGATGCATCAGCAAATAATTATGTTAATTATAAAGGAAAAATTCCCCTGTCTCAGTTCGTGTCATGCATTTACTGTGGAATTCATTCTGACAACAAACCTGGGTGTTATACAGTACACTTCTTTGCTGCAGACAATGAGCAATTTCCTGTAATTACTATTCTCAGCAGTCATATTTTACACCTGGATGCACTTACAGAAAAGATGAATTAATGAATTAATGGAAATTCTCTGTGAAAAGGTGCTTTTATGGATTTAAAATACAATATATATTAAAGGATTCTTCTAAAAGAAAAGACATAGGTAAACAGGCAAATTAGATACTGTAGTTATATAATTTATTGACAAGATAGATAAGCAGATGCCAGAAAATATGAAAGATCTGCAGTTAATTTGGTAACAATGATCTGCAATGGCTGGGTTGTTGCAGTGCACCCTATTGTCATATTCTGTTAATGATTTATCATCCTGAAATGTCAAGCACATAGTATCATTAGAAAATCATATTCACCACATACAAGCGGATATGTGGCCCTTAAAAAGCCACTTTCCAAATCAATGACCATGCTTTAACTTAATGAAGGAACCTGAAACATCAGAATCACAATTTGTTTAAATCTGCAAGAATATAAGTGACAAGTATAAATTCCTAAATGGGGAAATGGGCGTGCTTTTGAAAGACAAGAGAACATTTTTGTTTAAAGAAAACCTCTCTTATGGCTTATAAAGGTCGGTGCCTCTGTAAATAGAATCCTAAGTGCTTGACATTTCAGGATTATAAATCATTAACAAAATATGATGATATCATGCCTTGCAACAACCTATCATTGCAGGTCATCATTACCAAATGAACTCTGTCGATCTCTCATTTTTTAAAAAAAACAGGCTCTAAGAATTAATGGGGTCACTGACACCATTCATCTCCTGTTAGTTTTCCACTGGGAGATTTAAACCTGTCATCGTGCCATTGGGATGATTACATGGTAGCCAAGCATGAAATTAAGATAGCAGGAGTCAGTTCCATTTCATCTACACCACAAGCCTCTGCCAATCTGTGGGATATAGATGTGGATACACATATATTGCGCATTATTTCTTATTTCTTCTGGTAGAATGAAAATGTGTGGTAAAACAGATGCTTCACATTTCACCAGCATTGATGCAAATCATAGCTGTCACTGCATCTGTACCAAAGGGCAAGGTCATTAGTCACAATATTGAATGCAATGTGACAGTTGTCTTCAGAATACATTGTTAAATGGTCCAAGTAATTGCAATGATTAGACATGCAAACAGTAAGGATTAATATTACCAACAACTTGTTAAATATACATGATCTAAAATGGCCAAATGTATAGTGTAACTTATGTCTAATTCATAAGACATTTTGTATATAACACGGATCTGGAAGATGCTCCTTCTCACAAGTGTAAAAGAAATCATGAATAAAAAACCAAACTGAGCCTGAGTCTCACACGGACATGAAATATCTCATGACAGATATACTCTTCATTGTCTAAGAAAACTTTGAAAATAACAGAAAAATAAAATCAGCATTTCTTTAAATTAAATCTATTGCAAAATTGTGTAAACTACTGGAAAAATCTTTAAACTCTTTAAAAAAAGACTTTAAAATCATGTAGTCTGTGCTACTACAGTATATAAATATGCTTGCAGAAAAAGTAGCTTCTTAGGAGATTCTGTGTTGTTTCAATGAGGGAAAGCAAAAACCTGCAGCAAAATGCTTACAGTAAACATATAAGCAACCCTAAACCACGGCAAAGCAGCTCAGCTTGCTGATGGGAATGTTTTTCTGCAATGCAAGTTTACACAATGGCAAAACAAAGAAACAACTAAAATACAGGCTGTTTTACTGTAAAAAGTAATGATCATTAAATAGATTAACAGATATGTATTGTCAGTCTAATGATAACTCTTCTATGAATTAGAATGGTACAAATGCTTTAATGCAATTCACAAAAGAAAAATCAGGTTGCATATGATTTTTATATTTTCTTTGATATCACATAACCCTCCACTTTACTAAAATTATTCCTTCTTCTGGAGAACACGTCTTGTTTCAAGTATTTCAAAGTACATTAGAATAGTGAAAGCCAGCTCAATGAAGGAAATCAGGAATTCTGCAAGCTTTAAATCAATGTGCTGCACAGAAACAGAATGCGACAAGCTGCATATGCTGTACACTCAACACCAGCATAAATCTATGAATAACATGACGAGAAAGATGATTATACTAGCCTACATGTTGACACAACTGATTAGAATCCTTGAGACTCCATATTCCAAAATGGACACCTGAGGAGTTCCATCAGATTGCATCTCTGTTTTTAAGTGCAGTCAGAAGAGTGAAACATGAAACTCAGTAGCCAATAAATAAAAACAAACAGAGAACAACAGGAGTATAAAACAGCACTCTAAACAATTTTAACTAATTCGTTAAGGCAAAACACAAGGAAGCCCCATTGCTACAAGATATAATCCTGTTTAGATATGACTGATTTCTTACAAAATAAACAATGAAGTGAGTTTCAAATATATCACATTTTCGTATTAATGTTTTTACATAAAACTAACTGAAAATACACACTTTAGCTTTGTACACTGTATAATACAGGCCTTCATTACAGTAGTGGGAGACCCACAGGGACCCCCTGGGACCCAGGCAGGATCCCAGATATCTTAAGCTACGATCAAAGCAATGAGCAATTTAGTTTTTATGTGATCACTGCATGGAGGAGAAACAGTTTTTTTCTCATGCATTCCTAATCAAGGAATATTCCTATATCAAGGATATTCCACTGTCTATAACTTTATAAAAAAAAGACAGAAAACCTCTGAAAGTGAGGCAGTTTAATGCATTTTTTTCCACACTTCTGTGACTTGTTAAATCTGAAAAGAAGTATAAGATTAATTATTGTGATGCAGAATTCACAGTACTATATTTTGTAATCAGATTTAACTCTTATTGAAGTATTTGTCCATTCAAAAATGTGTTCAATGCCATATTATCTGTATTTTTCCATCAGTCCCAGGATACAATCAATGAATCCATAATGCCACATTTCTGTCATGAATGTCAGTCAATATTTTAAATGAGTAGAGAAACTTTATATAGAAAAAATGCTACAATGGTTCCATATAGCTCAGTAATAATTAGCTAATACCCACCACACACAGACCTAAATTTAAAGTAAAAAGTAAGCTGTTCTTATGAGACACTTATACCTTTTAAAATTAAATTTAGACAATCCTGTGCCAAAAGGAAACAGGGACATATTGCTTAACAAAAAATCAGCTGTTCATTTAGAATACAGTTCCTACATTAACATAAACAGACCGACTACGATCACGCTGTGCTATACAAATAGCACTCCTTACTTTCAGTACTCCAATAATAATGCTTGTGAGATGTTCACAAAACCTCCAGGGAAAAGGTGTCCTATATTCTTGAGACATTTATGACCTTGATTTTCAGTACAGCAAAACCAGAGTCTGATGATGAAAAGAAAAGCCCTTACTAAATGCCACAGTCATAAAAGAGCCTTTGTACTCTGTATCTTTGATCTGTCATTCTCACTAAAACTTTTAACTAAACACATGGTGTATGAGAGATGCCAATAACATATGGCTGCTTATGCATTTATTCATTCATTCATTCTTTGAAAGACATCCAAATATGTTTTGCAATTCAAATTATAGTTATGAAGACATAAACATTAAATAAATAAATCAGTTCTAATTGCATGCACAATGGGAGTTTTTTTTTCCTTTTCGTTACAGAGTTTACTTTCTATCCCTTCCAGCCAATGGCACTACAGTAAGTAGAAGCAGTAAGAAATGTGATCAGAGTTCATTGATGACAATCCTTCAAAGAAATGCATATATGGTTAGAAAGGTCTCTAAGAGCTTTTTTTCATTCATTTCCAAATATGTCTTGAAATAAAGAAAATAATAAAAATAACAAACGCTCTTAGAAATGAAGCACAAAAGGTTCTTCCAATTTCAATGAACTCACTCCATATGGCAGGCAGCATATTGTATGGTCTTGTTCTCACCTGCCATCCAAATGTGAAGCCACTAATATAATGTTGGCCGATTTCAATAGAAAAGCATTAGTTTATTTCAGCTACATACGTTTTATCCTTCAGGTAGTATCCATTCTGACAATTATAACAATGATTGCCCTAGCATGGTGAAGCCTTCAGCCCCACAGTAAAAGAAACAGTATGCACTGAAAAGGACAATGTGTTTCCATTTTTCAATGTCTACAAAAAATAAGTCTCATTTAAAAAAAATAAACACCCAGGCCCAAGTTATATCCACTGGGTACTATCTTAAATGATTAAATAAAGCACTAAGGCAAAAAGAGAGCAGCAAACTTCAGAGCTCAGAGGCAGTCAACTTCTTGTCTGACTAGAACCTAATCTGCTGATCAGTCTCCAGAGGGAATACATTAAACTACTTCCAAGGGCTAGCTTATATTAAAGACAAAGATAAATACAACCACAGATACTGTTCCATCCATTATTCTTGACTAGATAAAACACTGTACTACTATGTGACACTTTTACTGATGCTATTTTTAAATTTGATCAATTAATGGTAAGTAAATCATTTAGTTTTAATGCAACCAGCACCAGGTCTGTCAACTATATTTAATATCATTAGTCCAATATTATTTTAATGGTTCAACTAAAGGTTGGATTAAAATGGTATTTTAATATGACATAAACAGCTTGTCATGCCCCATTCCTGTCCTATTAATATCTCTTTAAAAATAACTTTTTAATAAGTTACTTTGTATCATTAATTCATTAGGAATATGGAAGTCTCATGAATAGCCCATTACTACATCACTACTTAGAGTGAAATTCATATTATTCAACAGGAAACAATGCATTATTTCTAAAAATTAAACTTAAAATTAAAAATTAAAATTAGAAATATTGACACATGTAAACTGTTAATACAAAAAACATTCCAGACATTAAACAACTAACATGTTGTGATATAGACACATTCAGAAATGTTTATTTTTTTGACAGAGATTTGACAGAGAAATTTACCAAAAAATAATTTGATCATGGCACTGTCAATAGGCATTATCAATATGCAAATCAATATGAAATAATTGTGTTTTCAGCAGGATAATTAAATACTAGATATTGTATAGATATTGGTTCTTTTAAAAAAACTGAAATTTAGGTAATGTAAAAGCCTTACTCAACACCTGAGCCTCTACATCTGTCCATTCATACAATTACACTTGACATTACTTTTGAAATAATCATGAAATCACAAATGCTATAGAAAAAAATAATTGTACACTTTTATTTAATGAAAACCATTTAAATGCCTTGTGCGCATCATTCTGAAAGCATGAAAATGAACGAATTGAAGAATAAGTATATTAAGCTTATGCTTTTGCTTCTTTTGAATGACACGCGATTTTGTCTTTAAAATCTATGCATGTAGGTCATTGATTGATCTCCTGCCTGCTGGATCAAAGGCTTTGAGGCATTAAGATTTATTGATACATTGGTGTATTGATGCATGCTATATATTAAAATTTAACTATCCCCTTGGGATGTAACCCATTCTTTTTTCACTTACTGTCAAGACATTCCTACAGGTTCTCTCTGCCACAAAATCATACCTGAATACCAGTTCTATTCCATGCCTTTCAAGGAAAGATAGCTGAATGTTTAACTTATACTAAAGCCAACAGAATCACTTCCAAAAATTAACTTTAGACATTCTATGGTGTAAACTTTCACAAGCAAATACTTCTTAAATAGTCTTCTGTGCTGCAAATGACATCAGCTTAGGTCCAGAAACATTGTTTGGTTTGGGGCAGGGAAGCATGACTTCTAAAATAATCTCATGAACCAAAATCTAAATTTATTTTTGTACTGTTTTATATACTGTTTAGGAACATGATTGCTTTTATATAATTTTAAATATGCAGTTGCATATATTTACATTAGTCTGTTGTAAACACACAGATAGAAAACTGTTCAAAGCCTACCTGGAATATGTTGGAAAGGTCTCTCAAGTTGAAGATGTAATGAAATTTGATGGCTGTGGGGAGGAATGTTGAAGCTACTTTCTGATGCAGTCCCAAAGCTAAGTTGATAAGCTGGGAGGTGGACTTCTGTAGAGGCACTCCAAAGTTCCCCACTTTTAGGTGCTGGCTGAGTATCGTGCTGTAAATGGTCCCCAAAGCATCTGACCCAGGAAATGAGAGTGCAAACACGCAGAAGTGACGCTGAAAATGAAAACAAAAAGTAACCCAATGAAGAGTTCTAATTTAAGACTACAAAATGTATCTACTGTATATAATGCTTGTCCATATTGCAAGTTTGGGGGTTCACATTGTGGATGGGGTGCATCCATTTTCTAAATGCTTTATCCAATCCAGGGTCATGGGTGAGCTGGAGCCTACCCCCGCAAGCAACAGGTGCAAGACACTCTGGATGGATTTTTTAAAAAAATATTCATAAACGAGTCAGGACCTGTGAAGATTAAAGATGTCCCTGTACATCTGTGCTACTGCAGCAGTAACCGAAACAACCCAAACACTTTTAGCATTGGCAGAAATCTTTTTTTTTTTTAATCTGCTTCAATTCGGATGTACTGTAAATATGGTGACTATCATCAACTGCAATCAGTATGCTACTTTTAAACTGTAGAAAATGTAGATTGACGATTATTTAAACTTAAATTTTCATGTTAAATGTTGTTGGTATTGTTTGTTACAGCTTGTTGTGTGTAGATCTATTCAGTACAGTACATGATGCAGTATAAGAGATGTTTATCACAACAAAATATTTCCATGTTCAAAAGTTAAGTCTTAGCAAACTGTTAAAACTCCCTGAGAACTGTTAATGAGGGACTAAATTATGCTAAAACACCTTTAAAATGTTATGTGTTAAAAGTAACACAGCAGTAATTGAGAGTAAATATAAAAAAATGGTGCATAAAAGAAAACAAATTTTCAGTTCTCATACAATCATCTTATTTTCCAGGACAAATCTTCCACCAAAGTTATTGCAAGTTTCTCCTGTTTATATGAGAAGCCAGTTTTTATATGGAAGCACTACTCCATACATTTGCATCTTTGAAACACCAATTCCATAAAATATACCAACTCAAATTAAGTGTTCAAAATTAATGCAATAACATTAGATCAGCATGGTAAAGCAAAAATGTATAAGAAAAGAAAAACTTTTGGTCATTTGGTTCTACTACTTTTGGACGTATTAAATGTTTTGTTAGTCCTTCCTTTTACAATGTATTTTGTAATAGATGGGTTATGTCTCTGTTACTTAGCAAATACATTTTTTTTAAACTGGAGGATTTATTGAAAGTTGACATACACACACTTTAGCTCTATTTGCAGGCCCACATATACTTCTTGAAACGTTCCCTTTTTGCTTTAGCAATGCTGGTGGGAGAAGGCATTTTGCTCTTGGCCTTTTTTTTATTTCCAGCCTTTTGTGAGTAGTGCAGCACCATGCCAGGTGCCTTATTAGAACCCAAATTACCTTTTGATGAGTTACACAGTGTTCTCTGTGGGTGTGACTGCAGTAATAATGTTTCTAATTTTTCTTTCCTTTTTTATTCTTTTTTTTCTTAAGCATGCCTAGATTGCTCCCAGAAGCTGATTATAAATCATCAGGATACATTTAGAAAAGCCAAGTAGATACCTGCAGCCTTGGGTTGATGGTGAAACTGCCAGCTGTAGGATTCATGCAGGACACATACTGCACGTTGTGAATCTCCTTCAGTGACAACTTGTTTCTGTCATACCTAGGGCAAAGAGACAAAATCCATCCATCCATTTTGTAACTGTTTTGTCCAATATAGGGTCGTGGGAGAGCCAAAGCCTATCCTGGCAAGCAACAGGTGCGAGGCAGGGTACAACCTGAATGGGACCCAAGTTGATCACAGGGCACTCACAGACACACACTCACACCAGGGCCAATTATCACAGAAGCCAGTTAACCCACAAGACTGTCTTTGGAATGTGAGAGGAAACTGGAGCACATGAAAGAAACTCACATGAACATGGGGAGAACATACAAGCAGATACCATGCAGATAGCACCCCAGGTCTAGAACTGAGCCCAGGGCTCCAACGCTGCAGGGCAGCAATTCTAATCACCCAACCATCATGTTACCCTTGTACGTGCAAAACCTAACTTCTGACTAATTGTAATGACAAGTGATGACCTCATCAACAAATATCACTGCACTCTAGTTTCAGTTAATGCAAGAATGACTTTTTACAATTAATCATTGACCAAAACTGAACATTTTACAATACAGTCTGGAAAAAAGTAAAACACTTATGTCTATACAAAGTCAATTTTAATGTATAACCTGAACATAAGTAGAAACAGTAAGTAGAAACATTCTTCTTCACACCCAAAGAAGGCTCCACAGCCAAAACATTTTGTTTCCTTTCTTCTCAGCATGGAAAAAACGTTTACTTGTTCCTGAATGTAAAGTAAGTATTCCAATACGAGCTTCTATATATACTGCATATTGGTAAACTTACTGTATTTATCATAATAATACAGAGCTCTATTTTTCCACACTGTAATTCAATTGTAAATTAATATAGTTATCAAAGATAAAGCCATACTGTATGTATATGCACCTCTAGATTTTTTTTAATTCTGCAAATCATTTTTGTGCTTGTAGTTTGTAGCAGCAAATTTAAGGTCTTCTGATTCTTCCTTTGTCATTAGGCTTCCAAAATGCTCTGCAGATTTATGAATACAGACAACTACACTTACCAGTGGTTGTAGTCCATATGCTGTCTGATCAGAGTGTGTGGTTGCACTGTACCATATGTGTCCACCTCTGGCATGTTCATGTCATCAATGAAGTAGATCAGTTTCTTGTTGCCAGGAGGGCCATAGTTTCTACCAGCTTTCTTTTCCAATGGCTTTTCTAAAATGGCTAGAAAACAAACAGAAAATAAACATGCACAACAAAGGAATTTTTGTAACTTTTTTATCTATGAGTTAATCATTTAGTATATGTGTAAACTGGTCCGTAAGAGAAATTAAGACGTCCATATTAAAATCCAAAATTCACCTTTGACCTTTGACAGGGTCTAAATAAAATGCATTTAATGTTTAGGGCTGTTGAATAGGCTATAACCCTGCTTCATAACATCACTTTTACTGTACATTTTACAGTTCTTCTTGGAATTTTCTGTACAAAGTCACAGTAGTCTGTCTTCATATCAATGTCACACCTGCTTACTGCAGTGCCTTTCAAAGACGTGGTGGTACAGTACACACACAGAGAACTGTAGATGACAATCTTACAAAATTCTGAAAGTACTGGGTACCAGTGAAGTTGACTCACTTTAGACGATATCCCAAGGGGAGCTAAATTAATCAAAACAAAGCAAATGGGCAGAAAACTACAAAGGCAGCTAAAATATAATAATGTTTATATTCACAGCAACAAATATGCCAACTTAAGCACATATGAACATTGGCACAAGAGGCCTAGATATGGTAGGTTCACTGTTCCCATACTTAAGGTGATAGAGTACAAGTGTAGCCATGAACCCCACATCACTCAAACACTCCCAGGGACACTGCTGCTGTCTCCACTCAAATTACTGCGGCATGAATGTCTTCCTTTCTGTAAATCTGAACTTGTTATGAACTGATATATCTGGTTACATATACTGTAAATTAAAAAAAAAAACAAGTGTAATGTTTGGCTAAAGCATTCCAAGTGTAGTGCAAGCCTTTTTTTATATTTTACATTTTATTCTCAAATTGGTCATCCAGCTCAACTCACTGCTTATTTAAAAAAATCACCTACAGTATCCACATAATGGACCATACACAGTACATACCAAACCATAAAAACCAACATATGCACCCCTTGAAACTGTACAGTGGCTATCAAGGGTATTCACCTTTGGACTTTTTATTATGTGTGTAAAATTGCTGTTTACCAAAGGTCCCCATCCAACTTAAGGGAGCTTTAGCAATTTTGCAAAGAAGAACAGGCAAAAACTGCAGTGTCTAGATGTACGCAGCTGGTAGAAACTTATCGCAGAAGCCTCACAGCTGTAATTTCTGCTCAAGGTTTCTCTACGACATATTCACTCAAGGGGGGAGAATACTTATGCAATCAGTTATTTTCTGTTTTATATTTAGAATTAATTTAGGAGGATCTACAGAATTTTTTTCACTTTCACATTATAGTGTTCTGTGTCAATCAACGGCAAAAAATCCCAATTAAATACATTACGATTCCATACTGTAACAATAAAATGTGAAAGATTCCAAGGGGGGAGAATACTTTTGATAGCCACTGCATGCAATACCCACAGAAAAAGTTCCTGTGCAATACTGTACATGAATTAGCCTTTTTTTTTTCTTCTACATTAATGTATCCTACACTCAGATTTGTTTAATAATTTATTTCTTTAATGGTTTGACACTACAGAACACATGCTGGACTCTTAAAACACTTTCAATGTTCCTTTACTGTACAGAAGTTATATCTGCTTAAGTGCAGGCATCTGCGGAACATTTTTCTGGAAAAATTAGGGCAATTTATGTGATAGAAGGTTTTTCTTCATTTAAGAAAGGATTTTAAAGATTATGTAAATTTAACAATGTATGATTATAAATTGCCTATTTTAAATCCATTTATCTATTTGATGGTGACCATCACAACATATTCATTGTCATTTTTCTCCAGATAAAAATGTAGACTGCAATCTAAATATTCTACAGATGAATATAAAAAACATTCAAAGTTTTATTTTCCAACGAAGCCTTTTTTAAAATTAAATGTGAAATCCACAAAATTAAAGCAGCTGAGAACATATTGACATTGGGAGTCTCGTGTTGCAATTAAGAACATACAAAATCAATGTACATAAAATGAAACTAATAAAATCATTTAACATTTATTCAGCATCATAACCACAGTAAAAATTGATTTGCACTGGAAAATCAGTACAAAAAAGGCTATTTGTATCTGTAATATTTCTAACAAAAGAATTATACATCTACACTGGAGTCCTAAAAAGCATCTTGTTTGCTTCTTTCTTTCTGGGGTGGCAAATATTTAGAGTAAAATAAGCAAGCAGATTTTAGAAAAAATATGTTTCAAACAACTATGAAATAACTGAAAATTGTTTAAAAATGTTAATGTAACAGCACTTTTACGCCACTTATTTTAAAACCATTTGTGGATTTTTGTTTAATTTTTTCTTCCAGCAGAAATAGTTTCTATGGGGGCCCATATCAGCATCTTAATCCTCAAGATAAAATTCAGACTGTAAATGATTTGACACAATTCTTAAGCAGTCTATTTCATAGCATTGAGGAGTAGACTGCAGAATTAAACAATTTAATAAATTTTTGAAAATATAAATATTACCTTGCCCTCAAGGAAAATTATTAAAGATTTTTGATAACGTCTGAGTACAGGGAGTACTGTTGTGGGGGTAAGAGGAATAGGGACTGGGACATGGGGTGTGGCGCTTGTTGTACAGTATTATGGTTACTTGTTTTTTATTTGTATAATGTGTGTGGTGATCTTTTTTAATGTTCTATATCTAATGAACCATATATAATTATATACTAATAAATAATATATAACATTATAATATAATGTTCAAATTGATATATTATTACTAAAGGGATTTATAAAAGGTGGGTTAACAATTTATTATAAAGGTAACAGAAATGTACCTGTAAGATAACAAATTTTTATAGATACACTTATCCCAAAGTTCACATAAAACGTCATCGACCTTTTGACATTAATAGACTAGTTAATCTTATAAAAAATAGCGAGCAATGATTGTTTCCACATTCTTTAACAACCTTCTGGGATAGATTTATGGGCATCAAACTTTGTTATGATTTAGATAAATGACCATTAAATAATTGCTAGCTTAAGGGTTTTTAGGTGTAAAGATTACAGAGTAACTATTCATTGCATTAACCAAAAAGACCACTTACAACAGATCTAAGATGGAAGTTCATCTGTATTTTCTATGGAAATGTGCATAAAAACTGGGATAGACATCTCTTTTTTCACTAGTTTGACTTCATATTAATAATATTTTATCATCTTTCACTGATGCATAACTGCCAGTTTATATTCAACCCATCTTGGCACTGCACAACTGCTCTCACCAGAGGAGGCTACAGGAGCTACTGTTCACACGCCAGCAAAATAATACCAATGTCAGTAAAATATGTTCCACTACTGGAAACCCTTAATTACAGAAAATGAACAGTACAATTTGGGTTTGAACTCAAACAAAATCACTTTATAATTGTAAAGGCTAAACTCAAAAGTGTTTAGGTACAGTGTTAAAATTTTAAAAACTTTGTTTTAGACATTTTTGTTAGAAATTATTTTTACTTAAAAAGTGCTGAAAACATGTTCCAATAAATATGAATGATCTTTTTTTCTGGATTGTCTTGTAACAAACAAAAAAGATTATATAATCGTAAAGGGGAACTGCTGTCCCAATTTCTCCGACCAGTCATTAAATGATAAATTAATAACAAAATTAACCCATTGACGTTATAGATAAATTTGAGAAAGCTGAATTAAGCACAAAACTGTGAACATCATGAAAGTACTGTAAGTCGCCATGTTGTCTCAAACCCCCAGTCTCACCAGAGTGAGTTTCCACAAATTTCAACATGATGCGGCCACATCGACCAGTAATGTAATGCGATGTACAAACAAATAAGTGCAGGTTGTGCAGCACACATTTCACCGCGGAAATGTTATAAACTGCATCTGCATGCAGTTTAAGTTAAAAAGTGCATAGTACCTGTCGGCAAAACCCTCTCAAAGATCCAACAGAGTAATATTTCTATTGGATGAAATAAAATCTATTTACAAGCCTGCTTGTTTACAATGTCATAGGGCAGCTTCACGTTACCGGAAGTTTTACTTAAAACATGCTGAAAACATGTTCCAATAAATATGCTTCTGGAAAACTTCTCATGGAGGTTTCCAGATCCTTAAAAGGTTGCTTGTAGAATGGATAGGCTGCGTTAAAAGAATGACAGCGAAAATAAAATAACCTTACCTTGGAGCATTGCGGAAGTGGTGTAATAGTTGAAAGGTACATTCTTGATCATGTACTCTTCCTGATCCAGAGATCCCAGTTTATTTCCCACCAGTACAGATTTTCCAGTCCCAGCATTTCCCACCAGCATAACAGGTCGTTTGTGCTCCAGGAGCCTGTCCATGAAGTACCTTACCCGAATAGTTTCAGTGGTGTGTACTAGACAGGCCTACAAACCCACAAGTCAAAATTAGTATCTCAGTGCTTTTGTTCAGCTGTTAAGATCACAAGCAATGTTAAAATGTTTAGATATTCCTGTTTATTTAATTGGATGAAAAATTGGGCAATGCAGCAAAAAAGACAAGTTAATTGTAAATGCTGTTTGGAAAAGCACACTTTCAAATGGAACAAATGGATTCATATCCCATTCATATTTGATTCACATCTCATGAATCAAAAGAAGAAATGATTGGGTCAAAATGTTAACAAGCTATTCAGCACTTTACTCACAGCCTTTTATTCATATTTTGTTCACAGCACAGCCAGAAGGTGCCTGAATGTGTAAATAAATTTTTCTTTTTTTTAAATGTTTTATTCATTCCAGCGGTCTATTTCAGAATATAAAAACTGTATTTGTGGGTTTTTCGTTTGCGTGTCTTGAAAAGTTTCCAAATCTAAAATGTATCCTCCATATGCAGCCTGGAGCTACAGCTACAAGCTACAGTCCGTAAAATAAATTAACCATCATTAGCATTATAAAGCAATGATTCCAAAGGATTCCCTGAGCTTCAAAGGGATGAACATAATGTTAATTGGAATAGAAAAAAGGTAAAAGATAACATCTATCTTAGAAATGCATTACAGGAGGACTGCCCTTGGACAAATTATTCACTTGCTCATCCACAATTTGAAAAGGAAGCATTCTTATGAGCAACGGTTGGGTTTGTCATTTTGAGCACCTCCAGATTTGAGTTGAAAACTTTTAAAAGTCTTCTAAATCAGGAAGAGTTTAATTTTCTATACAAGAATCACTGCAATGTCATTTGTGTTTGGGGTTTTGATCCTTACTGTGACAAGTGTGTCACTGGATTTAACAAACTGAACCCTGTTAAAATAAACGTAAAACACCAACAATTTAATCAGATTAAAGTAAACGTTCTGAGGAATTTTCCAAAACAAGAATCCAAAAAAGTATAATTAATACAGACAGGACCTGTGGCTGAAGATCTATAACTTTGAATACTGAAAGAATGATTTCAAAGCATTCCACTTCAAAGATTTTTTTTCACATTTTTGTCAGTCTAAAAAATGTCAAAGCAAGAGCAAACAACAAAGACAATCAATGTAACTGCTCCTTCGTGAACTTGACTGTTTTCTCCTTGGTACCTTTAAACATAAGGGTACCCATTCTATAAATGAGTGAAAATGTTCTGAAATTCATCCATCAAAACGCTCTCAGGAAGATAATTAAATCTATTTCAGAAAGATTAGACTGTCACAAGATCCTGATTAAAAAAGAAGCTTATGGTTAATTTCTCTGCTCCACTTTCTGAAAGCTCTTTCAAGAGAAGATACCAGGTCCATCTCCATTTTAACACAGGGTAGGTAATTAATTTCCTTATTACTGATATGCTTGTATATAAAGATGTGATTATGAATACATTTCTTTGTGCCATAGTACATAAATAACACTTTAAACATATAAAGTACAAATAATTACACTTTTAAATGTCAGTTTCCATACACTTTGATATAATATATGTATATATTACAAACCTGCAAAGGCATATCCGGATCAAATTCAAATTTGGGAATCATTTTAGACCATGGTTCAAATTTCTTTGTTTCCGGATCAATATAGTAGTCAAACACTGTGCCTTGAGAAGGGAATTTGATAGTTTTGAATTCCGTCACCCACCATTTGCTAAATTCCACTCTGTAATCAACCAGCTGCAAATGAAAAAACAAAAAAAAACATTTCTTATTTCAAAGCTAATCTAAAACATATAATTTCATGCTATGTATGTTGATACAAGAAAGGAAATACTCAGGTACAATGTATTTAACATATGTTACATGCTGTATTTACTATATACAGTATCAACAAAATGTGACCCTAACTACTAAATCCCTAAATGTTCATTGCAGAATGTGAAACTCTGTTAAAATGTCAACTCTGTCAAGGCAAGAATATTATAAAGTCAGTATCAAGTATGCTCTTCCTGAGGATTAATACAATCCCGGCAGTCTTGAAATAAGACATGATGAGCCTCTGGACAGACTGCCACAAGATGTTTTGCCCCTCTTCTTTTGCAGCTGTAACCAAGTTGCAAAGATTGGGTACTTGCAGTTGTATCCCACTCAAGCCATTCTCTAGTACTAAGAACAAGAGAAGGGGTTGTGGTCAGATGACCGTACTGGTCATAGTGAAATCTTAAAAATGTTTTTCCAAAATCATGTCATTATAAGCCCAGCAATGACTAGTCTTGCATTGTTTTAAGGAGAAAATCAACACTTTTGGATCAGCTTGTAGGAATGGAAAATCTGTTGATTTAGGGATTTCATCAATGTATCATTGAGGAGTAAGGTTGCCCTCAAACTACAATAGAGGCATTCTTGTATTAAAGGAGATTTCAGCCTACTTCTTCACACTTCAACCATCGCATTGGTTAGCTTGAATAACACACCAATGCTTGCTATAAAGCCTCCACACACACTGCCTTCTGTTAGGTCTGATGATTTTAAAACAGCATTAATTGGTGAACTGAACAATCCACTACTTTCTCTGCTCTTAGAACCATAAAAAATGACAATTGTGTCTTTAGACCATCACTGGTTTATCCTTTTTGTGCAACCATCGGGTTCCAGTTATTCAACTAATATGCATAATAGTTAATGTGCTGTAGCTGCTGCAGTCTGCAAATTCTTAAGCAGATGGATCAGGTGAACGTGATTGTCTTCTCACAAATCAACTTCAATCATACCATTCTTCAGTACTTAAGCAGGATATGCTCATGTTCATTTTAAAATCATGTCTCTTTCAATGGCTGATCATAACTAACAATCAACAAGTCTATCTGCTTGTTGTTTAAATGGAAATGACATTAAGTATATGACCAAAGAGCTATTGATTTAAAATGTGTGTGCTATTAAATACACAACAAATGGGCACTAGAATCGATATCTCTTGTTGTATTTTAATGTCTCTCAGAATATTAACAGGAAATTTTTATTCTTACTGAATAATATAAATTTAAAATATAGTTAATATACAGAAAATGAGAAGAATACTGAAAATTAAACAAAAAGAAATTCACAAATACTTGGCTTGAAAACTTGATATAGTGCAATACATTATACAATATAGAAGTCTATTCTGTGTCCCCACATCCTGAAAACTATGTGTATAAACTTCACTTTTAATAAAACACACTAGTTGAGGAAACGCTGTGGAAATTATTATTATGTCCTATTATTATCAAGGGGTCATTTTCAAGGCCACGTCTAGTTCAATGCAATAAGATACAGTGGTCATATTGGTTCACTTTTCCGAATGCAAAGGGCAGGTGTTTATCACAGCATTGTACCTTTGGCACAAAATGACACTCCAAAGGAATTAATTCTCTGAATATCATATCTTTCTGTCAAGAACTGCAGTTAGTGAGGGTGACTGACTTTGAAATGAATCTTATACCACTCAATTTAGCCGCTGATACAGCAAGGGAATGTATGTTTGAGAAAAAAATGAACTGGAACTTTTCTATCATATCTCTTAGTACTTGTAAGAGGAGGGAGATGGGAAAATGGATTCTACATTCAAAAGATTTCTAAAGACAATGTTCCTGAAAAAGTGTTTAATCATGGGTTGGTTAACCAGTTTAGTTAGTTGCTAATCTAATTTTGAATTATCTTTTTTTCTGGATTATCTTGTAACAACCAAAAAAGATTATATCATCTTCAAGGGGAACTACTGTCCCACTGCCTCAGACCAGTCATTAAATCTTGATAACAAAATGAATCCATTGATGGTATAGATAAATTTGAGAAATGTTGAATTAAGCACAAAACCATGAACATCGTGAAAGTATTGTAAGTCACCATGTCGTCTCAAACCCTTAGTCTCACCAGAGAGAGTTTCCACAAATTTCAACATGATGCGGCCACATCGACCAGTAATGTAATGCAATGTACAAGCAAATAAGTGCAGGTTGTGCAGCACACATTTCACCGCGGAAATGTTATAAACTGGATCAGCATGCAGAGTTAAAAAGTACATAGTATCAGTCGGCAAAACTGTCTCAAAGATCCAAACGAGTAATATTTCTATTGGATTAAATAAAATGTATTTTCAAGTCTGCTTGTTTATAATCTCATACTCAAATTTATGACATTGTAAACATTGAAGGGCAGCTTCACGTAACCGAAAGTTTCCGTGCCTAATTCTGGCACTGTGCATACCTGGAAAATTTGTCTATATTGTGATGTAAATTTATTTACCTTTATTGTGGTTTGAAATGCACTCAATGATGATTCTTTCTAACCTCAAATATAAAAATAGTATTGCAGTTCCCCTTTAACATTTCTAAGATGATAACATATTCTCTTCTTGTATAATTTAATAATAACTGGAACCTTGATACCAGTCCCAGTAAAAGTAGAACCACAACATACTGCTTTCTAGCTTTGTTATTAGTTCACTAATATAGTTATACTCACTGTCAGATTTCCTAATCTTATACTAAAGTATGAGGATGTGGAGGCTGGCAGAGGAAATTGCTCTGGCAATATTTGGCTGCTGTTCAGTGGTACACAGCTGGATCAGAGCATGAGTACACACAAGAGGTGTGGGTCATCTCGCAAACTAGGAAGGGAGACTTTACCTCTTTGTGTGAAGTACATTTCTTGAAAGCAAAAATAATTATTACCCCAGGGAAGAAGTCAGATGTCATGTTACCATGGAGCTGCCAAGATCAAAAATGCAAAGCTGAAACTGTAAAAATCTCAGCTTCACACAACAAGCTGATCCAAGTTTATAACCTTCCTTTGTTATGTAACACCCCACTCTGTATTCATGTTTACAGTTAGACATGAAACCTCATGCCCTGAAAAAGGACTTTAAAGCTGTAATTAAAGAAAGATTACACATACATTTTAACTTAGCACAAATCCTTCTTGGGATTCTAGAAAGTTAAGGTTTTGTTGCAGATGTGTAAATATGTGTAAAATATTAAAGCTACAGCATGTTTTTCCTTCTGTACATGGATAAAGATTTGTAATGTACCTGAAAAGAACTTTTCAGAGAAAAGGTCTTCTCTTTTAGGTCATCTTTCACAAAGGAGGCAGCTCTCATCTTCCTATTTTTGGTATTTTCCATTCTTAAGACACAGATTTTCTTGCTATTGTTCTAATTCACCTCTATTATTGTTTCATGGTGTCTAAAATTTTGCAGGAACCACAGAAATTAGCAGTTTTCATGTTTGTAATAAAAAATATTTTAAAAAGCTTAAAAGCTTTTGTTTATCTTTGACTGATTCCTTGGTTGACACTGGTCATTTGATGATGAGGATGGCTCAGAGAATTGTTTAAGGGAGAGGCCTATTCACAGAATCTTTTATCATATATATTTAGCAGAACTACCTTGTCACTCCAGAGGGGAAAGAGCTGCACATATACCATACCTGAGGGTACTAACATCTTATCTCTCATAAGCACACCACATACTAAAAAAACACGCTAAGAAATACTATAAAATAAGGTGGAAATAGCTTACACGGTTTACAATCAAAAAATGAATTGCAGCTTTAAAACTGAACTTCAAATAATAGCATTTTAAAAACATCTGACATTTTAACGGTTGAAAGCTAAATAAATGTGTACCTGATCCTGGAACATTGCACCTCCAAAAGCCCAGATGGCTGCAAATACAAAATACAACTCATAGAGCTCCTTCGGGCAGTCTGGAGGAGTGTGGTCTTTCGTTAACAGGCATTCAAGGAGGTAACACAGCATTTGAACCATGCTCTGCTCTGGGATTGGAATAATCTTCTTAAATCTTGAAGAAAGAAAAACATATTGAACAAAAAAGGGGAAAATAATCTGTCCACTCATCCATTTTCTGACTGCTTCTTCCAATTCAGGGTTTTGGGGAAGCCTGAGACTATCTCAGTAAGCAATGGGTGCAAAGCAGGGTACACCCTGGATGGGACCTACTCGATCTCAAGGCAGACACACACTCACACCAAGGCCAATTTTCCTAGGAGCCAATTAACTTGCCAGTATGTTTTTGGACTGTTGGAGGAAACTGGAGCATCCAGAGGAAACCCATGCAAACACGGACAGAACATGCAGCCTCCACATAGACAGCAGCCCAGGTAGAAAATCAGTTGGTCATGGAACTGATTTAATCATTTTGGCATCAGATGCAATGTTAATAGTGTGATTTATTCCTAAGGAAATGCATACCTGCTGATGCTGTAAAACTAGGTCTAAACACCTTCGGAAAAAAAATATATTTTACGCTGTTGGGATCTTCGTCCAAAATATCAGCAAAAATATGAGCTCTCTTTGGAGAGAACTGGACCAATTACTTTCTCCCAGTGCACAGACACATAATTACAGGCTTGAAAGTACCAGACACCTGGTACTGTAATTTTAAGATGCCAATTTGCTGGGAGAACATTATGAAATAATTAAATACATAAATCTGCTGACTTCATAAAACCTTTTGTCTTCTATATTAGAAAAGAGGCATTTCAGAATGTTACTGTATATTATTTTGGGGTATTACATTATTTGTCATGGCTTGCCAGGACAATGATACATTGAATTTATAAATATTGCATACAGTAGCAATATTCACTTCACAGAGTTATCTACCTATTCTGAAATGTTCTAAATTTTAGCTGGGTACCTTGTTCGGAGGGTATCGAGGCAGGGAGGAAGGTACTTATCAAACAATATGGTCAAGTTTGCCTTCTCTGACTGGACCTCTCTCTTGTCAATCCAGCTTGTCACTGGAGGATTCCAGCCCAGATCAGCTGGGTTTATGTACAAGATACCTGAACAACAAAACTAAAGTCAATGAGAATAACCTGAACTCAGTACAAAACTATGTCCCTCTTTAGACAGAAGGTAAAAAGAACAGATATGTTTCCAAGATTGTGTAACATGGAAGGAATTAGTACAATTAATTAGTCTGTGCAATTTCAACGCCTTTACAATTCTAAACTAAATTCTAACACCATATTATGTAAACAGCTTTTTGCAAATTTATCACTTTAAAATTCTAATAGTAGTTTATTTTGGTTAACCATTTAGCTGCGTTTTTCTTTTTGAAAAAAGAAGGTTAATAAATATTTATTCCACGTTATGTAATAACAAAGAATGATTTGATATACAGTCATAACAAGTTGAGTCCTTGCTACAGAAGAAAGTCACATGCCTGCCCTGGACACAGTGGCTGGGGTCGCTGTCCGTAGGTGACTAATTTCAAATACCAGTCTCATGGTTGGGTTCAAAGGAATTCTCTCATTGCTGGCCAAGGTGAGCACCTGTTATAGCAGATTCAAATCAAGCTGAAGTTCAAACTCTGGTCAGACTAAAAAAATTCAGGTGTTATTATTCAGTGTATTATGTGTTGTATATTCTCACTACAGGTGATTTCACATTTTCTTAGAATGGATATTCCTTATTTATAAACACATACTTGCTAGAATGTTTAGACACTGATAATATGTAATGTAAGCATGACATATACATTTGGGTCACCATTACCTAGATCAGAGGACAGATCAATTCAACCTTTCAACCTTGCTAGCATGATACAGTTAATGTGATTGTAAGAGATCTTGATATTAACTTTTAGATCACCAACAATTCTGTCACCTACTACACTGATGAAAAGCTTTTTCTACCCTCTAAATCAGAGACTGAATCTCTTTGAGATTTAATAACAAAAAGCTTTACCTTATTGTCATCCATGACTGTGTTTAGAGACTCAATCCACATGGGGTCTATGTCTCCATCGAGTACAATCCATTTTGGGCCATCGTGACTGACATTAGCAAGCTCACGCATGATGTTAGAAAACAGCCCTAATAATAAAGACATTTAGATGCAGTTATCTTTAAGACATGTGATAAATCAGGCTTCCTCTGGGTGTTTGACAATATAAAACAAATCAGGCAAGAAGCAATTTCACTTTGCAAAAGATTTAGTAACAGAACAAATTCAATTTAAGGCAGAGAAGGAACACACCATCTTTCCACTCTCTTGTTGCTGGATTGATTATGCCGAAGAGCTCATCATTGGTGACAGCCTTGGGGTTGAGGTCGGCCCAGACTGGACGTCGCTTCATGTTCTGGTAGGTCTTGTTTAGCGACTTCATGACCTGGGATTTCCCTGTCCCAGCATTGCCCACAACAAACACAGAGTGGCGCACTGCCAGGAGCTCCTCTAGTTGAACCACCTGAGAACAGTGGGTTGTAGGACACAAAATCAGCTGCTGTCACAGGACGCTGAGTTATTAAAAGGACTCATCCAGCACAGACTGATTTCTTCTTTTGATGGTAGCAAGATGTAAAAGTGAAAATAATTATTTTTCCTACGTTTTTAAAAATAGATTGTAGAGAATAAATAATTTCTGTCAAAATACTACATAACAGTTAACATATATTAGTTTTATATTTTTATAGAGAAAAAAATGGGAATTTATACATATTTTATTTATAAAGAACTATATTGTATGACAAGTTAGACTAAAATTAAGACTGACTGTAAGATGTTAATAAAGAAAACTCAAGTCATGTGAAATTTGCACATTTTGTACTACAGTACATTAATTTTTAAAATCTTTGTACACTATTTAAACCTCGAACAACATGGTGTGATATAAAAAATTCTGCAAAAAATATTAAAAAGCAATACACAGACTAAAGATTATTTTAGCTGTTTTGCTTATTTCATCCAATTTGATCCATAGCATTATTTTTGAAACTGACAATGTCTTCTGAGGCTGACAGCATGCTCAAGTAAAAACAAGTAATGCCACCCAAACACTTTAAATATACAGCAGGACTCTAGAGACATAACACAGGGCTTTAACACCTATTGATGTCCTTAAGCATTTTTTAAAAGCAACAGTAAATTGCTTCCTTTTGAGACAGAGGAACCTTTAGTTTTCTGTTGATGATGTGCTCAATCAATACAATTCACTGTGCTTTCACCCCCTACTGCTCCAGTAAGGCCCATCATTTTAGTACGTTTTGTGATTGTGGCTTTGACGTGATGTCACATAGGGGTTACCATTATTAACAGATAAGCACTTTACAAACCTAATCCACATTTCAAACCAGCCAAAGAGAATCTGCTGCTTACAGTCTATAGAGCTTCTTAATTTGAGAGTGCTGTTAGTGAAATGGATCTCTTGACCTTCTGTTTCATTGGTAGCTCCTTCCAGGTATAAACCATTTCCCAAGAAGCATCTTCTCCAACAACATGAGTATTAAATGCTTTCCTTGAGTACCATAATACAGAATACTATCATTTTTTTTCTGAGCCTTTGACCTTCTAAAGATTACACTTATTTCCCATGGCACTCTATATGATAGCTCCACAGTCTATAGCCTATAGCTCCTCACACAAATGTTAAAAATTAGGACATGGACAGACTTCTGAAGTACAACTGTAACTCAGTTTATATGTCTGTCCAGTCTTTCACCCACCCATCTCTTAGAAAATTGACTTGTTTTGTCAGAAAACACTGTAGGTCTAGTTTATTTCCAACAGAATAATAAGTGTGTGCTTCCTTAGAACACAGGGACTTTAGCAGGGTATGCAGTGATCAAACTACATTGTTCATTCCATACTTACTTTCAGCACAAAGTTGTCTTCAGCTTGCAATTTGAGATCCAGAACAGACTGCTTCACATATTTCTCAAAGTCTAGATCTCTTTTCCGAGGGACATCAAGAGCAGGAAACAAATCTCCAATGAGTCCCATGAACACTGGCATGTCATCTGTCACAATTTTGGGAATGTTAAAGTCTCGGAGAGCTCTCATCAGAACCTGGTCTTCAGGTCTCCCTGGGTCACCTCTCTTCAGTGATCCAGCCACAACAAGCACAGATTTGATAGCTCGCAAACCCCAGTCGTAGTGATCCTGAAGTGACAGAAAATTATTGACAAAATCAAAGAAAACTGTGCTTCCCTTTGCTAAATGCTCTGAATTTGTACAGAAGATAAGTTTGCTTTAAAATTAAAATGTAGAAGATGTTTGTTTCAATACCAAAAATAGTCTTATTACCTAAAGACGTGAAAAAGCAAATCAGTCAATAAGTATAGTTATTTCAACTGAGAGGCAGAAGCGAAATAAGTCATCTTTATATGATGTTGGCTTTTTCTATTGTCAAGAAAAGTGTTTCTTGAGTGTTTAGAAACTTCTCAAAATATTAAAGTGAGTCAATTCTCACCATGGAAGAAAAACTTTATTCAACAAAAAGCAATTAAAAAAAACTACTCCAGGTTAAAGCAGTTAATGTCCTGTTAGGGTTCATATAAAGCTTGTTCATTTATACTTTTTTATAAACAAATATTATTTTAGTATAATAATTGCTTACACTTATACACTTTTCTTTCTTTTCTTTCACCAAGCTATACATTCAACAGGTTAAATCACCTCATTAGCTGTATCCAATCAACTCAAAGAGGTGATTCAGTACTGATGCAATAGTTAAAGCCAATAGAGTGTACCATGATCAGTAATCATTGAATAGTACTCAATATAGCTCAGAACCTACCTGCTTGGACAGAAGCTCCTTACAGAGTTGATACAATGTGATGAACTTTCGAGCTAGCAGTCTGGCCTCAAGGAAACCTTCAGCCACCAACATGATCTCACAAATCAACTCAAAGTCTGGCACTACCATTGCACAAGGCCTGAAAAATACGAACAGCAAATTGAAATAAATACTGACATCCATGTATACAACCATCTATTGCATATGAATGCACTAACATCCTATAGATAAATGCTTAATATAACAACAGCACAAGTAATGTACTGTACAGTACATAATGTAATTAGTGACAGTACTGTACCACAAATTAAAAAAAATAGAGAAAAAGACAATCATATATCTCTCTAGTCTAGAATCTATTACTGCTAAATGAAAATCTGAAAAAACAATCCTAGTGAATAAAACGGGAATCAGAAAGTAAACGGGGCCCTATCCATCATGTTTTGGTAATAGCTTCATTCTTATGGGGTCACAGTGATCCAGGGACTAAGCCAGCCATCACAGGGCGCAATGTGGCTCTACACTCACGGCCAGATGGCACACCAGAGCACTGGGAGAAAACCTATATGGATATGCCGATAACTTGCAAACCCAGTGGACACAATACATATCAGTATTAAAAATGAATAGATTATATAATATATGGAAACTAAAATTACAGAAAAGGCTAAAAAATGCAATGATTGACTTCAACTCAATTGACTGTTGTACAGGTATAAAATATCATTCACCACTCGAGTCATGTTTGAATTCAAAGACTGGATAATTTCTGATTCTGCAGGGCAAAAAGCAGGAAATATCCTGGGGAGACTGTGATGCTGTGGAAAAGTATTGCCTCTTTTAATTCCTTATTTGATGGGTAATTTTGTTCTTTACCTAAAGAGAGCTTTCAGATTCTCTGGCAATTCAGTACGCCCAGCATATCCAGGGTTCATTGTGATAAAAATCCCAACTGAAGGGAACAGGTTGATCTCCTCTCCCATGAAGTTGAAACGTTTCTTCTTGTCTCTGATGGCATCTTGGATACTCTTAACCTTAAAGGGGACAAGAAAATGCCAAAAACATCCTTTAGAGGGGTTTCTAACTTGATCAAACAGTTCGTTACAGGCTCCCATTCTGACTGCAGGTCAAGCTCTTTGATCAAAACATCACAAGTTCAAGGCAGGGCCTTTTCATATTCAACTGTGACTGGAGTTCCTTAAGCAGCAGTGTGGAATTGGCAGAAAGTCACAGGGGTAAAGCTTAGAGATCTTCAAACCTCTCACTTTGAAACTGTGACTCCTGTGACTGCCCAGGTGCCTGCAGGCTGGCTGTGATGTCAGTGAGAGGTGAGCCACTTTTCTAATTGCTGTCACTCCTCCTGTCAGGCACTGTGGAGCTTGGAACTAGCTAAAAGATAAATGGCTTTATGGATGGTAGGTCACTATGAAGTGATAAATCAACCTTTCTTTTTTGTTTTGAATAGATGCCTTTTCAAATTATAAATCCCTTTGAATATGTTCAAAATTTGCTCTCCTCAATTCTAAAGCCATCAACAACTATTCTTAGTGTGCACCACCACATAATATCACAAAGAAAATGCTAACAGCAACATTTTATAATGTAAAACAGTACCATGTTGATACTACAGTATACTGTTACATATATACACTGCTGCATGTGTCACATAGAAAGACAGCAATGACTTCAACAGCTTGGAAAGCACAATGTATCTTGTAATTTACTGCACCACTACTACAGTTACTACTGCATCTATGTAAGATTGAAAACAGCTACCACTATTTACTGGAAAGACTTTTATGTATATTGATTTAAGTAGTGTAAGATAAAATTATTTACCTGTCCTCCACTCAAGTGTCATTTTTTGCTGTTTTAATAAGCTACATTCATTCCTGGTGGCTTTTCATGTTTTAAATTTCTAATAAATTCTACTCTGAGTAAATGAGATTTTCCTGATTTATTTTAGCACAAATATATTTTAAATTAAGTTTCTGGGGCTATGTTAATGTAATAACCTTGCCAAAAAGCTGGACTTGTAAACCATAATAAAAACAAATATTGTATAAAGAAGGGGATATTAATTCATAGGAGCGAGAAATCAAATTGAATAATTTTAATCACATAAAGTAGCCCACTAATCTAGAAAAGCCTCCTCAAAAATAATTATGCTGTCTAAAATTTCTATTAAATCAGGTGTTACACAAGTCAATTTTACAAGTCAATAGATTACATTAACCTGCCGACTGTGCATGCCACCGATAAAATATACTGCTGACAGAACTGTTCTTTCCTATCCAGGCCCTCTTTCTTTGTGCCTGCAAAGCTGTCACTCAAACAACTGAGTGGAAATCTGAGATTTCCACCATAAACTGACACCTCAGGTGAGATCATAAAAGCTTACTGCACCTGAGATGCAAGCTTTATTTAAGCACAGAGCCAGAGGTCTGAAGTTCTAAAGCTTTAGAACACTATTTCCTTGTCTAAGACATTCTTCCAGCTTCTGTGCTTTAATGGTTAAAGTGACCTCATTATAGAGCGTGTGGGAAAGCAATTATCGACCACAGTCTAAGATAACTGTGGGAGTTTAAGGTCCATTTAAGTGTCTCTGTGGTTACTTTCAAGCATTAGCAAGACTGGACCTGTGCTTCTCATTTGAGCTGCAGCAGCTTTGGTAATGAAAGGATAATCAAAAACACTGACTCAGCTCCAGCTTTTCTTTGGCTTTCTTCACCTTTCTCTTGCCTGACTACATTGCAGCCTAAGAGTGTGTACTGAACTTTTACATTTTTGAGGAGATAATGGGCCAACCGGCAGGGGAGGAATTTGGTTCAATTACTGATATTATATATTATGAAATTATACTGATTATGAAAAACAATATTTCATTAAAGAGGTACAGAGCTTACATGCATTCATATATGCTGCTTGAAACAAAAAGGCTTTCCATGGGTCTATTCTCTTGGTCTTCATTCTGATAAGTAATACATTTTTACCTACAACAGTCACACTGAAACATTAAATGCTGACTAAAAATATATGAAGGTATCAATAAAAATCACATCTACCCACTTTACACATTTAAACATAAAAAAGATAAACTTATGGATAAGATGCAATGCACACAAACTGTAAGGAAGTTATGACCTAAGTCATTGTAAATAAAAACACCATGATGTCTATAAGGGCATTAGACTACTCACAACAAGCTTCAGCAAGTCCTACATATCCACATGTCATGCTTCATTATTTGAGGGATGCTAAAGTGTCAAAGGGCACTCAACAGTGCATTTATTTCAAGGCTCTCCTGATTCTTCATGGAGCAAACTACAACAATAGCTGATCTGCTAAGCATGCAAGCCCCACTGAGTGTACTTTACCATCTCCTTCAACTACTGAATCCTCTCATTAAGAATGACTTTAGAATTTACCATGTCTTAATTTAAGTATTTTGGTGTATGAAGAAGTGTTCTTATTGTGAAAGACAAAACATGAAAACTATACAGGCAGTTTAATGGGACTGCGAAGCTGAGGACATTATTAAGTCCTTAACCCTGCTACACACAAATCACGCCAATAAGATAAAGCTTGTTTGGCTCTGAAAATACAAAAGTTACAAAATTTGCTGTTTCCCCACCAATATTTTGAAAAAGCATTTGATTACAAAATACCAATCACTTTGTTTTGTAAATATCAAGTTCACATTACTCCTATCCTGGAGTCCTTCCACTGGCTTCCTGTCAAACTCCGTGTGGACTTTAAAATCCTCATGCTCACCTATAAGGCTCTGCATGGCTTGTCACCTCAGTACCTGTCTGATCTATTATCACCCTACTCCCCACCTCGCAACCTTCGCTCTTCTAATTCTGGTCTCGTACCTGTTCCTCAAGCCCGTCTACATAGTATGGGTGACAGGGCTTTCTCTTGTTATGCCCCCAAGCTCTGGAACTCTGTTCCCAAGGATATCAAAGAGTCACCTCTAAAGTTCTCTAAACTCCTTCAAATCCAGACTCAAAACCTTCTTCTTTAGAAGAGCCTTTACTTAACTGGTTCCATTCTTACCCCTCTGCTCCTACTATACTTAGTACCACCATCGACGGTCTCCTCTGTGTATTGTAATTATGTTTTATCTTGTGTATTCTATTTATTGTTGTTGTCTTTCTTTACAGCACTTTGAGAAGCCTACATATTTATGAAAATTATATATTCATTTCTATAATTTTAAACAAGTAAAACAGAATTTTAATGATCTGATATTCGAAGTTTAGCTAAATTACATTTACAGCAAATTTAGAAAAGTTATTAAAAAAAAAGAGCACCATATAAAGGTTACACCATTTAAAGGTGTTATTAATTTAAGACTATAATTGTTTCTCTTTTTTGCAAGTAAATAAAAAAATGTTATAAGTCACCCTAGAGAGTCATAAATTAACTACAATCACAAACGTAAACTAAAGTGATTTTACTGTTTTATTGGAAATCAGAATATTAGTCCAAAATGAATAACTTTAACAGAATAAAGTTAAAGCTAATAATTTGTAACCTGAAGATATAAAGTTGTTACATGTATTTCATTACTCCCCTACACTCTGACTTATTTTCTAGAGACATCTAACGTACTAAACATTTATTGCATGAAATTCACTCTCGATGAAAAACTGAATTGAGAAACATACTGTATGTTAGCCAGCCAGTTTTCTTCCTGTTACCCTAAGATAACAGAATTGGAGCCTGGATGGAGCCTAAAGAAATTTGATTTTAATGGCTGGATTATCAAGAAGTATCTGTAAGAGAATAATAAAAATATATGTGTATTGTATTGGCTATAGTTTTTACTGTTAATGCATTTAAAAAGGAAATAAACATTCCATATACAATGGACATAATTCTGACATAGCATTTACTATAAAGAGCACAGTGAACAAATTCGTTGTAGTCTTGCCTACACTCCTTCTTGCTCTCTGCATCTTCTAAGTTACTCTATTTTGTGTATCTTTGTGCTTCAGAAGACAGAAAAAAACATGAAATCTGTCAAACTCACTAAAAATAATTACAGTAAAACATGCCGTTTATCTTCTGGAGGCACAGTTATTCACTATAAACTTAGTTTAAGGAAGCCAAGGGCATACAAAAACTGGACGAAACAAAGAACTCCTACAAGATGTGTTTGCCAAGCTCTAATCCCTCCCAAGATTTGGACCGGAATTGAAATTCTACATTGAATCTTCAGTTGTAAAAAACTGTTCCTCATGTCAATCACGTTTCAAGCAAAATGATAAATTAACTGTAGACAGCTCAACTGAAAACACAACAGTGAGCAATACCAATATGTCAAGCTGTCAAGCTGAAGATAAATGTCCTGACAAAGCTGGCTACAGAAATACAGAATAAAACCAAAAAATAAATACTTCTCAGAAATTATTTTTGAAGTGTTGGGGAGATCTTCATTAATTAATTCTTAAAACAAATGACAGAAGAAATTATTAGAAACTGTATGGGCACATACAGTAGCAGAAGTATCTCATACTGTCACTCACTGCAGAATCACTGTGTGGAAGAAAATTTTCTAGGCCCCTCACAAATACAGTATGTCCTATGTAAAGTACATACATTAATGGTTTTATTACAATGCAGCTTCCAACAATAATTATAACAGCTCACCTACCTGGACAGCTACCACGGACAGCACCTCAACAGAAATCCGGTTGAATTCATCAAAGCAGCCCCAGGCTCCAGTTTGTGCTAGGCCTTTGTAAATGTTCCCACATGACTGAGAGGAAGAAAAAATAATTGTCACAAGATTGCCTTACCTAAAACCTTGAGATTTGGTAAAATATGTTGCTAGTGCATTCCAAGCTATAGTAGGTACATTGCTGAAACTGAATATAGTATTTTTTTAACTTTTTAACTGTTCCTAATTAAACATATACGGAAACGGACTGATCCAATATGCTATGTAACAGAAAGTGTCATTTATTTAAAATGATTAATGATTCATAATCATTGTTTTGTCAGAATCACACGTTTGCAATTCAGAAGTTGTAAGTTATAAAACAAATATACTTTTTTCTGTCCAGATTACTGTGTATGATCAGCATGCACAATAATTCATGTGATCATTATATATCATGTTAGCTCTGCTCTGCCTCTGTCAGGATCCAATCATGGTAGCTCATGAGCTCAGAGAGGACTCAGCGCCACTCTCCCAACAGCAACAAGCTCAGCTAGGCTGAAAAAGAGTTCTGCTACAGGAGGATTCTAGTCCATCTTGGTTCAAAGGGATGGCATCACTGTTACACAATCCCCAATAATTCAAGCTACTGTTGAACGTTAATATTCACACTTTTATAACACAATCAACACATCATTGCCAACAACCCCCTCAAAGCACAATACACATAGACTATAAGGTAAACTCTGAGTAGAAATACAAAGGACAAAAAAGGAATTCATAGGGCAGCCTCTGGAAGCACTAACCCCAACCTTTTATTAAAACACAGACACATGAACATGATTGAGAACAACACATTTTAGCTTGTTTCCTTATATAAAATTAAAAGGAATCACTGACTGCTTTGATCTCCTAAATAACACCATAAGGAGCTCAAGTGAGAACGAAATCACCATCATCAATATATGGGACCACTATCATAACATAAGAAAAAGCGTACTGGAACAAAACTGGATACATAGAAACAACTTTATAACATTATTATAACATACATTAAAGTCACTTTTTTATTTTGAGCACTCACTATTACTTGTTACTATAATCAATACTTGAAAGAGACAGGTACTGTAAGCATTTGAAGGAAATATGCACTCAGGAGGAATTTAAAAAGAGTCTGAATGAGCATGTAACCTTGATATTAGGTTATGGCAGCCATCTTGGTATTTCAAGAGTGGTCTAAATACAAACACAGCACGAGCAGGCATTTCTATCTTTCCCAATTGAACTCCAGCATTAGAAAGTAAGAAAAATAAAAGTAAACAATTATTAAATTGATCTAGCATCTCTCAGCTATTAATTATAGAGTCCAATCTTCCCCCAAAAGTATTCATATATTTCATGTAAGATACAGAGACTTAGATATTTGTAATTTAATGATGCTACTTTTGGTAGGATACTTAGTGCAGAACAAGCTGTACCTGGAGATTACAGATGTGCTTCCATTGACCAGTATATTTCACAGTACAATAAATAAGCATGTCTTAAGGAAAAAAAAATAATAAATTGAGGAGGCTGTTCAGACATCGCTTGGGAGGTAAATAAACTAATCTATCAGAGCTGAACTAATCTGTCTCCTGTATGCAGAGGAAGAAAGGTGTTGCATGGAGATTAATAAACAGCTCAGAGTATGACTGACACCCTCCAGGGAAGAGCAAGAATTAATAAGCAGTAGCACATGATCTCAGGTAAAGAAGTAAAGATTATTATAAATTTCAAAACATTCTTTCTCTGTAAATCGTTCACACCACTGTCACAACCTATACATCAGAGGAATTGAGTGCATTTTCAGGGAAATAAATATGAGTCAATGGACACATTCCCCTGAAAGACTCTTTGCTTCTAGGGATTGATCTTAATAAGATGAAACTCAGTTCAAAATAACAATGAAACAAATTGTACCAAACTGTAGTTTGTGATGGTTTATTCCGGGTACTACGGTTTCCTCCCACAGTTCAAAAGCATACCAGTAGTTTAATTGGTCTCTGAGAAAACTGATCCTGGTGTGAATATACGCATGCATGTTTATGTCAGTGTGTGCCCTGCAATGGACTGGTGTCTCATCCAGGGTGTACCCTGCCTTGTGCCCAATGCTTGCCTGAATTGGTTCACGAACCTGAATGGGAAGAAAATGGATGGATGTAGTTTCAAAGTTATTATGTTTTTGTATGATAACTGTATGTTCAAAAAAATGTCAGTTTTTCAGTACTCCACAATTAAAAACCATGGTTCTAAGTATTTTGGACATTTTGTCACAGCCCAAAGCTTGGTTGTTTCGCCATGCCTGTTTTTTAGTGTGCCCACAGAAACTTCAATTGTTGTGATGCATTAAAACACAAAAGTACAAATTACCCTCATTGGACTAGTGAATGATATGTTTTCTGGCACAGTAGAATGCACTGAGAAGACCATTTTTTAAGACTGGCAGTGTGAGTCCTAGATATGTTTTGGAACACATAATTATTATTATTGAATAATGTAATATGTTTACACAAATATGTATAAACTGATGTATGGGTTGTGATTTACGTGAAACAAAGTTATAAAAAGAGAAAGAGTTTCAAAGATCACCTACAGGTTCAAGGCAACATCAGTGAGGAACGTGCCTCTCTTTCAACACTTATGACCCTCATTTTATATTGCTGGGGAAAGTACAATGTGTCAGACAGGGAAAGGTTCAAAGGTTGAGGCGGACGGAGGAGCCTTCGTGCACTTCCTCAATATTCCCATATGGGTACAGTGAACCAGCCTTTAATTAAAAAAAACTGGAACAGAATAACAGCAATATATCTCCCTGGAAACATGGATCCGAGCATTAGAAAGCTCTACACAAATACCAAGATAAGACAGGATTCAATGTTGCCAGGAGAGGGAATGCAGAGGCACTGAACATAATACCAACACCCCTTTAGCTGCAGTAAGACCAGCCAACCAGATCTGTCTCCTCTGCCACAAGAGGCCAATATTGGAGTTATAATTTAGCAAGTAATATTAGCCAAATTTATACTGTCCAAATATTGTCCCAAGACATTTCCTCTTCTGTATTATTTAAGTCCCTATTCCAACAATTTAATTTGTTTCAAGTGTTCCCTTGACTTTTTAGTCAGTTCTTCACTCCATTCCTATCAAGCATGAAAATACCAGTGCAACATTAATAAAAAATAACTGTCTTTTCTGAATTATTAAAGAATGTTGACTCCTCTAAATGCATTGCTGAAATGTACAGTACCTTGTAGTCCATCTGTTCAGAGCAGTTGAATACATAGACCATGATTCCCAGGGCACGGCCCAAGTCCTTAGTGGTTTCGGTCTTTCCTGTGCCAGCAGGGCCTGCTGGGGCACCACTCATTGTCAAATGAAGAGACTGGGTCAACGTTATGTAGCACCTAATATAAAGGTAATATATACTGTATTATATGTTGTTCATACTACATTGAAACAGCTATAAAATACTACCCCCATTTCTCATTACATTAGTCCAAAGTAAATTATGAAAGAATATACTAGTAACAGATTTACAAGTAATTCCACGTCCATCTTGCTATTTTGTATAATCGCAACAAACTATAACTGTAAAGATCTCACCCAGTTGATTTATGAGAAATCCATTAGTATCGACATCAACAAAGCTGAGTAGCTTGTTCCACACACCCACTAACTGCACTATCTCTAAAGTTAACTGCACCCAGGAGCCTGACAATGTCTAAAGTGTTTTGTCTTCCTACTGGACAATGCAATATGACTGACAGAGAAAATACCCATGCATTCATCTGACAATGAACTTTAAGGCTTGTGTTTAAATTGTGTGTCTGTATACCTACAATTCTTGTATATGTTTGTGTTAATATTCATCCATCCATGTTCTAACTACTGCACTTCATCAAATTTTGTGTCACAGGGAAAGACCTATCCTACAAACAGGTGCAAAACAGGGAACACCCTGGACAGGACACCAGTTAATCACATTATATAATATTCTGATATACTATATTTAGTATTATATTATCTGTTGGGGGTGTCGTTTGCAGTTCACATCTTGTCTCAAATCCTTACTCAGAAAGCCTAAAACAATGGGTATGTGGTATGTGAGATAGCTAAGAGGCAGATAAACACAGATGATCAAAGGATTAGAAGGTTATAATGGTTTGTTTCAGTTAACTAACGTCATGATTAATTATGAATCTTGAATCATAATAAAGAACATTCAACATCACCAAGGATGGAACAAGGAACATCACCCTCCTCTTCCTCAAGGCTTGTTGTATGTGAAAGAACCCCCTAATTAGTCTTGGGGTCTAGATTCTGGATAAATAATCTTAACATTATTTTAGATCTTGCTTTCTTATTTATTTTAGGAAATTCCAACTTCCTGCATTGTTAAAAGTTCAAACTAAAAATATTCTCTTAGTGATGCATTTTTAGAATAGGGAAATTGATTTCCATTCACTTTTGAGCATCCATGATGTGGAAGGAAAGTTTTGTCTGTCTGAAGTATTGTCGATAGATATTTGTCCTGTCATCAAGCCTGACCCTGATTATTTTCTCTATCACCAAAACTGTACCAGAGAAAATGTAATGTGCCATTACTCCACTTCTCCATTTCTGACTTGCCTCACATTTTAACTTATGGTTGGGTATATTTCCTGACCCCACTAATTTGTAACAATATGGTGGTGCAGGTCAAAAATAATTCTGGAATCATAAACATTTTTCTGACACTGTAAATCAACAGTGTCAGAAACGTTTTGTTAATCCATCTAAAAACTTAGATGTTGGTATTGATTAGTATTACTACTGGTTTTAACCTAAAACCATTTTTTATTTAAATTACATTTTAAAAGTATAACCAGAATGTGAACTACCATAAGTACTGTAACTATGATTAAATGATCTTCGGCAGACCTTAAAAGACAAATAAAAATAGGTGGGAAGAAAGTGAGAAAACTTAAACACAGCTAATGAATATGTTTATTGATTTTCAGACTCCAAAAAACTAAAATACAGCACACAAATCCACTTACTCTGTAACCCACACTTTGTTTTAAATGTGCTCTCTGCATTAGATCTGGACCTAAGCCAGGTCTCTGACACTGCTAGAGATTGAATGCCAAGATGAGGGACTAACCATATGTTCAGCCAATTATATGGTGATTGATTTATCAGAGACTAATGTTTTGGTTGTATCAGAGAAACAAAGAAAGGCCATTTAAAAATGTGTTTTTAAACGGATTCATTTTTATTTTCTCATTTCCAGCTGGTGCTACCAGGTGGCACTTTAGGATTGGACACTGTGGAATGAAAAATCGAACCACCCCTGCCTGATGTTCCCTTCCCGACATAAAGGTTTCTTTTTTTTACACATGTGAATTCAGGTTCTGTGTTCCCCCTGGGACTCTTGGCAAGATCACCCATTGAAGTTTTGAATTTCCAATGCCTCGCCCCAGCATATGGCTCAGCTACAGAATTTACAAAAACAACTATCAAATCAAGGTGCTATTTAGCGCCAATGCATACATAACTTATGGTCATTAAGGACTGCAACTCAAGTAATGTGTATTCAATACAACAAATACAAAGCCTTATCCCATAACTCTCCATCGTTTTTTTCTACATCCTTTCTGGCTTATTCTAAGAACCAAATAAAAGCATAGCTTCAGAACAATCCAGAGACCTGACTATAAAGACATTTTGCAGTATGCCTGCAGCTCACCTGTCTGTCAGCGGGGTGATAACCAAGCGTGGCGTGTTCCCCAGATACTCATATGAATACAGAAACTGGGCATCGCAAATGTTCGCAAAGCAATGCTTCCTTTCATCATCCCAGCGGTGTCGGAGCTGAGACAGCCACACAAATGCCTGAGAGTTCTCAACCTGTGGGACAAAAAAAAAACGCCAGAATGTCAAATAGAGAGTCTCTTCTGAGCATATTATACAGACCATATCAGAAATGAGCAACACACTGAGAACTGTTAGTAAAATACAAGGATGCCTGGTCTGCTGTGCTTGGTGAACTGTACTGTCTTTACAGAATATCACTAAGATGTTTGAAAGACGATGTTAGAAGTGTAATAGTGTCGGGTTCAAAAGGGTCCTGCCTGAACACCGGCAGAGCGCTTCTTATCCTTGGTCAGGGAGTGAGCGGTGTGCTGGTGCGTAATTGTCTGGAAAGGCAATCGTTCTTCGGTATACAAGAGGATCGTATATGAAAGAAAAGAGTATGCTGTCTTTTGTAGCTGTCTTGTAAATGCTCCGGTTCTAAACTTGAACAAAGTCTGCAGACGCGTGGGGATCTTAAATAGCAGACCTAATTAGCCTCAGGTGTGGTACTGTAGCTGCGCATTCCCACGCACTGCGGAGTAGAGAGTGCAGTGGGAGGTGTGCTCCACTGTCACAGAAGTATTATTTAATAAGAATAACCTTTATATCTTTAGTATTCTTATTACACAAGATGTACAGTAATCAATCACTAATCAAATTAATTTGTTGTTTAGATGGACAGCCAACACAAGTACTCTCAAGAGCTACGTACTTGTAATGAACTTTCCCATAACTTTGATTGGTAAAGAACATGAATTGTTAAAATTGAAGCATTTCTATAACTCTATAAAATAGGAGAATTTCTATAACTACTCTAGCTGTTATGTAACAGTAAATAATGTTCTAGATCTAATGGGTGAACATATTTTTTGCATTAGCACTTGTAATCACTGGCTTACTAAAACCATCAAAGCAGAAGGAAACAGCATGTGTTAAGCATTTAACAAAGAGGAATGTTTTAATGTGGTACTTTCATTATGAAGCAGTTAGCACTCTGTACCTTCTGAGCGATCATCTTGGCCACAACATCTCTGGCATGGACATCAATAGTACAGATGGTCATGATCTTCTGCCTTTCTCCGGCAGAGAGTTGACCAATCAACATAGTGATGAGGGTGTTTAACTGGCTCACTTGTTTCTTGTAGTATTCCTTAATGGCATTCTCATAACCTTCTTCAAGTCGAGAAAATGCTATACCAACTTCTGTTGTCCACCAAATCTGCGTACATGTCAGAGCCACCTAAAAATACAGATGCATTTCAAATGGCCTTCTTGTATAAGCTGAACAAGCATGAAAAATGTATAATTAGTGTAAGCAGCTACATATATACAGAACTCTGCTTTCCGCCAGTATCCAATCTTGATTTATTACCTAAAGATTTGGCCCTACAGCCTAAGCAATTAAACCCAATGCATAATATGATTCCAGTGCCACTTGTACTGGGAGCATAAATCATAATTACTCAAGGTATCGAACTCAATTCACACCACTTGTAGAATTAATGCAGACTAATAAACCAGTAACAAATAATTGTGTTTTTTATATACAGTTCTACAATGGAAGGTCATCTAATTAAGAGTATAATGTATAAGGTTTATAGAAACCCTTGGTAGTCCCTGACTAACAGAAACCTTCTAATTGATCAGGTCAAAGCTGCAGAGGTAACAGGGAAAGAGCATGATAAGATACTTTAAACTTTAATTTGAATGGATGGATTTAAAGTAAAAGAACAATGAACGAGTAAATTGCAGATAATGGAAAAGACATATTTCCAAAGAATAAAAATAATCAGAGTATTCCCACAGTATTTTTGAACATGAACTGATAATTAAGAAAGCTTGCATCAAATGTTAAGCAACATTTTTTTCTACTTGAAAAAGAAACCGGCCACAAGTGACAGTGAACTGAAAACAAATTACAACACCATTAGTCAAGGCATGAGAAATGTATATGTATAATGTATCTGGAATTCGAGTTTAGCAGAAAAAAAAACATACCTGCGCTGGGTAATCGAAAAGCCACTGCTCTCTGGGTTTCTCCTCATAAGCTACAACTGCTTCAGTCATCTCATGACGGACAGTAGCTCTCATGGTGTCAAGCACCCGGTTCAACCAGACCTCCACCTCAAAGCAAACATTCAGAGAACTCATGAATGTATTTCACTTATGTTTTTGGAATGGCATGAAATGCATTGTGAGGAATAGGATGAAATACTTTATTTGTTCACTTAGAAAAATTGGACATATACTGTATCTATTTATGGAGAGAAAAAAAAAGATAGTGATGGATATACTGAATATTTTCCAGACTTTAAGCTTCAAACCTAGGAGACAATGACATCTTTTTGAGTACATATTCATGAACAGTGTTTGAAGTCCTTGCAGGGCAATCATAAATAATTTACCGTATACAGCAGCACACAGCCTAGAAAGCTCACATAATTTCTTTGATGTCAAAAGACCAACATTAAAAGACTTTTTTTTTCCTTTACACACATACAATGATTTAAAATGCAGCTGATGTAGCCATATCCCAAAAATGTGCTAAGAGGTGGGGTCGGAAAAAGAGAAAACAAGAAATTCAACAAATACAGTGAACAGTTACAACATGGAAAATTGAAATCTTACAAAAATATTTCCCTATTATGCAAGGAGACAGTTATCTTGGGCTGAGGAAAAACATCTATAATGTTCCATTTTGTGACAATTTTTTGCAAAGATGATGCATGCAGACTTAAGGGGCTTATATACTGTAATACCCATTAATATGATATTAAATACCTCTACTCAAAGGTTCCCCAAATCATTTAACATGATCCAATGTTTTCCAAGAATATGCATTCTAAAGGACATAACATCCTCAAAGAACACGACCTTGCTGTGGCAATGAGAAACCTTTATTACAGCCCTTCTAAAAATGTGTACAGATTGGATGTTATCGCTTGTTTTCATTACGGAGAATTTCAACACTTTATTTGAATGTAGCTGCATAATTGCTTCAGATTAATCAGATTAATTTCATATCTGCACGCATAATCACATGCATAGTGCTTTACAGGGACATTCACAAGAGAATAAGAGGTCATTACATTTATTTTGCTTCACATATTTATGCTATTTTATATTTATGAACTCAATAATCAATATCAACTCAATCAACTCAACATCAATAATAATGATAAAGGAACTGATTTTTAAAAAGTTATTTCTACAGCAACCGTCACACATCAAATGTTTTTTTTATTTTAGAAATTAGAGTGAAGCATAATGAATTAAGAAACAGTGTACATGAGGCCCTGAGATGGAATGGCATATCATTCACGTAGAGAGCAGTCATGCATTCTCATGCCCGCTTCGCACCTTATTCAGCTTGGATAGGCTCCAATTTGAGACCCTCATCAGGATAAGCAGCTTTCTGATAATGGATGGATGTACAATATACTTCCATGTTCACTTCAGCTTACTACGAATCATATTCATTTGCTAATAACCTGTAGTTAAAGCAATTCCATTGTACCTGTCCGCTGCAGTCACATGGCTCATTGAAGGTAACATACTCTTCCTCTTTGCTGTACATTCCCAGCCCAGTTTTAGATGGCTTGCCATCAGTGTCAGTCTGAAACTTCATCTTTGCTGTATTGTCAAAGAGCTTGGATAGATGTCGCTGAACCTATGGAGCAAAGAAAAAACATATTGATAAAATCTTTCTGAAATTTAAATTAATGAAATCTTGCATTGCTTAAGGTTTTTTTTGGGGGGAAACGTAATAAAATGTTTTAACCTACTACTTTTTCCCTTCAATAGTTTTCTCTTTGAGATCAAACATTTGCTACTTTTCCTTCATTTTGCATGCCTTCTGCAGAAACCCGATATTTAAATTATTTTGCAGTCCCATATTTACAGCTTGCTAGCTTTGCATATTTCTTCATATTGGTTAGATATGCACATTATTATAGTATGTCCAGATGTTATATTATTCATTAAAAGAGCTTACATGCAGAGCTAAAGAGCTGAAATACAACAGCTTTAGGTCTTTCATGGCATCTCATATTGGATTTGAAAGTGTAAAGGAGTTAACTAAAAAATAATGTATATTTGCCTGTTTTCTTATCTCCCAAAAGACAACTGGCACAACATTTGGATACACCACGTAATATGTGCTCAAGCATATTAATTACTTATGTAATAATGTGTTGTATAATTTTAAAATGATGTCAGTGTAAAAGCACATTTCCGTGGCTATTGTGCTATTAGTCCTTTGGGTCAGGCAACGAGAACAGCTTTTAATATCATAAGAGCACATTTCAACAACAGTGGAAAACAATGTGTGAAAACCTCAAGGCAAAATTGATGGAAAGCTGGATACAGCAAGACTTAGCTTGTGGGTGTCAAGAAACTTACAAGTTCACAGATTTTAAAGCAGATATAAGCTCAAGTGCTACAGTGTTAGCTTGATTAAGTAAAACCTATTTTTTGTGAAAAAAATTGAATAATTCTTTCATTGGCAGGAGCAAATTTATTTAGTGTAAAGTTAGTAAGGGCCCTGGGTTATTACAAAGAAAGTTCCAAGCAAGAGAATTTTCACCTGTTCAGTACATTGAGGTTGATAATGGACCTACAGGAGCAGAATGAAAATCACTGCCCTCTTGAGGTAAATACCTGAAGCGGCAGCTTCAATCAATGGACTCTCAGTGGTAGACAATGCATTTTTTTTTATGAGATCATGAGACTGGCTTCACAACTGGCTCACCACAACTACACAGATGCTATTCAGTTCTTCAGATCCTAAGACAATTAAGAAGTATATCTACCTGATGAGGGTCAGTGCCATTGGACAAAATATCCAGCAAATCAGCAGAGGAAATGAAGTAAAACCTTGGGAAGGCCAGCCTTTTGGTGTCCAGGTATTCTGCCAGAGCCTTCTCACACAGCGCAAGCCTGCAGCAATTTAGAAAAGATATAATCTAAGGATAAATATTCTACCATGAAACAGAACTCATTTTATTTTAAGGGAAAAAGCAATACTATTTCAACAATTACTACCTAATTATCCTTAAGCACATTTGTGGAAGCAGAGATCAGCTCTAAGTACTACTGCAGTGAATTAAACAAATGAACAGTTTCAGAACAGTTGTCCATGCAAATCAAAAGAAATCCAATCTCCTCTGATTTGCTACTACGGTATTGCATTAAGCCTGTTTTGCCATTTTATAATCCTTTTTATATTTTCTAAACCATAACTTTAATCTTCGGTCCCTTCAAAGTCACGTTCTAGTAAAATGAGAGTTTTTCCCTATCTCGTAATAAAACCAAAACGTGGTCGGCTGAAATGTCTATTACCAAATTTGTCTATTAGTGCCACACAATTTGCTTGAAGGTTTCTCATCTAATTTTGTGGGTAAGATCTTTTTAGTTCTTTTGAAATAGAAGATAGTTAAGTTCCATTAGTTTAGAATTAATTGCTCCCTATTACTATAGTTCAACCGATCTCACTAAAAATCTAAATATTGTATTTATAGTACATATACCCACCTGCTCTGAATATCTTCTAATTTATCATAGAGACCAGGTTTGTTGGTAGCTTCCACTACATTGGGAGTCTTATTAGCATCATTTGCTAGCTCTTTGAAATCTGTATCAATGCCTTCAAAGCGCTTGGAGTCCTGTTGGAAAAATAATAATGGCTTAATTCTGAGAAATTGGATTATTAGAAAATTAATAATGAAATGACCCGGTAAATTACCTTATGTGATTATCTGATCACATTTTAACTACTGGTACCCGATATTACTTAGAAGCATCACTTATACAGTGTTTATATCTGTTAAAGCACAGCAAACCAGGACAAGGAAAACCATAAATTTAACATTTATGTCTTATAACAAATATTAAGATCATAAAAGAAAAAAAATCTAAAAAGTATAAGCAGATTGTTGCAGATTTCTTAGTACACTATTTTGGAAACAAAGAATTAGTTTAATTAAGACACTACTGAATGCACAAGAATCTGCACAATAATATAGCTTGATATAATCTTCCAGATTCTAGATTTTATAACACGTTTATAAAATATTTTCCTCATTTTACTGTTATCTCCAGAGATCACACCATCTCAAATAATAAACATTTAAAAAAATATTTAACGCTTCTGTGCATCTCAAACGAGAGGCAGCAGTTTTAGTGTCCATACCTCTGGCAACTGTGATCGGATATCCTCTGAGCCAATGAAGATGCTCTCCAGGTGGGACCAGGTTCTCTGGACCTCAAACCAGATAGAGATGACCGAATCAGCAGTAGAGAGCTTCTTCTGCCAGCTGGAGACATCCTCCAGGAAGAAGGCAATGTACTTTGAGGTCATAAGGTTCTGCAACTGGACCTGGTTGTCCTCTAGGGTCTCAATGAGCTCTTCATCAGACCTTAGTAGAGGAATCTTTGTCCGTGTGTGCAGATCATATTGGAACTCCATGTTTGTCCACGTGGAGTTGAGCTCCTTCAGCACTTTCTCCATACCCATTTCCTTCACAGCTTTGTCAACAATGCCTCTCACCTCATCCTCAAAGTTGTGTAGATTCAGCTGCAAGAGATCAGCTAAAGTGGTGTCCTCATCCATGGTGAATTTGACCCCAGTAGCTTGCATGAGCTGGTGCCAGTGTCTTTCTCTGATGGCAGGGTTTTGGAGTTCTGCCACCGCCCGTAGGGAGGTTAGGATGTTCTTCACAGTATTGTCCAGCCCATAAAATGCATCCCATGCCCTCATTTCTTTATCCAAGCCTCGAATGTCTTTGGAAAACTTCTTGCACTCCAGCTCCATGTTCTCCACATTGATTTCCCTCCATTTGGTTGTCTTCCAGTCACTCATGCTGGAGTTCACAATCGTGATCATATCCCAGAGTTCCTTGAGAAGGAAAACTTCCTTTCGGCACTGCTTCAGCTGCTTGTAGTCTGGGATGTTAACCTCAAACAAGCCAGCAGATTCTACTATAGCAGCCATTGTGGCCTCCTTTTCTGAAATCTGCTTGTGAGCTGTATCTAGCATATTGTAAGGGTTTACAGAGTCAAATCTATGAGGAAATAAGGCAAAGGTTTTTAAAGTGAAAATGGTATACTGATTAAAGTATTACATTTTACATGAAACAAACATTCAAACATTACATTCAAAGCAAACTAACATAAAGGTATAATTAAATCATACAGAATTTTCTTAATCTAACCTGAAAGCTTGATACTTATTCTTATATAAAGATAATTCCCAGACAAAAAAAAATTCAAACACTGGGAATCTGCAGATAGCTATAAAGTACAGCTCATAGATTATTTGTAAGAAAATCCTGATATGTAAGATAGGTCCTACCAGCAACATCTTTACATATAGAACCGGGACCCTGCCTTCAAGATTTCTCCTCCTTTTTTACCTGAAAGGCCCTTCTTTGCGGAATTTTTCCCTGAAGTTGTATTGCTCTACATCGAAGGTTGCACACTTTCTTCGGAGGCTGGCAACTTCACTTGCTTGCAGAGGAGCAACGTGCTGCTTCACAGTGACCGCCTGCTTTTTCACATTGTTCCATTTTTCAGGCAGCTCCTACTCAGAGGTAAACCACAGTGTAAAATCTTAATATTGAGTGTAGTGTTAACAATAATACTGTCCTCAACAAGCCTTCAACAAGACATAATAGTGAAGTCAGGCTGAGTAAAACAAAGGACACACTTTTATTGATATAAAAAAATAAAACTTCTACAGGGAAACAATATAAAACACAATACTATTTTTTTTTCTGCTACAAATTACAAGTTTAGCCAAATAAGCATACCTCTAATTGCTTGTACACCTCCTCTGGTAATTCTTGCTCATAAGTCTTCAGCAGGTCTATTGTGTGCTTCAGAGGTTCAAACATTTCATCTGTGCTATTTTGCCTCTCTTTCACAGCCATTAAGTGTCCCATAATCTCTACCAGGGCATTGTAGTTGCCCTCCTCAACCTTTTTGCCTAGTTCCTTTTCTGCCACTTTAATGAACTCCTCAAGATCAGACAGGCTGTGGAGACAAACATAATGTAATAAAACAGCTTTGGGACAGGCACGTTTAGACATATGCAGTCATGAATGGCAATAAGTTTGATATTTTAGGAGCTGAATTTTGTGTACATGCCCACACCAGGAACATAATTCTTTGTTTTTAATAAATCTCAAAATTAATGATTTTATCCATTTTATTCTGTTTTACCAGTATAATTATAGGTATAGTATATGAACCAGAAGTATAATAAGAACCATCACTGCATGACTGGCTCTTCAGTGTTCTGTTGGACGTCATACCTATTTGTCACATGGTCAATCAGGTGTTGCTTGAACATGAAACTCCACTTTTTGATGACATTCAGCAGAGCACTCTTAAAAGGACGGGCATCAACTCTCATCCACCCATCAAACACGGTGATGGGCTCTAGATGGTTCACTTCATCAAAAATTTTCTCGTACGAGTCAACCTGCTCTCTAAACTGCTCAAGTGTTGGGGGGGTCTCAGGAACCCCATCTTCAGCGTGGGCTTCTATTTCTTCGCTGGTGAGGACATGGCCATACAATAGGAACTGGCGCATGAATTCCTTCCTGTCATCCACATAGAGGTAGGAGTAATGGTCAAAGGAGTTCCTGTAATCGCAACACTTAGACATCACTTGCTGAACACCATCCATCAGGTATTGTCGCATGTCTGCCAGATCTGCCATGTCTTCCATGTCTGCCTGAAATGACAGAAAATACAGGCAAAGTATGCCCTTTATAACCATCAGACTCTGCTGCATAATCTTACCTAGGGAATATAAAGCTAATCCATCTACTGTAAGTAAGTTAATTGCTAATACACAGCACATCCATCCTTTTTCTAATTGCTTCATCCAATACAGCGTTGCAGGGGAACCAGAGCCTATCCTGGCAAGCAACAGGAGCAAGGCAATCTGGATGACATGCCAGTCCATCACAGGATACACACAGGCACAAACACGCACACATTCACACGAGGGCCAGTTTTATCAGAAGTCAATTAATCTACCAGTATGTCTTTGGACTGTGGGAGGAAACCACAGCACCTGAATGAAAGCCACGTGAAAAACATAAAAACTGTACACTTACAACACCCCAGGTACAGAATTGGACCCAGGGCCCCAGGGCTACAAGGCAGCAGTGTTATCCACTGCACAACTGTGCTGCCTTCATATGATACAATGGTAAATAAATAAAAATAACCATAGAAATTTAACAATCTATGTTAAAATACGTTTTACCAAACAGACACTTCAATTACATACATGATCACCAATTTAGGTAGCTTTAAAAAAATCTATGCTGAAGGAAATACTTTCCCCATATAAATAATAGCACTTAATAGGACGTCTGACTCGATCTAATGATTTACATGTCATTTACATAGATGCATAATGTATGGTATTCAAGCAGGTTAAATATAGAAGAGCAAAGTTATTTATGACTATTTGAGTGTTTAGTAATAGTATATTAATGTTCATTGCCATATTTTTCAGCCTTAAGGGTCAATTGCCTTTTTGTATTTCAACACTAAATGACCAGAAGCCATAATACCTGATAATGTGGAAATGTGTTGTATTCAGCAACACGTGGCACCAGTGAAGCAATCCTATAGATGTCATTGATAATACCATCCATCATGTCATAAAACCCATCAGTGGCACCAAAGTCAAGTGAAGGATGGAACATCATCTCTGGAATACGGAGATCCAACATCACTTCAAACAAAGGCACCATGCCACCCTTTGAATCTGAGGGGAATGAAAGAAGCCAGTGTCATAAACATTTAACCATAAGCAGTACCTGTAATGAAACAGAAAGTAATCCTCTGCATTATACTGTATTACCTATATTTTCTAAGAGGAACTTAAGGGAGCACTCAATGCTGTTAAAACATCCATCTATGACCATTTCATCCACATAATCCAAATATGCTTTCCAAACATCTGAGGCAGAATCAGCTTTGAAAAGGTCTAGATTCTCCTGTCAAAAAGTAAGAAAAATATTAGAAACAGAATAAACAGATCAGGACATTTTATTGATTTCCTAGAGGGTTACAGAGGAATATAAAAATGTCCAATACTGGCTTGTGAGCATTCAAGTCATTCATATTAAGGCCTGTTGACTCCTTGAGTCACACTCAGAGCACTGTAAACTTGATGAAAATAACTCTCTGTAACCATGCACCATATAGTGAAATATTTTTGTTTTCCTTTTTAACTTAAAAAATAGATCAATAGGTTATTATACATTTTGTATAGATGAAGGGTGTTGCCATAGCGATAAAGCTCAGAATAAAACTGATAAAACCGAGTGTGACAGAACCCTTGAATGTGTCCTCTTCATGTATACTGCATTCTTTAATTTTTACAAAAATTATTACCTTACTTTCTTTAAAAACAAAGCACCACAAAATGATAATAATAATAAAACAGGGGGAGCGATTAAAATTAATACTTAGGGTTAAATGATAGTTTTGTGTGAAAGTAGTCCCTTTAGTCAGTTTCCAGTGTTTTCAAAGGTGTGCTATTAAGATAGAGTTTAAATTAGGGGGTTAAAAAAATAAGTATCTATATATAATTAATAAGTAATCAGTAAGTACATTAAATAATTATAACCCCCAAATTGTAAATATTGCCAAGAATACACCAGAGCCATAATGGCCAATTATGGCCATACTGTACACCATAATTAGATCTTGATTTTATTTGAACTTTGATCTTTGTTCTCTGGCATAGGGTTAAGTGGAGTAATAAATCATAGGTAAATGTATGAATTATAATAATCACTCACTAAATAAAACACAATGCAACATAAAGCATAAAACTTACACTATTTACAGAAAAGGCAACCCAGAAGCCAATGTCTTAACCAACCAGAAAAACCCCAGACTACTACCAAGTATTTAAAAACCTATATAACACCCAATAGGCAAACAAGAGAGATAAACCTGCCTTCTAAACTAAACACAAAAAGGCCTACAGTTAAAACTCTCTCTATATAACACATCACCCTGTTCCTAAAAAAAGGTCAGGAGAGATCGTTTTTAACCTAGGGATTCTATATACATGAAATCAGAGTTTCCAAAAAACAACAGAATGGCAAGCTGCCTTAACTCTCTTAAGGTTCAAATACTTAACTAGCATCGGGTCCTTCAAGTCGATCTGAACAAGAACCTTTCTCACCTCTGGTGTCTCCCTTTACTCTCTCTTATGTGTCTTCTCTCTGTTCTCTTACATTTCTCTACCTGTCTCATTATATTGTTTTCCTGGACGGTTGATGACTCAATGATTTACCCACAACTTAATTATCCAAGGTAAATCAGACTTTTCCTTTGATTAATGTTTCTCAAACCCACAATCTACACATCAGCAAAAGCTCCCGAGAACTGCAAATGTTGACACTAGCTAGATGTTGACCATTCTCTTCAGACACCTCAACAGCCACTTCCAATAACCATAACAGTAGTACAGTATTAGCAATAACATATTAATTGCATTTTATTTAGAACCAATCTCAGTCTTTACAAACAAATGTTCATTTTAATTCCAATAAATGTTTTCTAGCTATTTCGCATTTTTATATTGGTATGCTCATAATTTTATCATCAAATGTATAGACAGGAAAATGTGAGGGGCATTGTAATAGCAGTGCACACATCACAAAGTACAGTTGAAAAAGAATGCTCCAGGAAACTACATTTTCTTCCTAAATCCACAAAACAAAAACAAATGTAACAGAAGCTCCAGAAAGCCTTCTCCACTTTTTTTCTTGATAATTTTTCAGAGCAGCCAAAGAATAAAAATATGATCATAAGGATGAATGATTAGGCAACAATCAAACAAATCCTGTTGAAACAGGTCCAGTACCTTTATTAAAGAATGAATTTTGTCCCCAGAGTCTCTAATGTGGCTATAGCGTTTCTCCAGACGCTCAGTCCTGTCCTCCAGGTTGAGAAGAGTATCTTTCTTTCCCTCTTTTCGCTCAAAGATGGGAGACACCCAGGACTTCATGATGTTCTGAATCTCCTCCACGTTGTCCTTTGTTTTTTGTAGTCGTCTCTCAAGGTCATGGACAGCATCCCGGATTTGCTGGATATAATCCCAAATTCCTGTTCATATGAATAGGGAGACATTTGTAAATAGCATGTTAAAAACCCAGTCTCTACAATTTCTACATCTCAAAAATAAATGCAATACAAAAGATGCAAATTAATTTTACTACACTCGGCTACTTTTCTTCTTGGCATTTGCCCTTTTTGTAAACTGCTTTTTATTCATTTTTACTGATCAAACAGAACACATTTTCCCACCACTGCCCTACTATCTACCCCTCTCCAAACAACCTGTCAAAGGATTTCCAAACTACAATAATTATTCATTTCCAATTACACTTTGACTGTGTCAACAGTACCACTCCAAGTTTCCACTATCCCAATGTAAACTCACTGTAAAGTCACATCACCACACTGCAGTTAGCATGCACATTCCTGCTTTGAACGTAACAGAAATACTGTGCCTAACCAAATGCTGAATGAACTTGGTTGTGCTTGTACAGGGCTTAGAAGTGATCCGTTTTGTCCATTGAAGTGGTAATATCACCCAGTGACCTAGTATGACGTAAGATTGATATTGGGGATCTCACAAGAGGCATGGTTCTTGAAGTAAATGCCTCTAGGTTCATCGCTAAAAGCAACAACAGACCCGGCTAGCATATCACTTCAGACAGCCTCAAAGGTTTACAGGTAGTGGCTATCAGGTTAAAAAAAAACAGGAAATATAATTCAGGCTGTAAAAAGGTTCGGAACCACCACAAAAAACTAATGCAGAGTCATTTTAATTCTTGTTGACTGGTGTATACATAGCATCACAAAGATCTGTGAACATCTAATGGAATTCCTAAGTGTCGTAGCTGGAGATAGCCACTGGAGGTTGGCTATCTGGACCAGAAGTATTCTCATTATTTTTGATATTGCGGAATATTTAGGAGAGTCCTTGTGCATGTTGTTCAAGTTCAAGTTTATTTGTCAGTCCAGCCATATACAAGTATACAGAGAAGCAAGATATCGTTCCCCAGGTCTATGGTGCGAATACAGACAGACACTGGCAAGACAATGCTATAGACAACGTAGACAATTTAATTTACAGGATTGTGCAAAGAATACATCAGACAGTATGCCTGACATTAGGCAAAAAAGAACTAAGTTTCCAGATTTGGAGTAGGTGCAGTAGGTACCAGGAGCTTGTTGAGGAGCCTGACAGCCTGTGGAAAAAAGCTGTTACGGAGTCTGGTGAAGCTGGCCCGTATACTGTGATACCTTTTACCAGATGGTAGGAGGGCAAAGAGGTTGCAGGAGGGGTGGGAGGGACCGCAGAGTGAGATTAAACAGTGCAATCATTCAAAGGATGATATTTATAAACTGTAAAAGCTGGGAATATCAATAGACTTCTCTCACCTTCTTCCTTCCAGTTTAAGGACTCCTCTGCTTCTTTCAGCTTGGAATCAATGTCCTGTAGCTGTCCCTCCACTAGTGGGAATTCAACCTCTAGCACTGTCTTTATCACCTTATTGTACCAGCCAGCAGTGAGATCTAAGTTGGCTACATACTGTCGGTACAACTCCTTCTTGGAGTAGATCTTTGCAGCTGTGCTGGGAATTTTCTCTGTCTGTCTGGATTCCAGATATTTGACCTCTCTCAAAACAGACACCAACTGCAAGATAAAAGCACAATATTTTTTTCAAACCACTGAAACTGAATTAAAGAGCAGATGGTTTTGATTTGTACCTGATATCAAACTATTTCTGGGCTTAATTACATGGGTCAATCAAAACAAGAGAGAGGAGATACAGTTTAAATATTAATCAGGTGTATCACGCAGGTCAGGAATTCCAAAGCCGAAAATTGAAAACACATACTGCATTTAACCTTACTGTATTGCTCAGTCTGAATTAAATTCCTCTGCATCTCTGAAAAATATACTAAAAATCACTTTTATAGCACCATACTGAGTTTAATTTATAATCAAATCACAAATCATTAATATGATAATCTCACTCTTCTAAAGTAATATTATTTTTGTAAAAAAGTAAAATTATTTTGTAAAAGTTGGTATTTCCTAGTATTTTGTAAAAGTATCCTTTTCTGAAATACATATCGAGACATTTCTAATACATTTTCTAAAAGCGGTTCCGTACTCCTTCCGCAATTATAGGATGAGTATTAAATTTAAGGTGGGGAAGAAGAAGTAAAGTCCAAACCCACCTGAGGGTCAAAATTGACTGCAATAAGCTTTGTCGCAGGGTCTCGGGAGAGGAGGGGCTGTGTGAGGTTGTACTGCGATTTTTCGCCTACTGTGCGAGTCCAGATGTCATACAGCTTGAGGCAGTAACTGAAACACAAGATCAAATAAAGTATCTTCCTCTGTTGCTATGAATTCTCCAAAGCACAAACAGTGGCTGCATTTTAAAAGTTTTCAACTATTCTTTCAAATAATTACATCTTAACCTTTCCACCCAAATCCCCTCAAACAGACTATCGCCTAGTATTAACAAAATATGTAAAAGAAAAAAACATCAATATAGTGTGCGTGTGTTTTCAAGTATGAAACACTATTTTAATGTATGCAGTCTCTCTTGTTCTGTGTCATTTAGAATGTTAAACTCTGTTTTTTCATCCCAAAAGTGTTAGTTCTGTATGGATGAAAGAAGTCACAGCGAAGTTCAGCATAGTTTTGGAATAAGTTCAAAAGCAAAGCAGGATGAAAGTCTGTCTTCTCCAAGCTTAGCTCTGCAGTTTATACAAATGGCTTCCTTTTAGTGTACAATTGTAAGTAACAGTAAGTAATTTATAAAGAATAAAGTTCTGTGTGAGGAAAAATACATAACTGGAACAAATGCATATTTAAATGACAGCAGAGAAAGAATATTAGGGAACCTTAGAAATGTAACATTTGTAATGTCCAGCTGTCACACATTTTTCAGACTCTACGTCAGTTCAAATACTAGACACTTCTTTGCTAGAGTTACAACTTGCTTTTTTACTACGAAAGTAACCCAGTCTCTAAAATTCAGATATGAAATTTGTATTAAATTGCAAACATAACATAAAATAACTGTTCTTACTTGTTTATTCTGTTGGCAAAAGTGTCAAAATCACACTATTTAGACAAGAGTGTTCCTCGAGTTTATTAATTGGTGAAGCCTCTGAAGTGCTCCTGTGTTTCCTAAGATTTATCCTCTATGTTAGATGGCATATTTCAAATAAAATCAGTCATAAGTTCTACTAAATAAGTTTCTCTTTCCAATTTTAAAGAGATTACGTCATTTTATGAGTTAAAAACCACAATATGTGGTTGTAATAAAGAAAATAAAACAAAATATAGGGGGAAAGGCAACAAAGGTATATTATTTCAAAAAGGTAATCTTCACTTGTGCCTTTACTTTTTCAAAACAAATACTGTTTCCTGTCAACTGGGAAATATGCTGCTATTTCTCAATACCCTGCTAAAATGAGGGAGAGCATGTTAAATAAAGGGAAGGATTCATCACAGCAGAAAGCACATTTTCACTGTAACTACAAGCTTCATGGGAATACTGTACACAGAATGGGATTCTAAATAACCGTCTGTAGACACTCACAAAAAAATAAAATCAGCTCTATTCTTTCTAATCAGTGACACTGAAGACACATAATATGTCAGGTCTCTGAAACATCATATCAATCTGTAAATAAACCGATTACAGAGCTCATATAAAGGATGTCTGTATTGTACTGAGGCCCGATCTGTTTAGTTTTAAGGTTTATTCATCTCAAACTCTGGAACAAGGGCTACAGCAATCACATGGCAAAGTAATAACAATAAATCATATTCCCCTTTGTATGCTGGGAAGTAATGGCTGCACATAATGTACACTTAATTGCCTTGACTTGCTTTTTTTGTAAATCAGTTACCTAATAGACAAGTATCTTTCTAACAAGACGCCAGGCATTGGAGGTACAGTGTTAAACTTGCTTGTTATTTTTCAACTGGGAAACACTTACCTTGAAATCAGGACACATCCTTCAAACAGACTTCAGGTAATTTCCAAAGAATGGAGATTATAAGAAATATTTTAAGTTTGGCAAATTCTATAGTTCTGTTTTTCAAGCAGACTACACAACACTTCCTAGAGTGTGGAAATATGTAACCCAGGTGTAATTATCAAAGGATAAACTCCCAAATAGCAGTATACCAAATATGTGAGAGATTCACATTTATAGCAAGAGACGGACTTCCAGAAGATTTTGTCAGAAGCTTTTGTTTTATATTTTAATAAGATTTCTTTTGTCCAGTGTAGACAATGGCTCTGGAGTTTCACCCTTGGGTAATAAAATAAAGATATGCTTTTACTCTGCTCTGTGCAACAGAATTATGCACCATGCTGAAATTAAAATAAAACATTTCTTAAAGACAGAGCTCTGACAGCTCCCCAGAATAGCCCTGAACTTGCAAGAGACAGACCTTGGTGACAATGTCAAAGACAAAATGGTACAAAAGGTAGCTTGTGGTGGAAGGGTTTTGGTGAAATACTATTTAAATAATTTACTGAATTATGTAACTTTCACATAAAAAATGTTTTGTTTTGATTTGATTTTTTTAAAATACCTTAGTAACTATGTAACTGGTTATTTTTCACTGTCATAGCCATTTAAACGTGTGCATAGCAACACCCAATAGGGATGTTGCAAACATCAAAGAAGCACTTATAACTGTAAAGAAATTCAACTGCAACAATGAGAACTAGTTTTACAACCTTTTCTTTTAAATACACAGTGTGTATTGTCAAGATTAAGAACACCACCACTGAACAACACATGGTTCCTAGTTAATAACCTTGTTTGTTACTAACAATTATTGGATTCTAGCAACCAAACAAACAGGATGGAGCAAATAGCCTACTCTCTAAAAATAACATTATGTTCTTATCCAGGTTACAGACTAAGACAACAGGGAAAGATAAAAAACATTGTACTGTATGGCAGGTTATTCTAATATTTTTTAACTGACAAGGACCAAATTAAAAATTAAAACAGTAATACATACAGCAATGCAAGGCCTCTATTCATCATTTTATCGAAATCTATCAAAATACCATTACACTACAAGTAGAGTACAAAGATACAATGTAATACAAGACCTTTCTCTGGAGCTTCTTAACTTCGATTGGTAAAGTAACCACCATTCTGATCTGCCAGTACTTCCATAAAGTGAAACCATTCTTTACACTATTCTGCACATGTAAATGATAAAATGGCAATGGCAGAAATGGGAGAAAAAAAGGGTGCTTATACAGCACAAAAAGAATGACTGCCTTTTTAAAATGTTAATGTTTACACATGGATTTCCAGGTTTATCACGTAAGCAATAGAAGTTTGGGATCTCATGGTCTGCAATGACTTACTTGTCAAGTAATTCCATCATCTCTTCATATTTCTGTATCATTCTCTTTCCTTCAGCTGATTCCATACATCTACAAAGTGACAGATAAAATGACATGAAGACTAAAGCCAAACAAATGAATTTTCTATTTAAATATAACAAAATCAGCTTTGGTCTGAACACAAAAGTTTATTTTCAAACTCTTATTTGCAATAGTCCAAGAGATGTACAGTACCAATAACATAAAATGAACAATGGAGAGTTATTCCTAAAAGAATTTTAAAAAATTAAAAACTATGTCTACTTGATTTATATAGTGTAAATGACGGCATAAATCAAGAAGACTCAAGGAGTCGTTTATTTCAATTTTTTCAAGTACACAAACACTGCACATATTTTTTAAAACATTTCTATTTAAACACCAAATTAAGTCTTTTCTCTTTGATGCACCAGATTTATTAAGCTCTATGTATTAAAACAGTGTAAATACTGAACCAAATAGAATTACAAAGCTCAGCCAACTGTAGATGAACAGAAGGGGGAACTTATATGTTAAGTGCCTTGCAACAAATTCACATAGGCCTTTGCACTATTAACCTGTTTTTACTTACGGATGGGTTATATGGCGGAAATTGCCAAAAGGTACATGAATACGTTCCTGTAACTCCTGAGCCCAACGCAGCCCACCTGCTACAACTGGCATGTTTTTATTTACAGGCGTGTAACCTAAGATAAAAACGGGGGGACAGGGTCAGTGGTCTTCATGCTTATTTATCCTGTTATCATGACGACACAGATTAAGGCAACACAACAAATGATAATGTCATCACACTGTATTTTTTTTTATTAAAAGACATCAAAGTTCATCTTAGTTTGAATACAGGCTTGTTTCTTCTATGAAGACGCTTACCCAGTTCTTCTTCTTTGTGTACATGCTTGTTAAAAAGAACCTTAGCGTTGTCGAGTTCTTTGTCAAACATGCTAATGAGGAGGGGATATCTGTCTTCTGCATCGGCTGCTATCAAGGGACGTTCCAACAGACTGCCAAACATGTCTAACACCTGAAAGAAAAAGAGCTCAGAAATCTGTTTACAGCTCTGTGAGATTCGATAGGTTTTAAGAGGTAAAAAGAAAAGCTTTCCTGCACACAAAAACACCAAGCAAACATTAGTAAAAAGAGAGTAGAGATTAGTAAAGAAAATCTATTTAAAAATATATAAAGATAAAGATAAATATATAAAGAATATATAAAGATATATGTGTCTGAAAGATCCTTTACATGTTTTAGTTCTTTAAACCCCCCCATAATACTGTACATATTACTTATAATTTATTAAGAATACTTTTTTAGGCAAAATTCAGTGCTTCAGTGTTTCAGAATCTTTACGTACAGCTGACCAGTGCAGCAGTCCAGTATATTGGTATATTATTATTTTAATAATATACATTGCAAACCTTTTTAACATAATGGTAGATGTTATAAGCTAAATTTAGAATTTATCATCTTAATTTCATGATCTGGCTGAAGAAGACTTTAAAATCAATGTGTAAAGAAAAAAAGGTTTAAACAAATACAATGTAATTAAATTAGACTGTATACCTATATATTTTGTTCACCATCCTTCAAACAAACCTTACCATAGCTGCTAAGACTTAGCACTGTAAATGCTTATATCAACACATTCCAAATGTGTCACAAAAGTGCTGAAAGACCCTGACATCCACTCACACCCTAATGATCTCAGTTTCAGTGGAAAGCTCTGTAACATTGAAAACAGAACAGCATACAGTATTCCTGTGTGGCTTATTGACAGTCTGGAAAGATGAACAATCCAGAAAACCAAACAGGAAGCTTGCACACACAAAACTCACACACAAAAATAACTACAACAAAAGGAAGTACACCATTTTCATTCTGTTTAACACAGTTATTACTGAAAAGTCATTACAGAAATTGTATTTTGGCAAAACACTGAAAAAAAGGCAAATTGTTGAACCGCACATCATGTCTTCCATGTTATCAATGTATGGGTTATAGTTATTGAAGCACAATTATAGTTGTATTCATCTCATGTTTTGTTTTTATTTTACAACATTGAAAGTTTTTCAATTATCAGGCAATGGAATGGCTGAAGAATGTTGTTGTGACATGTTGCCTCCCGCCTAAACTGAATTTTTTTTTTACTATGTACTATTCAGATCATACTTCAAAATAACAATTTACTGTAGGTTGATAAGAATTTTAATTTTCATAAGTCTATGTTTAAAACCTCATACTGTATACGGCTATGGCTTTTTAACAAAAAGTCTTAATAAAAATAACTTTTGATTTTGCACATTAAGTCATTTGATGTGTACTGTATGTATTGTGATAACCATTTACAACCATACTAAACAATAATTCTGGATATACACAACTAGTTCACTAGAAAAATCATGCACTGATGGTTAAAAATAAACTCTAGTTGAACACACCAAGTTAAGTATCTTTTATTTTTTTACTTTTTCATAAATGCTACCACAATTTAAAACATGAAGGCAGGTGGTAATACACCTGCATTTCTATATCCTTGTGTTGGTACAGTGGTATACTGTTCATGTAAAGCACAGCTATGAAAACGGTTTATTTTCATCAAGGGGCTGTTTCCTTGGTAACTAGCACTAACCTTGAAGGCATGCTCCAAACCAGATGCGTCATCAAATGCCTGGCAAAAGATTGCACCCAGACGCCTGTCCATGTCTTCCACTTTTTGTTTAAAGGCAGAAACATCCGTTTCAAATTCCTGCATTTACATGAAACAAAAATTAGTCTTTTGTTACCAAAACATGCATTTTTCTATCTTTCTAATGCCAAGCAGAACTTCAATGCAAATGCAGAAGAGTGGTACTGTATAATTAAAATAAAAATGATCCAGGTAAAAACTGCTTTTCTTTCATTCTCACTATACACAAGCTATAACTTAGAAGATAAAGGAAATATTACAACTAGCAATATGACCCTCTAATTTTTAACTTTATTTTCTCTTAAGTCTTGTGTCTTATGCTGATGTCTTAAGTCTTATGCTATTAATTGACTGCAGTTCAGCATTCAACACAATCATCCCCCAGAAACTGAGCTTGCTGAATCTCAACGCCTTCCTCTGCAACTGGATTCTGGACTTTCTGACCGAGAGACCTCAGACAGTCCAGATTGGAAACAACATCTCTAGTACCACTATACTGAACACTGGAACCCCCCAGGACTCTGCACTCAGCCCACTCCTGTTCACGATGATAACTCTGACTGCACTGCTATGCACAGTGCAAATTACATAATCAAGTTTGCTGATCACACGACAGTGGTGGGCCTCATTATTAACAATGATGAGGTACCATACAGAGAGGAGGTGGAGCAACTAGTGGACTGGTGGTTAAACAACAATCTGTCCTGAATATACCGTAAATAAGACAAAAGAGATGATAATTGACTTCAGGAGGGCCTGTGCTGATCACTCCCCACTGCACATCAACGGCTCCCCTGTGGAGACAGCTAGAAGTACTAGGTTTCTTGGTGTGCATATCACAAATGATCTCATTTGGACACCACCTCCCTAGCTAAAAAAGCACAGCAATGTCTCATCTTCCTGCGGGGGCTGAGAAGTGCAAACCTTCCCTCCCCCCATAATTTCCACATTCTATAGAGGTACCATCGAGGGAGGTTTGGGAATTGTAAGGTCTCAAACCAAAAGTCCCTGCAACGAATTGTCAATACAGCAGGAAACATCATTGGAGCCTCCCTTCCATCCATTCAGGACATATACCACAAACGCTGCACACACAAAGCCTTCGGTATTGTG